TCTCTCGCAACAAAGTGCATCACCAATAAGTTCACCGGAAATGCCGAGTACTAGACCAACTCACGAAGAGGAAACAAGATCAGTACCGAAGTCACTGACTCAATCAACTGAAAAATCAATTAGTTCATCTGAATCGCCGTGGGCAAGTACAGTTCAAGAAGAGAAAACAGAACTAACAATTACTTCACCACAACCAAGCAATTCTTTTAAGATTCAGAGTACAGAAATATACCAACACACTCAAGAGGAAACAAGAAAACTATCGTTATCTCTCTCGCAACAAAGTGCATCATCAACAAGTTCACCGGAAATGCCGAGAAGTAGACCAACTCACGAAGAGGAAACAAGATCAGTACCGAAGTCACTGACTCAATCAACTGAAAAATCAATTAGTTCATCTGAATCGACGAGGGCAAGTACAGTTCAAGAAGAGAAAACAGAACTAACAATTACTTCACCACAACCAAGCAATTCTTTTAAGATTCAGAATACAGAAATATACCAGCACACTCCAGAGGAAACAAGAAAACTATCGTTATCTCTCTCGCAACAAAGTGCATCACCAATAAGTTCACCGGAAATGCCGAGAAGTAGACCAACTCACGAAGAGGAAACAAGATCAGTACCGAAGTCACTGACTTCATCAACTGAAAGATCAATAAGTTTATCTGGATCGACGAGGGCAACTACAGTTCAAGAAGAGAAAACACAACTAACAATTACTTCACCACAACCAAGCAATTCTTTTAAGATTCAGAGTACAGAAATATACCAACACACTCAAGGCGAAACAAGAAAACTATCGTTATCTCTCCCGCAACAAAGTCGATCATCAATAAGTTCACCGGAAATGCCGAGAAGTAAACCAACTCACGAAGAGGAAACAAGATCAGTACCGAAGTCACTGACTCAATCAACTGAAAAATCAATTAGTTCATCTGAATCGACGAGGGCAAGTACAGTTCAAGAAGAGAAAACACAACTAAGAATAACTTCACCACAACCCAGTAATTCTTTTAAGATTCAGAGTACAGAAATATACCAACACACTCAAGAGGAAACAAGAAAACTATCGTTATCTCTCTCGCAACAAAGTGCATCACCAATAAGTTCACCGGAAATGCCGAGTACTAGACCAACTCACGAAGAGGAAACAAGATCAGTACCGAAGTCACTGACTCAATCAACTGAAAAATCAATTAGTTCATCTGAATCGCCGTGGGCAAGTACAGTTCAAGAAGAGGAAACAGAACTAACAATCACTTCACCACAACCAAGCAATTCTTTTAAGATTCAGAGTACAGAAATATACCAACACACTCAAGAGGAAACAAGAAAACTATCGTTATCTCTCTCGCAACAAAGTGCATCATCAACAAGTTCACCGGAAATGCCGAGAAGTAGACCAACTCACGAAGAGGAAACAAGATCAGTTCCGAAGTCACTGACTCAATCAACTGAAAAATCAATTAGTTCATCTGAATCGACGAGGGCAAGTACAGTTCAAGAAGAGAAAACACAACTAAGAATAACTTCACCACAACCCAGTAATTCTTTTAAGATTCAGAGTACAGAAATATACCAACACACTCAAGAGGAAACAAGAAAACTATCGTTATCTCTCTCGCAACAAAGTGCATCACCAATAAGTTCACCGGAAATGCCGAGTACTAGACCAACTCACGAAGAGGAAACAAGATCAGTACCGAACTCACTGACTCAATCAAGTGAAAAATCAATTAGTTCATCTGAATCGACGAGGGCAAGTACAGTTCAAGAAGAGAAAACAGAACTAACAATTACTTCACCACAACCAAGCAATTCTTTTAAGATTCAGAGTACAGAAATATACCAAGTAACTCAAAACGAAACAATAAAACAATCGAAATCGCTACCACAAAGAATTACGTTATCAACTAGTTCAACTGAAATGCCGAGCTTAAGTTTATCGCAGAAAGAGGAAATACAACTTACAATACTTTTACCTAAGTCAAGTGAATTTCCTAAAACTTCGAATACAGAAACATACCAAATAACTCAAAATGAAACAATAAAACAATCGAAATCGCTACCACAAAGAATTACATTATCAACTAGTTCAACTGAAATGCCGAGCTTAAGTTTATCGCAGAAAGAGGAAATACAACTTACAATACTTTTACCTAAGTCAAGTGAATTTCCTAAAACTTCGAATACAGAAACATACCAAATAACTCAAAATGAAACAATAAAACAATCGAAATCGCTACCACAAAGAATTACATTATCAACTAGTTCAACTGAAATGCCGAGCTTAAGTTTATCGCAGAAAGAGGAAATACAACTTACAATACTTTTACCTAAGTCAAGTGAATTTCCTAAAACTTCGAATACAGAAACATACCAAATAACTCAAAATGAAACAATAAAACAATCGAAATCGCTACCACAAAGAATTACATTATCAACTAGTTCAAGTGAAGTGCCGACTGCAAGTTTTACGAATGAAGAAGAAAGTCAACTTACAATATTTGTAGCTCAATCAAGTGAACTCCCTAAAAATGCAAGTGCAGAAACTTACCTCATAACTGAAAAGGAAGCAAGAATAACTACTGGCGGTATCAATAAACTAAGTTCTTTTGTAAGCTCAACTATATCATCATCTAGCGCATTAGATATAGCATATACACAAAAATCAAAAAGTAAATATAAATATTCTAATATTCCTAGTAATAAGCAATCTATTGAAGCGAGTGAGAAAACAAAATCTATGAATGGGAAAACTATAAGTTCTTTTAAGCCTAACTTTAATAAAACAACAATCACGAGATTATTAAGCCCTAAAATTTCATCAACCGTTACTGAACTTACTAAAGAAAATACAGAAACAAAATACGCCAGCGGAGAAGCTTTAAATTCGATAAAATCCAACTCAAATGGATTAACGATTGTGAGATTATTAAGCACTAAACTTCCCACGTGTGAGCAGCCAATTAGTACAGATTCTACTGAAGGTGCGCTTTGTTTGTGTACATGCGTTATCGACCCTGACGAGGATCTCTGCTCTTGTAAATGTGTAATTACGAAGCGTACACTGTTACAAGCTACGAAAAAAACAACAAAGGTAGGATAGACATTTAATATTAGAAGATATTATATCAAATTTTACGTACCTCTTTTTTGCTTTAAGAATGCTCAATGGAGATGTGTATCTTCCGAGACACTTGAAAACGGTAACAAAGCTAACAAAACGAATACTGGACACACTACCAAAGAAGTTAAATATGGAAGCATGACAAGTCCGGCATCTAAAACCATTGAAATAACTCATGAAAAAGAAGAAGATACAACTCAAATTTTTTCAGAGACTTTTAATTATGAGAAAATGAGCACTAAGCCGATTAAGTACATGCCGACAAGCAATCCAGTTTTGTTGCATTCTGAAAGTGATAAGTCGAAAGAGCCGATTCAACCGAATTCCGGAAACTATTTTGTTTTCACAACCAAGACACTTGAAAATAGTAACAAAGCTAACCAAACGAATACGGGACACACTACCAAAGAAGTTAAATATGGGAACATGACAAGTCCGGCATCTAAAACCATTGAAATAACTCGTGAAAAAGATGAGGATACAACTCAAATTTTTTCAGAGACTTTAAATTATGAGAAAGTTAGCACTAAACCGTTTAAGTACATGCCGACAAGCAATCCAGTTTTGTTGCATTCTGAAAGTGATAAATCGAAAGAGCCGATTCAACCGAATTCCGGAAACTATTTTGTTTTCACAACCAAGACACTTGAAAATGGTAGCAAAGCTAACAAAACGAATACTGGACACACTACCAAAGAAGTTAAATATGGAAACGTGACAAGTCCGGCATCCAAAACCATTGAAATAACTCGTGAAAAAGATGAGGATACAACTCAAATTTTTTCAGAGACTTTAAATTATGAAAAAATGAGCACTGAAGCAACTAAGTACATGCCGACCAATATACATTTTACAAGCAATCCAGTTTTGTTGCATTCTGAAAATGATAAATCGAAAGAGCCGATTCAATCGAATACCGGAAACTATTTTGTTTTCACAACCAAGACACTTGAAAATGGTAGCAAAGCTAACAAAACGAATACTGGACACACTACCAAAGAAGTTAAATATCGAAACGTGACAAGTCCGGCATCTAAAACCATTGAAATAACTCGTGAAAAAGATGAGGATACAACTCAAATTTTTTCAGAGACTTTAAATTATGAGAAAGTGAGCACTAAACCGATTAAGTACATGCCGACAAGCAATCCAGTTTTGTTGCATTCTGAAAGTGATAAATCGAAAGAGCCGATTCAACCGAATTCCGGAAACTATTTTGTTTTCACAACCAAGACACTTGAAAATGGTAGCAAAGCTAACAAAACGAATACTGGACACACTACCAAAGAAGTTAAATATGGAAACGTGACAAGTCCGGCATCTAAAACCATTGAAATAACTCAAGAAGGAGAAGAAGATACAACTCAAATTTTTTCAGAGACTTTAAATTATGAGAAAATGAGCACTGAAGCAACTAAGTACATGCCGACCAATGTACATTTTACCAGCAATCCAGCTTTGTTACATTCTGAATATGATAAATCGAAAGAGCCGATTCAACCGAATTCCGAAAACTATTTTGTTTTCACAACTGAAGAATTTCTTTTTACAAAAAGCGAACAGGTAACACTTGAATACTTTTCCCTCAATTAAACAAATGAAAAAAACACTTTTTTTTTACAGTCATTGGTTCAGATTTTGCGGAATATTATCAATAAAAGGCTTCTAACACTAAATAAAAAGTATTTGTTTCCGAAAGAAAATTCACTAAATAACGCAGAATTTGAAGAAACAATAAAGATTCTTAAATCTTTTTTAAATTGGGGCAAAGAGGACAGTCATATTAAATTTAACTTTTATTCGAATTTTTCAATATATGACAAAACACGAATCGAGCTCGAAAACATAATTTTTTTTAAGCTGAACAAAATTTCAAAAAATATAAAGGAAACACAAGCGTCTGCAGCATGTAAAGAACATTATAAAAATATGGCTAAAGATTTAATAGCAGGCTTGGTAAAGTCTAATACTGAAAAGTGGAACATAATAAGAAGAAACCATCTTACTTGTCTTATAGGTGAAAATACTTCAAATACCCAATCAGTCATTCAATCAACAACTACAAATATTGACTCAAAAATGTTTATACAACATTGCGATCAAGATACGTTTGATCGAATAGTTAATCAGATAAACTCATCTCCAAATTCAACCTATAAACTGGTGCGTAAGATTGCATTATTTTAATATTTTATTTTAAAACAATCTCAAACTTCTTTAAGTCTAATTTCTTGACTAGCATTCTCAACAAAATTTTGATTCACACAAAATTGGCATTTAATTTTGTTTTAGTTCAAGGTATGGAAGTTTGGCTGTATTTTTGATTTTACTTTGTTTCCTTACTTAAAAAAATTACTTTATACTTCCCAATCAGTCATTTTTTTTAACATATTTCCCTCAGGTTTTTGACTCGCCAGAGGATCCATGTTCCATTGTACTCAAGAACATCCTAAATGTCTATCATGGAAGTCCCCCCAATAAAAATAGTGAAGTTAAGGAACTCATTCGAAAGATAAATACGGCAATTGAACAGAAATGGAGTACAGAAAGAAAGGCAAAATTACTTAAGGAGTTTCTGGAATATACTAAATTAAGTAAATACCTCAATCACATTTTGTTGGGAAAGATAGACGAATGTGACATGCGACTCGCAACAGTTAAAAGTAGAAAGTGTTGGAACTACTATACAAAACTTAAAGTAATGTTCAACAGAGCACTGAATGAGGCGAATGTTAGAAAGCAGTATTTAATAGGAAATATATCAATGATGTGTAGTGAAAATGCTGTGTAAACAGATGATTTATAAATGTGGAACAAATAAAGTTGCTTTAAAATAAAAAATGTGTGTCTTTTTTTTACGTTTTGCACGCCAATTTGTACAAATTTTGCTTTCCCTCTCCTTAAAAAAAATATATATTGTAATGCACACTTAATAGTTACTAATAATCAGGGCTAACAGAGTTATGTTTTTAAATGAAAAAATATTTATTTCCATATTTTCGCCTTTTTTCCTATAAATCCATATTTTGCACAATCACTTGAATAAATCCATATTTTGAGCATTAAAGTGTCTGAAAACCTATAGAAAGATATGTTTGGCTCAAATATTATGAAATTTCTGTCGTTTTCCTTATACTTTACTAATTGAGCGTTCATTTTCATCATATAAACACATATTGAGTGACAAACGACGTAGTTTTGTTTTTACTAATCTGACACAACATGTCATATTGTTCTGCAATGATCTTTGAGACAAACGGCGCACTTTTGTTTGTAGCGATTTCTAATTGTTCATTGTCATAAAAAGTTGATATGATCGATATAATCGTCTACGTTTATCCATTTTTATACCTATATTTATCCCTTTTTTCGTCTATACTACCTTTATTTATCCATATTTATCCATTTTATTCCATATTTGTCAACTTTTTCGTCCATATTTCGTCCATATTTCGTCCATATTTCTCTATTTTTTCGTCCATAAATCCATACATATTTTTACGTTTTTAAGAACATAACTCTGTTAGCCCTGCTAATAATATATTAATTTATCAAACAAACTAAAACTCTTTCTTGTTGATCTATTTATAGTTGTAATCGATAATTTGGTTACGCTTTTTAACAATAGTTAATAACTACAGGTGGATTAAACTCAAACTTATTCAGGTAGTGCATTCCGGGTCGCCAGATGAACCTGGTCCAAGAACTTGACGTTTGCTAGCTGAGTCCTTGACATCAAAAACTTGGATGCAACTCGTTGAATTGAGAGTTTGTCCCCTTTGGGGTAATTTTCCCATCTGCATTAGTAGTTCTTCAATACGCTCAGTTTTTATTTTTATTATGTTTTCCAAGTGAGCCAAACGCTGTTGATATGCATCAATAATAACATCCTTGGCTTGGCTGTCACGTGCTATTTTTTCGTAACGCGAATAAAGAATCATTTTTTGTGGAATTTGAACGATACCATCCCCAATCTGTTTGTTAACAACAACCGTTTTCACCTCATCATTTTCTTCCCATGATTGCTCTTGCCGCATCGCCGCATTACGTTCCACTGCAACACGCTGCCTTTTTTCCAACCGTATCACTTCGTGTAACAATACTTCGGCGGCTCCATTGACACCATTTGCCAACTGTTCCATAAAATCCCTGCTCAGGGTCATGTTAAACTTGGAAAGAACCTTAAAGTTAAATGTCTCCCAATTGGCCAATTTAAGCTGCACACTACTCTTTTTCGGGTAGTTGTAGAGGTCAATTAGGCGTGGATAGTCACGTTTTAGTATTTCGGCAAGCGGTAAAACATCGGAAAAGTCGCGACGCACCCTGCTCGAACAAATTTTATTCTGTAGCAGCCATTTTTGTACATCCTCCAACTCTTCGCTGCTAAGATTCTTGCCACTTACAGTATGCATCCTTGAAAAAACACGATTTCTTGTACCACAAAAACAATTTTTAAATTGTTTTGAGTTCAACTGTTGTGTGGTAAACACACAATGAGAAATCCGATGTGTTTGATGTTGGTTTTAAGTTGAATAAGTAACTGCAAAATCAAAGCTTCCCTTGCTTGGCAACATAAATTATGAACGACATGAATTCCAAAAATAATCTGCTGAGAATGCGCAACTTTTTTCTTTAATAGGAATATTAAAAAATTCGCAAAAAAAAACCCCTTTTTCTTAAAAATAAATGAAAAAAGTCTCTGTACCTATTTTTGTCTTCAATTAAATTTTGTTAGCCAACTTCAACATTCAAAAAAATTATAACAAAAAAAATGCGAAAGCTCCATTTAGATTATTTAGCATAAGTACTTATTCCGGCTTTTTACTCTTTCCGTTGTATATTTAGGTCATTATTTGTTCAAATGTACATATCAATAAAAGCCTATTTTATAACAGAGAACTAAGCATAACAAAATAAATATCCCAATGTATACCAAAGTGTTCTTGAAAAGATACTTTTATTGGCATAACCACGGACTCTAACCCGACTTTGTTATAGTATACCGATGTATAACAAGCTAGTCTAAAACCATAAAATCCGTTTAGTTCACCCTTAAATAGGTGTCTAAATTTTCAGATAAAAAGCGAATGAACTTTAAAAAATGGGGTCTTAAACTTTTGTGATTGGGAATTGTTACAATTGTATCATATCAATATAATCCCATACAACTTATCTGAACGTATGTCAAACAAATTTCCAAGTAAATGTAACTGAATTAGGAAAAATTAGCAAAAAATAAGGTTTTAGAAAACATATACAATTGAACAGGACTCACATGTCACTCAATGCCTTAAGTTGGGACGAAAAATTTCCCAGTATTAATAAAATCCTTGGGGAAACTTTGGGACAAAGGAGACTTCCCCAACTTCGAGAAATGTGGTGAACTGTGGTTAAATTCTGCAAAAGCTACGAGAGTTACTCAATCATAGTCACTCATAAGGAGGGGTTGAGTGTGCAGACAAACTTTCACTCAAATCTCCTGAGCTTTTCATTTGGATGCTTGGAATGGAGTCCGAAGTTTTTGCGAACGACAGTTCATTACGGTTTTCAAGGATAAGCGATACCTACGTGCTCGCCGGATAGAGCGCATGAATAATACGCACCCATCTGCGTGTTTCGTGCCATCTTACATGGAATAGTCCAAAGAACATATTTTTTTTCTGTGTAACAGTGTGTTTATGAAAAATCGTCAACTTCCGCAGCATAAGAACTAATTTATGCCTGGATAAAACCATATTTTTTTTTTATGTTTTTGTTTTTGCAATTTTAATGCAAAAGTAAAAGTGTTTTGGTTCAAACGTGTCGTGTGCTAACAAAGCAAATAATTTCACCCTCGTCATTATTCGAACCTGGCCTCTTGGATGTTATTCTCAACACACTGATGCACATGGTAAGTTAAACTCAAGAGTCATAAAAAATGGATTTTACGGCCACCCTTTCTGTTTGATTATAGATTTAATTATTAATAAATCAATTATTTGCCGAGTGAAATACACTTGAAATTATTCAATATTTGCAATTCAATATAATTATAAAGCAAATAAATTGCCAAGCATTTTTTTAATGTATTCTTCCTGGTTTTACGTAGGAAAAATTGGAAATTCAGCAAGAAATAAAACGCCCTGTTCCCAAAAAATCATCTTAAATCCACGTACAGGCAGGGGAAAATAGAATTATATCTAAGCACGAAAAAATACCCAAATATTTCCTATGAAAAGTTAAAGTAGTCAAAATTTAATAACAAGGTCGCTTTTTTGTAAAGCCTCAAGAAGGTTTTGACATATTTTCAAGATTGACGTATCCGTACATTTTAATTTATTATGCTTTAAAGAATGTGCGTTCAAGTAAAGCCAAGTTATTCACAGGCCAAGCACAGAAGTAGTTTTCACAAACAAAAGTTCAACGCCACATTATTTATATTGCATACTAAATACGGGTCATGCCGAGGGGACATTTTAGATTTATTACATTTTTTTTATTGTCTTAAAGATTTGTTATTTGCTATTTAAAACAATTTGACCAAATAAAACATTATTTGTGCAAAATGGACTTGAATGTTGATTAAAATGGCGTTAAATATTTGAAAGAAAACTATAACAAATCAAAGAATATTTGTATTCAAAATGACTGAGATTACAAATACAAGCAATTAGTCCAAGGTCTGTAAGTGCAGTTCTGTTTTGGATGTCCTCAAGTTACTGAAATATTTCTCACTTGAAAATGGGTCAACGAATTTGCACCCCCTAAAGATTTTTAGAAAACTGAACCTTCAGAGTTATCAATTTACAGAACTTTAAAACTCTGATAAAATGGGACACATTTTTGCCATTGGGAGCTCATATTGGGCTTAAATTACGCAATTACCCATAATCTAGGAAACGGTTTACACAAAACTGACGACAAAATGTTGAACGAATAAAATTACCAACTTTTAGGGTAATTTTCATTTAAAGTCGTAATCCGAATCTATAGGATTATGAGGGGCAATTTCGGGTATTTTTTCTGCAAGCATTTTAATTTGAAATTGTATGACCCCATTATTGGATTTAAATGTATAAAGGTTATTTTGATAATTCAATTTTAGCATCAAATATCTAATGGCCGATTCTGTGTTCTTAATTTCTTTGTTATATTGAATTTTCATATGGATAAAACGAAACGATGCCTAGATTTTGTTTAATCAGTTTTCTTATTTTTTCAGTAATTTAAATAGCAAAGAAAAAAGAAAGGATCTGCTTAGCTATCGTGAAGATTCAGTGCCAGAAAGCAGCTGAATTTTTTCGAAACTAAAATGAAGGTTACTGATTTCACTCGAGCAAATTCCGTAAGTCACGTCGCCCCGTGCAAAGGATGAGGCTTTCCAAAGGATATAGGACATTATCACCAGCATCGAACGCTGACCAGACATTGCCACTCTCCTACAAATTAAAAACTAGTCTGAGCCTCTATCGGCTGCTCGCAATTGTCTTGGTGATTGGATCGCAAGTTCATGTTCTGTGTAAGTCCATAAAATTTTTATTGTTATGTCTTTGTGCAGGAGAAATGAAAGCAACAGGACATTTATATAGTGTGCAGTCTTTGTTGTTTTTTTTCTTTCTTTTTTTCCTTTGATAAAGCTAGAGCTAAAGGCAGTATAATTATTCTCGACAAACAGTTAGACGTTAAGTACCTACAATGGAGATTTGACCACCAACTACCAAAGCTTTTATATAATTAAATTTTTTTCGAAAATTTACATTTTTGTTAAACAAAAAAAATTACGCACAAAAAAGCTGCCCTCTTTTTTTATTCCAAATAGCTATTGTTTTTTAACACAGTCGGGTCTTGTATTGTTAACCCTTGCCATTTCACAGGCACGGCATCCGTCGAACCTAAAGCAACCACAACTAGTACACAACCCAAAATCAGCGAGAATCATACTTCACATTTTGATGACTATAATAAAACTAAAGCAACGCTATCAACTGCTGGTTACCTGTCAGCCACAAGGGCAACTCTTTACGCGTTTTCATCACAGGACCAGGACGTGTCCCAAATGACAGTGGAGGTGTGGAACTCATCCATCCCTACGAAAATAAGCCACGATAAAATACCCACTGAAACACCAGGCAGCACCGAGATTAGCAATAGCCTTCCAATCAAAAATTTAGTAGATATCATTGGGCGTTCGGGGACAACAGATCATCAAGAACCGACAGTAACAATGCCAACCAAGGCATTTGCATCGCTCAAAATCGATAAGAATGTCATAAAACAGCCCATCGATTCCACACGAACGAGAAATCATTGGACAGCGAGTGGTAAGACTGAATAAAAACGAAAGCCAAAATTACAGAGTAGGCCATTTAAAGCTGACCTATTTGTTTTTTCGTTTTGTTTTTGTCCATTTGAAAAATCAACTATGTTGGTCCGGGGAGATTTATTTCAATTATTTTTTAAAAATGTAACCTCCCAACTGGGCATTTGTAGTTTTGACAGCAAAATGCTATTTTTTTAGTAGCCTTTTTCTATGATTTTAATCAAAGTTTGACCTGTTTCACGTCAACTGCTGGGCTATTAGAGTTTATCTTGGCTTTAAAAAATATCCCACAAATAACAGTTTGGTGGCATAAAATCTGGAGAATTACAGGCAAATTCACCACCACACAACCAAAAAATTAAACAACTGTGTAAATCTAGGGCGCTTGAGATCCCTATAGTAATTAAAAAGTATTTGAAAAGGTGTTATTAAATAAAAAAAATCATATTAAGAGCTGACAAACCTGCAACATTTAAGCGGCATCAATTAATTTGTTTAATTTTAAAGTCTAAAGTTGAATGAGTCAGTTTGAAAAGGCCGACCTTGTTTCCCAGAAATTTTAAAAACCTTCATGTAAAAATCTTGGCAGGATTCGCTAGAGTTACAGAAAGACCCCGGAGTAAGCACCACCACGAACATCACTGGGGACCTTTCTTTGAGGAGCCAATCAATTCGCCAACTTCCGGCGACAATTTAGTATCCGCCGTGCATTTGTTTACGGAAGCGGTGCTTAATTGTCGAGTCGGTATGCTCAAGGACAAGACGGTAAGGGAACTTTACTTTGAAGTTTAATTCTTAATACAACAAATACTGAGAAAACAGATAACGTAAATAGAAAGATCAAGAAAAAATAGAATCGATCAAAATGATTATAGTATTTTTAGAATCCTTATATGGTTGTGTAGGGTGAAATTCATGAAAATTTTAAATGTTTTTACAATATTACCTCAAATCATTCAAATAATTCAAGTTTACTCACTTGTTTTAAAAGTTGTATTCTTTTTAAGGCTTTCATCGCAGTAGTTTACAGCAAAAAGTACAAGCAAAAGGTGAATCTGAAAAAAACAAATATTAATATCCAACTCATATAAGTATATTAAAAATTAAATGCTATTGGATTTAACCAATACAACTCCCTAGTTTACAGCAAAATGTACAAGCTCCTGGTGACTCTGATATTAAAAGTACATATAAATATAACTACTAAAAGTTTATTAAATTTTACTTACTTATTTCTTAAATGCTATTGGATTTAAGGTATAAAACTCCCTAATTGAATTTTTTGAGTAAAACGTAATCGAAAATCGATTTTTTTTATGCATTTAGTTCAGTGGCCGACAGCTTCCTATGCTGGGGGCAAAGCAGAAAGTTCTGCCCGTCCTCTGCCGACACACACACTGAAAAACATTGACCGGCACAAATACATATGTACATGCGAACTAAAATTAAGCGCAGTGTTTATTTTCACTAAAGATTCACAAAAAAACTTTTAAATAATAGATAATATGCTTAAATTTAGCTGTTTTATTATATTTCAAATATAGTATGTACATATGTATGTATGTATTCAGCGGAGCACCCGGACAATTCAAAAAAGAAAATGGAAGCCGGCTGCAATATGTACATATGTATGTATATGCATACGTATATTATACTCACACATACTTTGGCACTGAACAAGTGTGGATATTACAAGCATATTTAAATGCTCTTGGTGAAATGCATAGGATTTAAGCGCTTAAACATAATATACCTTATGAAATTCACTCCATCGACCTCAGTTGATCAATTTTTAACACTTTTGACGAACTTGTTACAAGTTATAAGCCCGAAAAAACAATTTAATTAGATAAGAATTTCACTACGCAGTAAGCCAAGTTTTTATGGCAATGCTCACCAAGAAAGAACAGGCAAAAGTGAAGAATAGGAAGAAAGAGCGGAAGCAAGAGAGCCTGTTTTCCATTTCCTTATTTATGATCTTCTCATTTTTGAGTGAGAGAGCTTTGGGTAAGACTCATTCCACTCGATTGTAAAAGTTGACGCATTTTATTTTATAAACGCATAAAATAAAACGCACATTGTAAAGTTTATTGCCAATGATTGTTCTTAGGTTTTAAATAAGGATTAAAATTAAAAAGGTTTAAAACAAGATTTCTCTTTAACGTGTTTGGAAAATATTATCTAACTGTAAACTATAACTAGTTTTTAAAGTTTTGGATAAAAATTATTTTTAATAAAGATAGATAGAAATCATATTGATCTAAATTTTCTTGAATTTACATTTTATCTGTTAAAGTCAGTAATAAAATCCAATTTTAGGTTATGTGGGTCAGGCGAACAGCGGAAAAGGTATCACTTCTGACTGTTGGCAATGTGACGTATAGTGGAGACCCAAGGATTCGGGTTAAGTTTCAGTATCCAAATAATTGGAGGTTACTGATTAATCCAACGCAGACTGAAGATGCCGGAGTTTACATGTGCCAGGTTTCCACCCATCCTCCCCGGGTATTCACTACAAATCTCACTATCTTGGGTAAATTCTCGATTGTTTTTAAGGCATTTTTAAAAAATTGGTTTTAATTTTCAGAACCTCCTTTAAGAATAATCGATGAACACGAAAGGGATGTTGGGGACAGATATTATAAGTCAGGAAGTACCGTCGATCTACAATGCCAAATATCGCGTAGCTTTTTCCAAAAGGAAAGACAAACCATTATAAAGTCAACCGATACTGCAAATGATGCTGTACAAAAAGTAGTTAATGAGTCGACTAGTGAGCTTAATTTAATTGGTAACACGAGTCATGCACATACCAAATTCTCTGGCCAGGACTTAGAAAAGTACTTTACTAAGTTTATTACCTGGGCAAAGGACGAAGAACCACTCCAAGGAATGACCAATAAGCGTTTAAGGTACGCCTAAAAACTAATTTTGAATTTAAGTTTTAGCCTAAAGATTATTAGGTTAAGGCGTATTTGATGTGTTGCGATTACCCGAAGAATTTTGGTACAAATATTAAATTATTTTCAGTGTTTCCGATGTCTGGCTAACTAGTCGTATATCCATTGGAGATGCCAAGCTCTCCGATAGTGGAAACTATTCCTGTTCTCTTGGCAGACTGTTTACTGTAATTGTCCAAGTACAAGTGCTGACAGGTACTAAAACTAAACATAATATTAATTTATGAATTTTCTATTAAACATAGTATATTTTTAGGCGAACTACCAGCGGCTGTCCAGCACAATATAGCACCAAGGCCCGAAATCAGTTATATCGTATTTTTGGGATTTTTCCTGGAACTCATTTTCCTCATTACTTGCGTGAAAATCGAAAGTCAAGAATTCTAATCAAAGTGTCAAAGAGTCGGCATCAGAAACTGGAGCCAATCGATTTTCACAAACAATTAACCAATTAATTATTAAGTATAAAAGACATTGGCTGGTTCTAAACAAAGGTTTTAGTTTTAATGTTAAGAATCAGAAGGTGATTTCATTACATATTTATGTTATAGTGCCTATGGTATAAAAGTATCGAAGACTACTAATTTGTTTAGAAAAATATTTTAAATTAAAAAACAAAAAACCCTGTGTTGAAATTCGCAGAACTGTTATTATAATTAATTTAGAAATGATGTTAAGATCTCGTCTTAATAATGCCTTTACAGAGTTAAATAATTGGCGAGGATCCAGATTTCAATTAAAAAAATGTTTCTGCAACTATTTCCTGTTGAAAATAAGTATATGAGCTCCAATAATTTTTTTTTAACAATTATTACAGGCAAATCAAATGTATCATACTTAATTTTTATCGTATACCTCATATTCACAGGATAACCAGTTTTTTTCAAGAAAACAACGATCTGATTAAAAACTTATCCGGTATACTACTTTTTCATCACCTATGTTGCTGTTTGTATTTTTGGATTCGGGTGCTTTTGTTTCACTTGGACAATTTCAAATATACAATGATCAATATAATCAGAAACATAAACATCTTTTTTATTATTAACTTATGGTAAAAACTAATCTCATGTCTTTCAAATCCTGCAAGATACCAAAGTGAAAAAACATTTTTAATTAACAGTTTCATAATTGCTTTATTTTATAAAAACAAAATTGGTTTTGTTAAATTCAAAGGTCGTCGTAAGTGATACACACATAGAGGCTTGTAAAAATTTGGAGAACAATTTCCACTTTGACCTTAATTATACTAAAAAAAAAAATTAAAATGATTGCATAGATAGCTGGCATTATTTACAATAACTATTCAACAGGAAAAGAGGCGAAGTTACGTTCTCAACAATTCACAGCAAATGTGTTTAAGCGTTGGTAAGCTTCAAATTTTCATCAGACTGCGAAGAAATATAGCCCGCCAGGTAATCATTGTGAAGGTGAGAACTCAGTTGGAGCAAGAACGCGGCAGTGCATGTCGCGAATTAATGGTACCGTGTAGGCCACACACTCATCCCATCCGGGGGATCGCCAAGCTGCTTCCCTGGTCTCTTTACGGTCCTGAAGAGATTTGTAACCTTTTGTACAATGGAAAACAAGAGTAAATAATTAATCTTAATGTCAACGGTACACAGAAAAAATATGTACATATGTGATTAAAAAGTAATTAAAACTCGAGCTTGTTTTACTGGCAATTAGTTTAAACAAGCCGTTTTGTTCCTTTATCTGATAACTTACACCAAATGTGATGAACATTGTACAGTCTACCGATCTGGGAGAAGAATCCGGCGAAGGCTTCGTTGTTATGTTTGCGATAGTTAATGGCACGGGCCCAGTTATTTCCCCACTCAATCATGGTGCCTGGGGTCAGTCGGTATGAGCTAAGGATATCATATCATTCGGATTTTAAAATATTATTTTATAGCAGTATAATAATTCACATACCGCATTTCATAAATGTTTTTGCCGGTACGACTGGCAATCTGCGGCCAATAGCTGAAGGCCAACAGATATTGAAGATGACGGGATCGCAAGAACTTCGAACGCTCTTGCATCAAGCTGAGGTACTCCGGATCGTTCCAAAGATCTTCCTTTGCCTGGTCAATCTTCTCAAAACCTCCGGTGTACTTCCAAAGGTGCAAGCATTGATCCATATCGCCCACCTGAACGGTCCATGATGCCACCAAATCGCAAGAAAGATTGGCCTTCTTATCGTTTATCAAACCAACAGTGTTTTTGCTATAAACAATATAAGGGTATTTGCATTAAACAGAACAATTAAGTTACTATTAAGGTTTTAATAACTCACTAGTTGTTCAAATAGTTTCCCATCGAATCGGGCCTAACGTTGTGCGTGTGTAAGGCATAAATAATTTCCTTGTCGCTTAGCATTCGACTGTGCGATTCCTTCGTTGGCTCTATTTTTCGAACGAGTAGTTTTGAAAACCATGATTCTGAATCGTTGCAGGTTGCAGTTGTGGAAAGACACCTGAAAATGGAGTATAAATTAGACTTTTCTTCTAAATGATTTAAGCTCGTTAACACAATAGTTTTGTTCATTTTATAAATGACCTCCTTACCATTAGTTGAACTTATACATTTAATTATCATTCCTATGTTTATAAGGTAATACACATATGTATGTATTACTACATATTTTTAACTACACACATACCTATAGCCTTCAAAACTATGTTTTAAAGGAAATGAAACTAGGTATAACCGACATTTTAAGATAGTGCTTGATAAATATATAAAAAAAAAAGTGGAGGTGGCTTATCGAAATCCAAAAAAAATTGGTAATAAAGAAAATGAGATAAAAATTTAATTAGAAAGAAAGATTATTTCCTTCTAGGCGAAAAAAAAAACCTAGTTGGTATAGCTTAAATCCATAAGTTAAGCGCTAACTTATAATAATAATATTAAAAACCTCTAGTAATAAGCGATTTTAATATGAGGTCTTTATTTATAGATTACACAGAGTGCGAGGAGTTGGTATTTTACAAAACAATACCAATAAAAATATTTAAAAAGGGTACCCAAAATTCGAATCACAATCTCCAGTCAGATTTGCATAAGTTTTTGCTTGCTGACGTCGCAACGACATTTCCTACATAGACATTTTGGAACTAAATATACACACATGTAGGTGTACTAATAACAGTGTTGCGAAAGGAAGTCGTTTTTGTACCTAGACAAGGAAGTAGTTATTCACGAAAATTTCTACTTGATTATTCATTTTTGTGGTTCTGGTTTTAGCACGGAATTTAAAAACACTTTTTTTTAATTTTTCTTTCTTAATAAGCAGATTTTGACGAACCGTGTACCGTGGTACACATGCATATATTTAGGTACAAGTAGCAAGATACTCTCCAACACTGATAAATGTGTACATAGACACAGCTGCGACGATTTTTTGTATATGCATGTTGTTTGTCTTACCGGACAGCGTTGTTGTTGTTGCTTTTTCCGACGGCCAATAAGTTACGTAGCTTCAACATTTTCGATTTATGTAGGATCTGCCGAATATATAGGTATATATTGTGATATGCAGGCGATGATTTTGAGATGAGAACTGGAAGAAACAAATTCAGCTAACTGTTACTGCTGTTACTGTTATCATTTTCAGTTTTCGTCTTCCATTGCATTTTGTTCTTTAGTGTACTTTAGTCAAGGTGAAACCAGAGTCACTTAAACAAGTGCGCCGGTATATGGTCGTTAGCATTGATAATAGAATAGAGGGTTGTCATTTCATCTCTGTCCCCACCCCATTTCAAATTTTGTATCCCAGTGAACGGATCTAATCAAAAATACCCATAGTCCACAGTTGCACTCACTTTTTATTTGCTTGCCGGATTGCTAAAAACTAAAACAATATTCAAATGAAATGTTAACGTTAAAAGAAAACAAAATAATGCGGTCTGTAAATAATATGTAGTAGAGCTGGGTTAACCACTCACGATAGTATCGATATATCGAATACATACATTTTAGTGTTCCCAATAGTTAGCATTGGAGATGGAAGACGAAATTGTTTTTCGATTCATCGATATAATTTTAGGGAAAATTTAAGACTTAAACCAATTATGGTAATCAATAATAAAAATGGTTTACCACAAAACCATTAAATTGGATTTAATTGGTCGTTAATTGGATCTCAGAAGTTAAATACTTACATGCATTTTGGATGTTTTTTTTGAAGGGACTTGGTAACACTGATTAAGGAACGTTATCTTAGGGTTTTTTAAATTGAGCATCTCAATTGATTTATTTTAAATTTAAATTTATTGACATGATTAAATCAGGGACTGTAACGGTTATAATTAAAAAAGCAAACAATTACAAAATAAAAGTTATTTCTTAATTTTTACGTAAAAAAAAATTGATTTTTAATACTTAAAATTAAATTTAATAATAAAAAAAGGTAAATTGTAATTAAATTAACTATACATAGTTAATACAGGACCCATCAAAGATGTTGATCAATCAATATTGGCTACTGGCTACCCACAAAGTAATGCTTGTTATGAGTCATACATATCTTTTAAAAATATAAACAAGTTAATTCAAAATAATTTTTTTTTTTAACTTTGAGTGCTAAAAAAAGAAAGAAAGTTTTCAAAAAATGTGTAACATACATAAAAAGTGGATTTGTAGCTGTTTGAAAAGTCCCTATATCTTCGTTTAAACCATTGGTATGAAGAAAATACTAAAAATAACATTATATATTTTCCCTCTCGGCTTGCTTACTTCTCGTATGGTAATCATCCGCATAATTTTAATCGTAATGAATTTTTGAAGTTGCTGTGTGTAGCGCCTATTAAAAAAAATGTATTTTGTGCAGACTAGCAGCTCTTTCGCGTTATGGAGTTTTTTTTTGGAAATAATTTTTTTCCGAAGGTATTAGCAAAAACATTTTCCCGCCAGAAAAGTGTGACCATAGCAGCAATTCTCTCTGACAATAAACCGATACTTCTGTCGATAGGTCACAGGGTTGTCATGTTTCATATTGTGCGATTAGCAAAACAACAAAAAAAAAATTAAAACATAAACATAAACAAACACAAGCATAGGGAGCGAGCGAAACGAATCGAAACCATGGGTTTTCCGCGCATCCTCAGCAAGAATAACAAGATCTATACGAAGCTGGGTGAGTTCTGTCTGTCGGGGGACAGCTTCTGGATTGTTTGCCACACGTGCCAGGAGGAGTTGCAGACGCAGGACCAGTTCTGGAAGCACATACAGGATGAACACAACTTCCTGCACGGGGTGGCCAAGGTTGGCTGGTTGTTGCGTTCTTTTTCTTGCTGAAGTCCTATAATCCGTGTCCCGTTGCAGCAGGATCACAGTCGGACCTCAAGCTACTGCCTCACGGACGTGGAGGCTGCCGCGGCGGCGGCCACGCCTGGCGGGAGCTCCCAGCAAGGTGCAACGGCAGTGAGCGTTCCATTGGCCCTCTACCACTGCTCCACCAAGTACTCCGAGGAGGAGCAGCGCGAGGTTGAACTGCACGAGCAGCAGGTCCAAGTGCAGCAGCAGCAGCAGGTGCAGCAGCAACAGCAGGCTCATCAGCAGCACCAGGCCCACCAGCAACAGCAGGCCCACCAGCAGCTCCAGCAGCAACGCGATATGGCCAAGGAGCTGGCCGAGCTGCATGCCAACGCGGTGGCCGCCGCAGCAGCTGCCGCAGGTGGCGTTTCCACCGCCGAGGGAAGCACCCGCAGCAACAGTGGCATCGATATAAAGATAGAGCCCACCAGCCTCACACTAACACCCGAAATGCAGGCTGCTGCAGCAGCTGCCGGCACAATTTACCACTTGCCCCAGCTAGTTCCGGCACCGGTTCCGCCTCCGCCGCCCACGCCGGGGTTCGTGAGTGTCAGCGCCAGCACCAGCACGTCCAACACGGTCAGCACAACACCGCCCAACGTGCTGCAGCAGCAACAGCAACAACAACAGCAACAGCAACTCAACATGGCCGTGGTTCCAACGACGGCAATGGCCGCCGCCATGCTAACCGCCAATCAGGAGCAGCTGCCCAAGGATTCCAACAGCACGACGGCAAGCGCCGGGAGCGCAGTGTCCTCGGATGACGGAGAGCGCTGGTACGTCTGCGACTACGAGACATGCGGGCTGAAATTCAAGTACAAGTCCAGAATGGAGCTGCATCGGGTGGTGCACAGCAAGGAGCGGCGGTTCAACTGCGAACTGTGCAGTGCCTCCTTTAAACAGTCGTGCAATCTGTCCACTCACCGCAAGAAGAAGCATGCGCTGAGGGGCATTAAAAATGAAATACTGCCGCAGCGCTTCTAGATGGAAGATTGCACTACCGCAGCCTTAAGATCCCTCGTTTGCCTCCCATCACTTGTTCAGCTCACTGCAATGCAAGTCAGTCGCTAGGACTCGTTTCTAGACTGCAACTCCCACTTCCGGACCGGCAGCTTCAACCTACTTTTTTTTTAAATTAGTTTACAAATCCACGTTTGCCTGCCACATGTTCTTACCTTTAAAAGCCTTTAAAAAAGTATACAAATGTAAGTTTCCCAAATCACAAATCGGTCGGCTCGACGTCAATATACATTGTCGAGATTTAAATTTCCAAAGCAATTTGTTACCGTTTGTGACACAAAGATACATGTCCTGAGAAAATCTAGATTTAAAAGGTTTTGTAAGGCACTCTTTAAAAACCCTGATTGTAAATGAAAAACTTTCCTGTTGCAACAATATGGTGGCCGGCAAGCGTTCTTATATATACATATATATATAAATATATAAATAATTGTATCTAATGTAGGCTTAGTTTCCCATGTAAATGTAATGTTAATGTTTGAGTGGGGTTATGTTAACCTCCCATTAACTTTTGCGCTCTAGATGTATGTAAATGCAATTTTTATATACAGATGTGTCCCTGATAATTTCAGAGACGGTTGGGCTGAATCCTAACCAAAAAATCTGATGCTGTCCCACTTTTTATTTGAAATGTTTTGAAGTAAATTTGCTGAGTCTTTGGGTGCGATTTTTCAAAGAACTTTTATTGGTTTTCAAATGTTTATTTAAAGTTAAATACGTTTTTGGGGCCACCAAGACTTATTTTTGGTTGGATTCAGCTTTACGAGATTGCAGGGAGACACAATTGTTCAGTTAGTTTAGTACGACACAAATGATAAATAACTTTTAGATTAAACAATTAATTACCAGCCACAGTAAAACCGCAACACCAAGCGAAAATGAAAATACATAAAAAAACACTGTTATAAAATCAAAAGATTATTGTCTTTTGGTTGAAAAGATCATTTCCTTAAGCTGGTTTGTGGTTTTCTCCATGAAATAATACGGGTTTTGTCTTGCCATTTTCCTGCTAAAAACTTCAATACCATTAGCAGATGAAAAGAAATTATAATTTGTGTGAAAATTTTTAAAAATCTTTATAGTTTTTGTTTCCTTTCTATGTTCAAAGAAATTCTTCGGTGCTAGATGTTCACATTTTGGGTGAACATTGCATTATTATATATCCTTGCAAAGGGTATTGTAAATCAGATCAGTGTATGAAAATCGACCTATATTTTTTATTAAATACAGTCATGTCCGCCTTTTTATATACAGTATGCAAGCTAAGTTTAAAGGCGTTAAAACAAGAAAGGGAGCTGGTTCGGCAAGAATATTCGTATAATCAAAGAAAAACAAAAAATCTAAGACTATATCATTCATTCAAGATTTGTAACAAGATTTTGTCCAATTGTTGGTCTGATATTTGTCAGCTAATAAGGTAAACTGTATGGAACAACCGTATTTCTAAGAGACAAAAAAGGTTGGCCTGTTTTTCCATTACTTTTTCCTTTTTTTCTGTTGTAGCTATATTTAACGGTTGTTGGATATTAATAAAAATAAATTCGAATATCTTAAATCGTAAAAAATTCAACATAATCTCAAGTTATATGCATTTATTTCTATTAACAACGATGATGCTAATGTAACTATGTTTAATGGAATTCGCCCTTAATTCTTGAAAAAAAATTCTTAACCGTATTTTCTTACAAATAACGATGCTATCTTTGTTTATTGGTATTAAAGATAACAAGAAAGGAAGCTAGCTTCGGCAAGTCGAAGCTTATATACCCTTACAGTCATCAAACATGTCGAACAAAATACATAAAGGCTAAACAACATCAAAGATTTGACGATTTTTCTGTTAATTTTCTTTATTTTCGATTATTGTTCATATGACAGCTATAAGATATAGTCGTCCGATTTTGATGAAATTTAATTTGAATCTCAAGAGTCATTAGAAAACTCTATATTCCAAAAATCCTAATTGTTTGATGAGAAATAACGACGTTATCATATTATTTCCGTTATTTCTACATAGATTTTTTGATCTTTTTTCTCGATTCAAGGGTATTTAAAAAACTCGATGTTTTGAAAATCATGCTCGTGGGATTAAAAGCATCGACGTTATAATTTTTTTCCATTACTTACATATATTATGTGAAAATCCCTCCTGTTGGTCCGGATGTTGTCCTTTTTGCTTCTTACTCGTGATCCTTTCTCACAACGAGTCTCCTGCTGGCGGGCCTTACAGTACTTTTAGTCCACCGATGATTGGTCGACTTCGGCTTTTAGTGGTTTTTGTGTACGAGGAGATCCTCCGATCCCTTCCTTGTGATCCAACGGAGTTGCGCAGGATTGTTCTATATTGTACAGATCGAACTTAATCAAATGCCTTCCAGTTGGGTCCCTGTTCGGTTCCAGGATGATTAAAAAGACTTATTTTTTGCTTCAGAAAAAACGTGGTTCTTTATCAAAGATCAAAAATGGACTGAATATGTTACGCAGTGGGTTGTGGGCCGTGGGGATCGTCAACGCCGCTGCTGCTGACGGCAGAGCTGAAATCGATCCAAATGAGAGTCCACTGTTGCTGCGCACTTACCTCTGCAGACTTGCAGAGTAATTTGATCGAAAATGTTTAAATTTATTCTGAACGTCTTTGACTTTGTTACTGAATGAAGTACTTTGAATATTGAAATGGGTTTATTACTCAGAGAAAGTACCCTAAACATTGCAGTGACTAACTAATACACTTTTTAGGGTCGAACCTGTAACTACCTGTTAAAATACGAATGTAATTTAAATACAGATAAAGTTCGTTGGCAGCAAAGCCATTAAGCTGAAAACTTTTTATTTCGACCAGAAGTATGTTTCATTGTATAAAAACACTTGCTAAATATCAGCGATACTGATATAAAATTGCATTAACACGCGAATAACACAGAAGCTGTGCCATGACGTGTATACTTCAGCAGAAAAGTTTGATTTTAAGAAGCCAAACGAAAAATTGCTTAGTCTATAAAAATAGTTTGTTTAAGATACAGGAAAAACAATTGATCGTGTTTTTTGGCCGAATACTTTAATTGTCTTAGACTCTTACTAAAAATTTTGTAAGCCGAAAAATACGTAAATTTGGACAGACATACAATTTACAGAATACAAAAAGTCGCATAAATGAATAAAGATGGTGGGACTCGGATGGAATTTAACGCCTTAGGAAGAATTAGCATTGCGTGCAGACGCGGCCTGTAAAGATACATGGATTTATTTATGTTACATGAATTAATTCCAGAATTTGTAAGTATTCAGCAAAGTCGTAAAGCGCTTACCATCTGGCGGTAACGATTCTTCTCCTTTTCCGAGAGTTTTTGCCAGGCTAGGGTGCCCTCTTGAATCAGTTTGCGGGTCTTTAGACTGAGGGGCTTCCTCCTGAGATTACGCAAAAAGTTCAGATAACTTTTGTCGGTTATCGGATCCACCTTTCTGCGTTTGGCAACTCCTGCGGCACACCTTTCCCTCAGCTTCTTTGCCTTCGAGGGACTCTTTGTTGGCAAGAAACAAGTAATTCTTTTGGGCTTTCGAAGGGCCGCCTTTCGTCGGGGCGTGGCAAAGCGCTTTATCGGCCGCGATTTCGCGGGCCTGGTGCGACACTTTAGTAACTTTATGCCGCTAACTTTGAACATAGGAGAGCTGCCCATTACACGTATTTTCGAATTCTTGGCGGCCTCGGAAACCATGGCCGTTATAGCCTCGACGGTACTACCCATATTGTAATAGGGGTCCTTTTCTTTCTCGCTCATCTTTTCCCAGCAACCAGCGGCCTTCCTGGCGAACTGCATATAACTAAGGTCGCCGCAGTGCTTAAAGAAGTCGCGCAAATAATTCAAAAATCCATTGTCTTTCCACAATTCTTTACTTATGCTTCGACCTTTTGTATTAGTGGAGGGCACGGGCTCACTCATGTCGATTAACGAAGGCTAAAAAGAAGACTAAAGAAGCCAAAAATTATGGATTGCCTTTAAAAAAGTGTACAAAAATTAGCCAAGAATTGGTAAAAACTTGCTTTGGAAACAAGATGAATTTGTAAACGTACAATTTTGCACTATTTTTCCTATTTATTTTGCTTTCCACTGAACAAATTTTTATTTTACGAACTACGAACTGTTCACGATGGAACCTTCACAACAACTGAAGTATTGGAAAGAAACTTCTATAAAGTAAGGCTGATGGGTCTTACACAGATTCCTAGATATGGAAATTTTTTTTTTGAAAACAAGCACAGTCGATCCCCAACAGATAGCGAGCGCCCACTTAAAAACATCGAAATATGAATGAACTTTGCAGAACAAATTTTGAAATTAAGATTTCTTTCTGTCTCTTAATTTGCCAAAAATGATCTGCAAATTAAGTAAATATTTCAGGAGTACCTGCCAGGGTTAGAGGGCGGTCAGTGTCGACACCAATAAGCACAACGTGACCTAGACATTAAAAAAATACATTTGCAAATAGCTATTCATAGGTAAAAGTAATCCAGAATTTACCAATTTCGTGGGTGGTGTTCACGTTGATCTTGGCGACATCGGGTGCCCTCCAAAGCCACATTGTTGTATAGAATTTTCCAATCCTTCGCTAAGTTCCTTTGTTCGCAATCAACACTTTCTTGGAGTTTTAAGGCTTCATTTTAAAAGACCTCAGCATAAGTTCAGCTCGTTTCTTCTAAGCTTGGGCGTCAATCTTTGAATCTATTTTTTGACCTTTCGATTTCTGCGAGCATTTTAAAATAACAACTGTCTAAAAATGCAGCTTGGAGCACTTAGAATAGACTGCCATGTGCGCAAGTGTTTTTATACCCTTGCAGAGCAAAAGGGTATTATAATTTCAGTCAGAAGTTTGCAACGCACTGAAGGAGACACCTCAGACCCCATAAAGTATATATATTCTTGATCAGCATCACGATCAGAATCCAAATCCGTCTGTCCGTCTGTCCGTCTGTCTGTCTGTCCGTCTGTCCGTCTGTCCGTCTGTCCGTCTGTCTGTCTGTCCGTCTGTCCTCCTGTCGATTTCTATGTAAACTAGTCTCTCAGTTTTAAAGCTATCGTGCTGAAACTTTCCCAAAAGTTGTGTAGTTGTTGCACGCAGTATATAAGTCGGAACGGGCCGGATCGGCCGACTATATCGGATAGCTCCTATACGAGAGAATGAAATAAAAAATTCTCACGCAGTTGTTTTTGATCAGATCGACTTGAATTCTTCAAGATGGCGTTTTCTAACTGTTATTAAATTTCGGATTAAATTTGAACAAAATCGGATAACTCTATCATATAGCTGCTATAGGAGAGATCGAAAAATATATATAGAATTAATGGAAATAAATTGATAGCATCGTTGTTTTCTATCCCACGAGCTTGATTTTTTGAACATCAAGTTTTTTAACAACCCTTATATTGAGAAAAAAGTTTCATAAAAATCGGACAACTATATCTTATAGCTGCCATAGGAAAGATCGAAAAAACTATATAGATTTGATTATAAATAAAATGATAACATCGTTGTTTTTCATCAGACAAGTATGATTTTTGGAATATAGAGTTTTCTTACGACTCTTGAATTACGAATTAAATTTGATCAAAATCGGACAACTATATCATATAGCTCCCATATGATCTATAGTCGAAAATATGGAAAATGAATAGAAAAATCGTCTTAGCTTCGATGTTGTTTAACCTTTATGCATTTTGTTCGACATATTTGATGACTGCAAGGGTATATAAGCTTCGGCTTGCCGAAGTTAGCTTCCTTTCTTGTTTAATAAAAAATTTGATCCTTTAAATTGCCGATTTTTAACAAGGAAAAAGGCGAGCATTTTATTGAAAACAGATCATTACTATCTTCATTTTCCTTGGTTAGATACAGTCCGCGTTTTGTCTTCTTGTTCCGCCCAAGGCTCCTTTAGTTTTTTATACCCTTTAAAGCAGCCCTGAGTCAACTGTGAGAGCTTTCAAGACAGTCATCGCATATCCGGATATTATTGCCATCATCACCCAACACCCGTCTAGCCTTTACATTTTTTTAAATTTACATATTTAAAATTCAAGCCCTGAAATCAAGATGCCGTTTGGATGAAGCTCGTTACTTACTTCGACGAAAGCACCTAAATTATAGATTGCTCTGCGAAGCGCAGAAACGCGAACGTTGATGATCTGAGATGCAATCCGGAGTCAAGGGAGCCCTACACCGGCAGCCATTTTTGAATACAAGCCACTTGCACTTCAGCAATGAGCAATACATACATATTTCTAAACGCTAGCCGGGTATGCGATGACTGCTGTAAATGACATGAAAAATTGGAGGGGCTAAATCAGGTACCGGGCTAAACAGGAAAAAAAGAGTCCCCTATTTTGGCGGTCTTTTCTACGCCCTACAATTTTAAGGGATTGCTTCAAAAAGCAAGGTTAACAAGCCTACTTTTACACATTTTAAACTACCCAATTTCCTAAACTGTTTTTTTTTATATCCAAATCCCAAGTAACATTAAGACCGATTGTTATAATACAGAAACCGTGCGCTGCCGTTATTACTTCAGCAAAAAAGTTTCCGATTTAAGAAAGCCAAAAAATAATTGTACTGTTTTTTTTGGCCGAACATTTTAATAGTCTTATACTTTTTATATAAATTTGAAATACCGACGAATATTAAATTTGGACAAATACACAATTTACAGATTTAAAAAATCGCATAAAATAATAAATATCGCGGGACTCGGTTGGAATTTAACGCCTTAGGAAGAACTAACATTGCTTGCAGATGCGCCGCCCTTGTTAGCCTGCAAAGATACACGATAGATTTTGTTATGTTATTGAATAAAACAGATCGGAATTTGTAAGGCGCTTACCATGTGGCGAAAACGATCCTTTTCCTCTACCGAGAGTTCTCGCCAGGCTAGAGCGCCTTGTTGAACCATCTCCTGGGGCGTTAGACCGATCTTGCCCTTCCTGAAGGCACGCAAAAAGTTCAGATACCCGTTGGTGGTTATCGGACCCGTCTTGCGTTTGGCATCTCCATTCGCACACGCCTCCTTCTCCTTCTCCTCCTCCTCCTCCTTCTGCTTTTCCTTTCTCTCCTCCTTTTTCTTCGGGGGACCAGCGGCCCGCCTTTTGGGCTTACCCAGGGCCGCCTTTCGTCGGGGCGTGGCACAGGCCTTCATCGGCCTTGCGCGCGATTTCGGCGGCCTGGTGCAACACTTTAACACGCGGCTAACCTTGTCCACAGGACAGTCAACAGTCAGTATAGATATTTTTGAATGTTCGGCAGCCCCAGAAGCCATGGCCATTATCGCCATGGCGGTTCTACCGAAGTCGCTATAAGAGTCCTTTTCTGCCTTGCTCAACTTTTCCCAGTTACTAGCGGCCTCCCTGGCGAACTGCATAAAACTCATGTCGCCGCATTGCTTAACGAAGTCGCGCAAGTAATTTAAAAATCCGTTGTTTTCCCACAACCTTGTACTAGTGCTTCGGCCTTTTTCAACATCTACTACCTTAGCGGAGAGCTCAGACTCACTCATATTGGCTAACGAAGGCGTTCGCCAAAATAATTTTTATAGATTGCCTTTCAAAAAATTTACAAAAATAATTAAATATATTATATTCAGGTTTTTTTAATCTTGGTTTAAAAACGCGAAGCTTGGCAAGTTCAGTTTGTAATTTAACAGAAAAAATTTTTATTTTACGAACTGCTGAAAAAACTTTTGTAAAGTAAGGATGATGGGTCTTACACCGATTGCTAGATTCGAAAATTTTGTTTTTAAAAACAAGCACGTATGGCGGTAACTATAAACGTTAGGGTCGACAAAACTGTAGGAGCCGACAAAAAAATCGAAAAATTTACTTGTGATGTCCAATTTTTGCTTACCACTGAAAAATTTAAATATCTTTGGTGTTAACACAGTGAGAGCTTCACTAATAATGAAATAAGGAACAACTTCTCGCAAACTTATATTTAGTTAGGATGATAAGAATTACACCGATTGCTACGATTTGAATATGTTATATTTTTAACGCAACTGCCTGGCATTGAGATCGCTGAAACCATAAGAGCTAATAATTGATATAAAAGTTATTTCGACAATTGGTCAAGCCCTAAAAGGTTTTTTTTTAAACCGACTATGTCCCCCAAAAATAGTGTTATCCACAAAGATTATCAAAATTGTGTGTTTATACCCTTGCAGAGCAAAAGGGTATTACAATTTCAGTCAGAAGTTTGCAACGCAGTGAAGGAGACACCTCAGACGCCATATAGTATATATATTCTTGATCAGCATCACGAGTAGAATCAGAATACGTCTGTACGTCTGTCCGTCTGTCCGTCTGTCCGTCTGTTCGTTTCCGCGCAAACTAGTCTCTCAGTTTTAAAGCTGTCTTGCTGAAACTTTCCCAAAAGGTGTGTAGTTATTGCACGCAGTATATATGTAAGTCGGAACGGGCCGGATCGGCCGACTATATCGGATTGCTCCCACACGAGAGAATGAAATAAAAAATTCTCACGCCGTTGTTTTTGATCAGATCGACTTGATTTCTTCCAGATGGCGTTTTCTAACTAATTTCGGATTGAATTTTATCAAAATCGGATTACTCTATTATATAGCTGCCATAGGAAAGATCGTAAAATCTATATAGAAATAACGGAAATAAAATGATAACATCGTTGTTTTTCATCAGACAAGCATGATTTTTGGAATATAGAGTTTTCTAACGACTCTTGAATACCGAATTTAATTTCATCAAAATCGGACGACTATATCATATAGCCGTCATTTGAACAATAGTCGAAAATATAGAACATTTATAGAAAAATCGTCATAGCTTCGATGCTGTTTAGCCTTTATGTATTTAGTTCGGCATATTTGATGACTGCCAGGGTATATAAGCTTCGACTTGCCGAAGCTAGCTTCCTTTCTGGTTCTTTCTAATATTCTTCAAAAGTTGAGCAAAAACATTTAAGTAAACTCACTATAATAGAACAATACTTATTTTGCCGCAAAAAAAAATCGAATATAGGCCTTATTTTGGCCTTTAAAACCTAGACAGCGAACTCCTCTTTATTCAGCGAATGTTCGGGCTCGACTATGCTTGTAATTAAAAGCAACATTTTCGAATCTAGCAATCTGTGTAGAACACATCAGCCTTGCTTTATAGAAGTTTCTTTCGAATACTTCAGTTTTTGTGAAAGTTCCATCGTGAACAGTTCGTAGTTCGTAAAATAAAAATTTGTTCAGTGGAAAGCAAAATAAATAGGAAAAATAGTGAAAAATTGTACGTTTACAAATTCATCTTGTTTCCAAAGCAAGCATTTACATAATTTTTGGCTTTCTTTAGTCTTCTTTAGCCTTCGTTAATCAACATGAGTGAGCCCGTGCCCTCCACTAATACAAAAGGTCGAAGCATAAGTAAAGAATTGTGGAAAGACAATGGATTTTTGAATTATTTGCGCGACTTCTTTAAGCACTGCGGCGACCTTAGTTATATGCAGTTCGCCAGGAAGGCCGCTGGTTGCTGGGAAAAGATGAGCGAGAAAGAAAAGGACCCCTATTACAATATGGGTAGTACCGTCGAGGCTATAACGGCCATGGTTTCCGAGGCCGCCAAGAATTCGAAAATACGTGTAATGGGCAGCTCTCCTATGTTCAAAGTTAGCGGCATAAAGTTACTAAAGTGTCGCACCAGGCCCGCGAAATCGCGGCCGATAAAGCGCTTTGCCACGCCCCGACGAAAGGCGGCCCTTCGAAAGCCCAAAAGAATTACTTGTTTCTTACCAACAAAGAGTCCCTCGAGGGCAAAGAAGCTGAGGGAAAGGTGTGCCACAGGAGTTGCCAAACGCAGAAAGGTGGATCCGATAACCGACAAAAGTTATCTGAACTTTTTGCGTAATCTCAGGAGGAAGCCCCTCAGTCTAAAGACCCGGAAACTGATTCAAGAGGGCACCCTAGCCTGGCAAAAACTCTCGGAAAAGGAGAAAAATCGTTACCGCCAGATGGTAAGCGCTTTACGACTTTGCTGAATACTTACAAATTCTGAAATTAATTCATGTAACATAAATAAATCCATGTATCTTTACAGGCCGCGTCTGCACGCAATGCTAATTCTTCCTAAGGCGTTAAATTCCATCCGAGTCCCACCATCTTTATTCATTTATGCGACTTTTTGTATTCTGTAAATTGTATGTCTGTCCAAATTTACGTATTTTTCGGCTTACAAAATTTTTAGTAAGAGTCTAAGACAATTAAAGTATTCGGCCAAAAAACACGATCAATTGTTTTTCCTGTATCTTAAACAAACTATTTTTATAGACTATTTTTTATTTTTATAGCAATTTTTCGTTTGGCTTCTCAAAATCAAACTTTTCTGCTGAAGTATACACGTCATGGCACAGCTTCTGTGTTATTCGCGTGTTAATGCAATTTTATATCAGTATCGGTGATATTGGGAATTTTTAGCAAGTGTTTTTATACCCTTGCAGAGCAAAAGGGTATTATAATTTCAGTCAGAAGTTTGCAACGCAGTGAAGGAGACACCTCAGACCCCATAAAGTATATATATTCTCTATGCACCACGTTTTCGTTTTGCTTGGTACAAGACACTTAGTGCAAAAACTGAACTGAACTACGGACTCCTGACCATTTGGCTGAAATCTTGCACTGGCTGAAATCCCTTACGATTTTCTTTGTGTTGGCCCTCCTCTTAATTTTCAACCGCATTAAAAATATCGTTAATAGATTGCGTTACGCGATACTTGAACTGCCACTTAAGCAAAGTTCAGTGGGAGTGTTAACATTTTTCCAAGTCTTATATTTAGAAAGCACTTTTAATAGATACAGAAAAAAAACCAATACAAATGTAAGCTTCCAAGAGGGCGGGGAATCCCGGCAAGGCTCCTCCTCTTCTCCCGCAACATCAATCCACGTCAGCTGCCAGCTTAAAGGGACTGGGATCCCACCAGGGATCAGGCCACCGAGCTGCAGAGGCCGCAGTTGCTGACCGGACACATCCGCATCTCGACGTCCTCGCCGACCCGCACCACGGCGGCCATTCCGCTCTCGGAGTGCGGCGAGATGTGGCAGTGGAACATCCAGTAGCCGGGGCTGTTGGAGAAGAAGCGCAGGATCGTGTAGCCGAAGGCGGGCACCTGCACGGAGTCCTTCAGCGGAGCACCCTTGGCGCGCCTCGGCAGCGGCGTCTTGCGGTCGATCTGCTCGATCTGGGCGATCCTCTCCTCGCCCAGGACACCCATCCCGACCACGCGGAACGTGTAGCCGTGCAGGTGGACCGGGTGCGGGGTCTGCGAGAGGCTGGAGACGACGAACTCCACCTGCTGGTTGGCCGGCACCTGGATGACGTTGGAGCACTGGCAGTGCCGCTGGCGGCAGTTGAAGCCCAGCGCCGCCTGCTGCGTCCGGTTGCAGAAGAACTGGCCAACGCCGAGGTTGCGCGTCTGCAGCAGCGACATGCGCGGCATGCTGAAGCTGATGTCGTCCATCTGGAAGCGGAATCCCTCGCCCTGGCGCACCTCGAACGCGTTCATGCTCGTGTAGAAGGTGGTGGTCGGCGGCACCTCCGGCTCCGCTCGCTGGGCACTCAAGCTGGCCAGCGAGATGCTCCCCGCCGCCGCTGCCACCACTGGCGGCGTCTCCCAACTCGTTGAGCGTCTTGCCGGGCGCATCGTAGGCGTAGCTCAGGGTGTGCGGATCGAGCGCCTGCGGGTCGGCGTCCCGGTAGTGGAGCACCGCCTCCTGGTGCAGCTGGTTGCGGGCGCAGAAGCTGAAGCCCTTCACGCGCAGCCAGTAGTTGGCCACCTCCTGGTTGGCGTGCAGCACAAAGTCGAACCGCTCCGCGCCGTGCAGCATGATCCGCTGCACCTCCACCGGCTCGATGTCGTTCCCGTCGCTGGCGATCACCACCAGGTCGTGCTTGTCGATGCTCAGGCTCACCGGGCAGTTCGATACGCCTGCAACGACACAGAAACCTCTCTTGGCTGATAACTCGGATAATGGATTACAGTACAGTACGGTCTACACTCAAAAAAGTTACTGATAGTCCAGTTAGCTATTAGATTGCTTTCTTATTTAAAGAAGGAGTTTCTGAAGCTGGGAAAAGCATTGGCACAATCGCATTCATTTTTCAAAAGTTTTACGAGTATGTAAAATTTTTAACAAACATACATATGTACCTTACCCATATTTTACGTACGAGTATGTAAAATGTTTAATAAACATACATACCCTACCCATATTTTACGTACGTGTGTACGTCAGTTAGGAAGCTCTACTTGACTCACCATTGAAGATCACCCGGAAGCGGTAGCGGCCACCCCTGACCACCGGGAAGTGGGCGTAGAGGGTGGGGCGGGCGGCCTTGACGCCCTTCTTGAGGTTGCGGCCCCGGCCGTTGATGAGGATGTTCTCGGCGACGCTCTCGACGAAGTTGTGCACCCAGTCCTGGATCATGATCACGTGCTCGGAGAGGTCGAAGTCGTAGAGGTGGGCGTGCGGATTGAGCCGGGGGGGCATGCGCACCACCAGGGGGCCGGCGAGTCCGAAGGCGCGCTGGTGCTCCGTGTGGCTGTGCCACCAGTTGGTGCCACCGTGGTCCACCTCGAAGCGGTAGCGGAAGGCCTGGCCGGCCTCGATCGGATATTGGGTGACGTGCGGCACGCCGTCCATGAAGGGCGTCAGTCGCTGGTGCATCCCGTGCCAGTGGATGGTCGTCGTCTCGTGCATGCTGTTGATCACGTCGGCCACCACGGTGTCCCCGTGGCACACCTCGATGCTCATCCCCGGCAGCTGGCCGTTCACCACCATCACCTCGCTCTCCAGTCCGTCGGCGTACTTGCAGTCGTCGTTCGCCGCCAGCTGCTCCGCCAGCCGGACGCCGTCGATGTACTCCCGCCCGTTCAGCTTGAAGCGGAACTTCGACTGCAACGGAATGCTGAAGGTATAGTGCTTCCCGCGGAAACATGGCTTTGATGGGTAGACAAATGGGTGGGAGAGGCAGTGGGAGGGGGAGTGGGAGGGGGAGAAGTAATTCGGAGTGGTAGGAAAACCTCGAACTGGACCTAGCCCTCCTACCTCCGATCTCCAACCATGTTCAAAATTTCAGAATCCATGCTAACCTGATCACGAATAATTTGGCCGAAATCGGCGAAATGACTGATTTATTTGTTTTTCGCCATTATCAATAAATATTTCATATTCAAATTCATATTTAAGTGACTTTTTAAAAGAAGAAAAGACTTTTTGTTTTTGATTGTTGCTTACGTTCCACCTACATTGTTCTTCTACATTACGTGTTACATTCTACATTGACTGTGTTCTACATTGATTACGATTCTAAGATTACAAACCGACTACGCTGCAGTCTGTCTTGGAATAAAAGAGGACACCTCAACAACCCGCAGTCCAAAGTAAACTAGTCTCATGTACTCGTATTCCTAGGGCCAAGTTATTAGAATCGAATCTTTCTTTGGCAAACGTTTTGCTTTCGGTGTTTGCGGCTCACCTGGAGGTACCGCTTGCAGGTCTCCGCCATCGTGTCGTCGTAGTGGACCACCATGTAGTAGTAGCAGGTCATCGGCTGCTTATCGGCGCAGTCGCGCTTGCAAGGATGCCTCATGTTGTCCTTTTCCCCCACCCGCCACTGCGAGGACTCGCCTGCGCCCGAGGACAGCTGGGGATACATCTGCATGATCCGCTCATACTTGCTCACGATCCGCTTGCCACTGGCATCTACGAGTATCAGTATTATAGACAATTGGGCGGTTAATGTGTTGCCGAGTATATTTTAAATACATAAACAAAAAATCGAACTTTAAACAGGTTCGATTTGGAAAAGCCAACTCAACGGAAGTAAACATTTTCCCGTGAATCCGTTGGAGCTTTTTGAGTATCCAATCGGTTAGAGAGACACTTTTTTCAACTTTGTTTTTCTAACTCCAAACGTGTTTGTTTCAATACATGTTTTGTAACTGTCCCGATATTCCGGCAGATAGTCCTTATAGCTCTAATGCAATTCACAAAAGCACCTTGGATGCCATTGATTTGCACACTTATGAGGCACAAAGTGAAGACTAGTGTCTGCACCAAATTGAGTTTCATGCTCGCATCCAATCGATTCACAATACAGAAGCACTGTCGTTAGAGTAAAACCACTTCGGGTAGAAGACGCCTTTGTGGCTCTGGCTGAGGGCCAAATGGTACTGTCAATGGGCTTCCGCCATCGGTTACCTTTTTGTAAGCAAAACGGCCGGGAAAGTCGGCTGAAAATTGCCCGGAATCGGTTGCTTGTCTGCCGTGTCGAACAACTCGTTGCAGTTAATTGAAGATTGTGCGGCTGACAAGCCGCTCCAAGAACAGAAGATGCCGATTACTGACGCAAATACACGAATAATTTCCCCGAGCAGCCGCTACTGTTGGTGGAAATGATTCAGAGCCGAATATAAGTGCCACTGGCCTAGTTTTAGGACTCATCCAAAAATGTAAACAAACAACCAGAGCTCCTGTGATTTGTTTTCATTTAAAGTGAAGCTTGTTAATTTTAAACATATTTCTTATAACTAATCCAAGTATCAACACTTAAAGGTAGTACACACACAAATACTTCCTCTTTTGGCCCGTTCGAGAGAGGGCTTTCGTCGATGGAAATGGCATATATTTATTTTTCAATTCTGATTGAAATCGGAGAACATTTTTTTTTGGAGTGTCCGCATTAACGCAGAAAAGTGTGCTACCTCGGTTTTTCCCCAGCGCTCTCATGAAAGCCACATTGTTGTATAGAATTTTCTAATCCTTCGCTAAGTTCCTTAGTTCGCAATCAACACTTTCTTGGCGTTTCAAGGCTTCATTTTAAGAAACCGCAGCATAAGTTCAGCTCGTTTCTTCTAAGCTTGGGCGTCAATCTTTTACAAAATACATAAAGGCTAAACAACATCGAAACTATAACGATTTTTATATTTATTTTCCAAATTTTCGACTATTGTTCATATGACAGCTATATGATATAGTTGTCCGATGTTGATGAAATTTAATTCGTAATTTAAGAGTCTGACGAAAAACAACGATGTTATAATTTTATTTCCGTTATTTCTATATAGATTTTTAGATCTTTCCTATGGCAGCTACATATATGACAACGTTGTCGGTTTTTAACGAAATTTTTCCGTCTGTCTCTCTAGTCTCTCAGTTTTAAAGCTATCTTGCTGAAAGTTTTCCAAAAGTTGTGTAAATAAATAAACAAAATAATTTTAGGTTTAAAAGCAACATGAATTTATATTGATTTCACTCATTTTATAAATGTTTTTAAGGCTACACTTCAAATTCAAACTTATTTATTCAAAATACAATTTTTTGTATATATACCACCAATTTTTATAATTAATTCTTTCGTTAAATGTTTTTTTAAAGTTACTTTCCAAATTCCAACTTATTTGTTAAGTATTTTTAATCTACTCTTAGTGAAAATTACAAATGAAAATTCAACATATTTTAACTGCGATATAATTCTAATAACTTCTTTGGGTGATTAAATTTTAAATAATACAGTTAATGTGTCCAGATCTAAGATCGTCACAGCCTCTGAAAAGATAAAAAGGCAAACCGGTTAAGAATAACTTACTCGAATTTATTGAATTAAGCCCAATCAACTAAGATTTAATAATTTAGATACCTGACTTGAGATCAACCCATTATCTCCTTTAATTCCTTAATCCGCTTCAAAATGCACGGGTTGATGAACTGCGTTACGTTGCAGGGGTTCCCCTGATTCACTGCCTCCTCATCTTCCCATCTGACTATTTCACTACAGGTAGCCCACTCTTTCGTATTATTATCAAACATTACGTGAAATGGCCCGAACTTCGCAGCCACGTCCATAAAAACATACAAAACCCGTGTGCGGAGATCCAGGGTGGAATTTGTATGAGCTTTCCAGAAGCGATGGTAGGAGAACTCCTCCATGTTGCGCAGCAAATGCTCCAAATCAGATCGCAACGTGGGTGACAAGTGGGGAAAAAGACTCTGCAGCAGAGGACCTCGCAAATAACTACGTCTCCCGTCAATCTTGACCAACGCCTCCTGATAGCAGGCACCCTCTAGGTGTCCTTCAATGCGGTTCCTGATTATTTGCGGAACGGTAAGCGATTTAAAAAAGCTGAATCGCTGCAGCTCAAGAAATATAACACTGCTCTGTAGTGCTTGATTACAAACCCGAGAGGGGGCTTGATCACAAACTCCAAGAGAAGCACTGTTGACTTCCTTTTCAATTACCTTGCGAGTGTTAATATTTGTGGAGTCCAGGAGCATGTGTAGCTGGGTGGACTCCAAGAGTGTGTTGCCGGTAGCAAATTCCTGCGAGGGAGTGATGTTGGGCGCTAATGGCTGAGGTGAAGTGTTGTCGGATGGATCGACATGTTTAGCGCCTTCAGACTCTATACGCACCATTGCATTCAACGGCAGGTCTGAAAACCCATGCCTCACCTGCGGCACCTGTTCGTCTTCCAGTTTTATTCGTTTGATTGGCACTGCCTCGCTGGTTGATTCGCTTTTTCGTTTCGTTTCTGACGTACATGGGAAATCATCGGTATCCACTTCTTGGGTGGCTGCAGCCACGTCCTCGTCCGCGTTATCATTGTTTCCTAACAAGCTTTCTTCTAGCAGCAAATTACCCATCTTATCAGGCATCTGTTCTTTTAATTTCGAAATGCAAAAGCAGAGCAAGCTCGTTTCCTCTTTTTGGCTGCCATCCAAGTCTATTATTTGCTCCTCCGAATCAATTTTTTCCCATTGGCAATCATCGGTGTAGCAAACGCAACGTTCGTTGCTAAGGAATTTAATGGGTTCCTGCTTAATTGTAACCACGTTTAAGGACATTGGCTCTTTTGGTGATTGGCACACATCTGCGATTCCCGCGGCCATTGGTAGATCGCTTGGAATTTCTGTCGATTGGTAAGCTTGGTTTCCAGTTGCCACGTTGACGAAAGTCGACTCAGTAGGCTGAGTAGGTGTGCCACTAGATTCCTCTGAGAGTTTAGAAATTATTATTTTAGTTATTGGCAATGATTTGGGTTAACTTACGATTGAAGGCATCTTCGCTCGAGAAGATGGGTTGTATATTCTGATTTTGGCTGCCATCCAAGTCAATTGTTCGCTCCTTCAAATTTTATGATGGGATCAAATTTTGTTTGGTTAATCGTATTGATTGCTCTTTAAAAAGTGGTTTCTTACCTTTGCTTTCTCTATGAGTATTTGCTTCTCTAATATCGGAACATGCAAAGCGGTTGATTCCACAGGAAAATCCAAATTTTTATTTGTTAGGTTTTTCTCTAAAAATGTGGAAGATCGGTCTTTGTTTCCTGTATCACATTTCGATGAGCTTCTTGAACAGTTCGGAGAACATTCTGATAAACTGGACGTCTGAGGCAGAGTTTTTAAAACAGACGTAGCTTTGCCTTCCTTTGAACATTTCAGGAACTCATGCTGTTCCAAAGCACTTTCAAGCTCTTCGGCTGCTGGTGGCCTAAAATGAACTATGCTGCCTATTTCAACTGCATTTGAACGTGAAGTTGCTGGGGTTGCAACTTGTGCTATCAGATGATCATGCATGAATGAACCTCCTTTTTGAGTTAAGAGGTATTCCAAAAATTCGTTTTCAAGAATTGCCCTCTCTTGCGGGCTTTTGCAATCAGAGCATAAATATGCATATAAGTTATCGGGAATATATTGCACTAAATCAATCTTTGTCTTTCTAATAAAATAAGGAAGAACAATCAGCATTATAAACTTAGATAAAATAACATTAATTACTTACGAAGCTAATTCCAATTTCCGTGCTTCATAAGACTCGTTCGGACATTGCCTTCCTTTCTTTTGTTCATCTGGTGCTTGACCTTTTGATTCAGGCTGAGATATTCTTATGGACTGCGACTGTTTCTGATCTTCCGAATCAGAAATAAGCACCGCCCACTCTTGTAGTTTTTGGGCCATCTCAGAGGGCGCAGCAGCAAAGTTAAATTTGAAACGATTTCTAATATCCTTTTTAACGTAAAATGAGTGGAAAAACCTGTGAAGCAGGCGAACACATCTGACGTTATCTTTACGAATCTCGGCTAGCTGCTCTGCAGTGTTAGTCTTTCCAAAAGAGTCGTTGACAAGCTGATCCATCAACTCATCGCTGTTAACATAAAGCTTAAAAGTTCGGAACGACACGGGAAATTGGTAATGATTATTTGATAAGCGAATTAAGGTATCGTCGTAGTATTGATTCCCAGATCTTGAGGTATTCGTCGTATTACTGAACACAATAAACAATTACAATTAAAAAAATTTTATTAAGAAAAAACAAGCGAACGTTTTTGTTTACCTTTCCTGCGGTGGAACTTCTTTATTAGTGTTCGCAATTTCATTGCCCGAGTTGGGATTCTCTTGGCAAGCCGCTTCCTTTGAACATTGCTCATTCAATTTCGGTGGAAAGCTTAGCAATTTTTCCCGCAACTTGGCGGGGCATGCTTTAAGACGAGGAACAAACTTTTCCCGCATTTCTGGTCTAGAATAGAAACCTTTGTAATACTCTTGGATACATGACTCCTCAGATTTTCCATGGTATTCAACGCATTGAAGCATTTGGTGAACGATATCCTTAAGATTGCTAACATGACTCCTAAACATTTTTATAGAAACGGGTGGCCTACATCTTCCAAGTCGGAATATATATTTTTACAAAAGTTATTCACAGTTTATTAAAAGAATATCTTTTACAGCTACTTACATCAAATCGTTTCTTAGTGGTTCTTTAGCGTTTTTCGATACTTCTAAAACTTGGTTGGCTGTCTCGTTGTGGGGTTCTGTTAAATCTATTACTATGTTTGGATCTGGATGTTGACACAGCTTGAGGGGAATATTTCTAATAAAAAAATATGTGTTAGGTTTTTAAAATGATTTCCGGGTACTTATTTATACTTACTTTGAATCTTGTAAAGACTCGATTTTATGGGAAATTAACTCATGATTCCGCACAGTTTTGGCTGCTATGTCATCATAAGCTCTGCCAAATTCCAGTAACTTGGCCAAAGGAGTAGATGGAACTTCTTTGAAATAGTTGGTCTTTTCACGAAATCGTGGGAATATGTAGTAGCGGTTATAAAAGTTTCTTAAGGTACTACGACAATACCCATAATTGCCCAACAGCATTAGACCATGCTGTCTGTTCTTGATGATCTTGAGGAACACCACTTTTTTGTTAAGGTTGCCCTCAAAAGTTCGAAAGGACACCGGAAATACAAAGGTGCCAAGCCTACACAAATCGAAATGTTGTAAATGCCATTAGTTTGAATTGAAAGGCACTTACGTGTTTACTTTAACTATCTGATCTTCAGATCCTAGTTTTAGGTTTCCTGGCAACTTATTCGCTTCGCTTGTAGCATTGACCTCTTGTTTTGATATTGGCTGGTTGATCTCTTTCTGTTTACCCGCATTCATGATCAGTTCAGGATCAGGTACCGTGAGCAACTTTTCTCGTATATGATGAGGACAAGGAGCCACTTCGAACTTATACTTTTCTCGAATACTTGGATCTCTGTAAAAAGCTTCATAATACCAATGTGCCCACTCGTCGTCGGTTTTGTGGTTTCCATCGGCGGATCGTAGAGCCGTTGCGATTTTCGACAGGTTTGCTATTAGCCTTTTAAATGTCTTAAAGGTCACAGGAAAAATCTGATCACTGGATTTTGAATTGTTGAGCGACCGCTCGCGGAGTGCCTTTAATGCAGACATCAAAACTAACTCAGCAAAACGACAACAAACGCCAGAAAACCCGCCTAATTAGGAATAACATAGGTGTGACCGTACATGAAATAATTAAATATACCATAAGGCAATGCGAAATATTTATTAATAAGTGTTTTTACGGGATCCTAAAAACAGTATTTTACTTTTCTGCTTAAGTACAAATTGGATAGCTTCTGTATTATTTATGTGTTTATCCAACTTTATATTCGTGACAGCAGGCCCGGAGAAACAGTTTTGAGTGGGGTGATGACCTCACAAATTTTCACATACATATATATTATCATGAATTTACATTAGATTTAGTTTTCGAAAATACTTGTACATAAGCCGCCACTTCAAAATTAAATAAAAAAGTGTTGCACAACACGACTGTTGGTCAGGGCTGGCAACTGCCTACCGACCAATTGTTGACGAGTTCGATACAGTATTTTTTTAAATCTGCATATTGTTTTGAAAAATGGCATCTGTTATCAGCCGCATTCCATACTTTTGCCCACCATTTGTACATAGCATTTATCTTGCTTTTGATACGACGATGGGGTAAAACAAGCAACAAGAGTTGTCAACGTAGATTACACATTTTAATTTCTCTGCTGACGCTAATCAGACGGCGATTGCCCACCAGCCGAGTATTCAGAATTTTTGCCATTGTCTTTGGAACCCCTCCATCCTCTGCCATGCCATCATCTACACACCATATAATGTATTTTGAATTTCATTCGCTTTTATCGCACTGGCAATACTGGCCGTGTGTGTGTTTGTGGGTGGTGGGGGGTATGATTATGCATAAAAACAAACAACAAGTAGCTGCAGCAAAGCATATAGCGGTAAACAGTCACACACATAAACGAGGTGTACGTACGAAAACAAGTTTCGACGCCGCTAAAAAACCGCACAATTGGCCGCCATGGAGTTCATTAGCCAGTTCATTCGACTAGCGAGCAGACGCCACACCAAACTCAGTCCAATCCTGCAGAGAAGTCTGAGCGGAATCGTCCGTAGAAAGTAAGGTTTTTGTTTGTGGCAGCCACCTGCCTCTCTGTGTGTGTTTTCGTTTATGGGTGGCGGGGCAAGTCAGGGTTGCCACCCACACGCACAGTGATAACGTCGTTTTACTGATGAAATTTCACAACTGGCCAAGATTTTCAAACGATCGACAGGCACACAACATCATGGACACCACAATTCACTCCGCGGGCATCGCCGAGATCCACCAAGTTCCGATGAGCGTTATTCAGAGACCTATTCCCTCCGTTCTCGACGAGAAGAAGGTGGAGTCTCTGATGGAAACCATCAAGGTAACTGCGATTCCCCTGGAGAGTGGGTGGGTTACCAAACAAAATAAGTTCAGTGCCCAAAGAGCGTAGAAAAAGCACATGGAAGGTCTAAAATTGAAAATGAAATTAGTAGTAGTCATAAAATGAACTAAACAATTTATACATTTGAATATTTTTATCTTATTATTATATTGATTGATAATGAAAATTCCTTTAAATTAGATTTCTTATTTTAAAGCATTTTGGCTGCTGCTCTAATATAAAGTAATTAAAGAGCATCGCTTGTTTCATCAATTTAAAACAGACTTAAAACCGAATGAAATGTAAGCAAACGAGCAGATAGGCACACCTATGGCCCCCAAAATAGGCAAGAATAGCTTCCAGTTGCACATACCGGTTGCCCATGCCACTCTCTACTTGTCACTCTACCGGTTGCAATACGCTCTCTCCTTCTCCACCTTCCTTTCCGCAGGGCGAGTCCAGCGAGGACGAGGTGCCCCCCATTGACCTGCTGTGGATCTCGGGCAGCGAGGGAGGCGACTACTACTTCAGCTTCGGCGGGTGCCACCGGTTCGAGGCCTACAAGCGACTCCAGCGGCAGACGATCAAGGCGAAGCTGGTGAAGTCCACCCTGGGCGACTTGTATCACTACATGGGTTCCAGTGCACCCAAGTACCTAGCCTGATCTTTGTACCAAGTCCATTTGGTTTCTGATTTGTGAAGCAAATGCATTTTTTGTTGATGTTTTTTTATAATAAGAAAGTCGTTTTTTACTTATCGCTGGATAAAGTTCGAACTTGACGGCCAGGGCGATAATTTAGCTTTATTTTTTGGCAATCTTAAACTTTATACTTAGCTTATCGCTGGACTGAAATTTTGTTTACCTTATCTAATACAATACAATTCTGACCACACACGGGCAAAACAAAAACAGGCTTAGATGTTTGTTTTTATTTTGCGTCTTTGAAACGTGCCTTAAATAAACGTATAATGTTTTAATGATGCGATCTTAAGTGTTGACTCCAGTTTTATCGTACGCTAATGCTTTGGTCGGCACTTTAACCTATTGCTGATCTAAAATATCTTGTACTCTCCGCTACGTGCTACAGCTAACATTTACAAAGTCCTTAAACATATTCGAAATGCAGTGAGGCGGGTAAGGGGAATATCACCAGAGAAAGGGTGATCTCTCGCGGAGAATCCGGAGTCCGTGGCGCTGCCAGTCGTGCTGCGAGATCCACAGCTCGCGGGCGCTCTCCAGCACGGACATGATGGCCGCGCCCTTCCACGCCACCATGCCCGCATCCATGCCCTTGGTGAAGACGTTCACCTCGGTGTCGGTGGGCTGCAGCTGCTGGCTGATCCGGTGCTCCAGCCAGGCGGCCAGTCCCGGCAGCTTGGCGCTGCTCCCCACGAGCAGGATGGAGCCGAACATCTTGCGCCTGGTTTCGTAGTTAGACAGCCGGTTGATGGCTCCGATTACGGCCTGGTCCAACGGAAGGACCTGGCCCTGTCCGTTGTGGTAACAATCGTTCGAGTTCGGCTGCCCGCCAGCCGTTTGCAGGTTCTGCTGCGGCTGGCAGTTGGTGTTAGCATCGTCCTGGTCCACCACGATGAGCTCGTCGTCGTCCGCGGTCACCGGCAGCTGGGGGCGTGGCTGGGAGCCCGGACCGGCGACCAGGCTCAAGGCGTCGCCGCCTCGGACGCCGTTCTTCCGACCCGTCTCCTTCAGGTACTCGCCATCGAAGCAGTCCTCGCAGTCGTACTGCTCCTGCGCCGTCTGCTGCGTGCACACCGCTCTCGTCCGGCCCGTAATGTTAAGCAGCTCTGTGTGGAAAAGGGCAAGGGGTGCCATGATGGCCTCGTCGCCCACCTGGATGGTGTAGCGTAACCACTGGCCGTTCTGCTTGCGCAGGGTGAAGTGCTTCTCCTGCGCGCCACACACGCTGGCGTTCAGGTGGCAGAACCTCTCCTTGAGCTCGTCCAGCAGATGGGCGTCCACATAGCTGTCCTGGACGTTGCACTCCCGATAGGGGAAACCGCACTTGCGCAGCAGCATGAGGAGCACCTGGTCGAGGTCACCGCCGCCGTAAGGCAGCCTCACCCGGGCATCTAGCTGGGAAATGCCGTCTTCGATGCAGGCGATGGAGGTCTTCTGGGCGCCAATGTCCACCACACAGCCGTAGCCGATGCCGGCGCCATAGGTGGAAGCCACGCTGTCCTGGACGAGAAAACACCGCCGGAAGCCCAAGCGTTGCAGCAGCAGAGTCATGAACTCACGCAAGTGCCGTCGTACGTACACGTCGTTGACCACCAGAACAGCGCAGTGGGTGCCCAAATCCCGCAGCGGGATCTTCAGGCGTGCCTCCAGGGCGTACGACCAGATGCGCTCCAAGTGCTGTAAGCTGGCCTGCAAAGGAAGTTCGTTAGAATCCGGCAACCGAAAGTGCGTGTTCGCATGAGTATCACTGGCAACAGTAACCAATATCAAACATCTGGTTTAGAGAACGATTCTACCATCCCTATGCCTGTTCAACGCCTGAGATGCTCACCTGCAACGAGCCGCCCTTCTCCCTGTGCACATTGAGCTCACCCCGTTGGATGGGGAAATGGATGTCGTAGTCGCGAGCATCGAAGGCGCTGAGCCGCAAGATTCGGTCGTCGAACAGGACGGGCGCCTCGCGATCCAGCCAGGGCTGCTGGTCGTCTGCCTGCTGCGCACTTGGCGGCGGCACCTTCTCGGCCTGGCTGCTCCGGTTAAAATGGGCCAGCTGCTGTGGCGGGGTGGCCACGCGCAGGCGGTTCTTCTCGTCGACGACGCAGTGCTGCAAGATGCGTGACACCGCCAAGCGCTGCTCCTCGAACTCCACCTGCAGTTGGGCGGGATTGATGTTGTCCAGTGGCGGCAGGAGTGCGTCGTGGTGCGGCCAGTCGCCGTCCACCTGCCGTCGCCTGTAGGCCACGGCGTGGAGCAGTGTGAGTGGATTGAGGTCCGCCGCCCGCCCGATCCGCAGGTGCTGTGACCCCGGATGGATTACGATGATCTTGGGCGCCTCCAGTGGTTGGGCCTGCGGTTGGGGCAGTCCCGAGACCGGGGGAGCCGGCTGGCCACTGCTGATGCTGCTGGCGCGGGATCGTCTGCGGGCAATGAATTTATATATCCTGTGCTGCCCTAGTTAGCCCACCAGTTTACTTACTGCATCTTTCGGGTTTCCGGACCGAATTCTTAAGCTTGGGCGCTCTGCAGTGTGACCGGGTTGGAGTATCAAATAAAAAACGTTTGGCGCTCAAAATATACCATTTACATTAACGTTCATTTTTTGTATATTATTTTATTTGAAGGTGCTGCGAGAGCTGAGCATATTTTATGAAAGTATTATAATCTTTGATTGATTTTTTTTTACTAAGCAAAGATATTAATCACCATATTAACACTGCAATAAGAGCAAACCACTGAAGGAACCTTCAGATTTTCCCTGAAATACTAAATAAACTGTTCCACACAAATTCAATTTCGGATAGAATAACGAATTTTTAATGGCTTGATAAATTAATTTTGGAGGGCATTTATTCCGGTATCGTTTCCTTTATTGCAGAGTTCTTTTCCTTGAACTTTCAACGATTCCGTTGATCAACAGTTTGGGGAATCCCATGAACCATTCATGGAACCATGTTTTATTTTCAGTATATTTTGCAAAGCCACATTTTGTGTGCATGGCTGGTCACACTGCCGAGAACGTGGTTTTGTTTTCTAATCATTGAACCGTAGAGCCGTATAGTCCGTTGTGAAATACGTCATTCCCAATTGACAGCGAATCCATCAGTCAATTAGCCAATAAACAAGTCAGCCAAACATCCCGGAATGTCGCACTTCACCTGCCTGAACTGCGATGCCCGCTTCGCCAGCGCGGACGTGCAGCGGGAGCACTACAAGACCGACTGGCACCGCTACAACCTGAAGCGCAGGGTGGCCCAGCTGCCACCCGTGACCGCCGAGGAGTTCCAGCAGCGCGTGCTGAGCGCCCGCAGTGCCACGGACGCGGCGCTGGAAGAGCAGAACCTGAGTGTCTACTGCCACGCCTGCCGCCGCCAATTTGGCAGCCAGAAAGCCCACGACAACCACCTGAATAGCCGCAAGCATAAGGAGCTGCTCGCGCGATTCGAGCGGGACCAGATGACCGCCAGTGGTGGCAGCAACAGCACCGCTGCGTCCGTTTGCACGCGCAGCGTCGTCGAACCACGCCCACATCCCGCTCTGGCCGCCGCAGCGGCCGGCAAGGGGCGACTGGCATTCGCGGAACGGTCTGCCAAGACGGACGACGACCAGGAAATGGAAGGGGACGACGACGAGTTCGAGGACATTGAGGAAGAGGAGGTAATATACAGTAGCCATATACATGTGACTGCACTTGCCTGGCAGCTTCGGAGTTCAAGGGATTCCATCAGCGGTTAGCAATATCTGTAAATCCAAGATTCTAGAAAATTCCCTTAGTGCTTAGTAAGTGCTAGGAAATTTGATAACCAGAAATTTAAAAAAAAAATCAAAAAATCCGGCAATCGTGCATTCTTCTAGCTACATGTATAATTTTTATATACACGTATGCTAGTCATCTACAAATGGCTTCTTACAACTGAGCAGAAATGAGCATTTAGAACCAAAATCTATTTTAACAAATGATTTTGTATAGCCCGTTAATACTTATGAAAATCTTCTTGGTATATGAGTGGGATCTCTTTAACGCCTTGAGCATTGCATTTGTGTGATAAATGTATTAAATTTAATGGTTCCCTCCTTGACGCTTTACAGGTCGACTCCGATGAGTGGGACAAGATACCCGAGAACCCGCTGACAGAACGCGACTGCCTGTTCTGCACACACACAAGCGAGGATCTGGTGGAGAACCTGAAGCACATGTCCGTGGCGCACTCGTTCTTCATACCGGACACCGAGTACTGCACCGACATCGAGGGCCTGGTCTACTACCTGGGCGAAAAGGTGGCCAACTACTTCATCTGCCTGTTCTGCAACGACCGGGGCAAGACCTTCTACTCCTTGGACGCGGTGCGCAAGCACATGATCGACAAGGGCCACTGCCAGATGCTCCACGAGGGCGTCGCCTTGGCCGAGTACGCCGAGTACTACGACTATAGCACAAGTTATCCGGACAACGTGAGTATGAATGATCATCCAGGAGAGCTAGTTGTGCAGTGGGAATTGGAGTTCTTGGGCAACATTGCTTTTAGCACATTATTTTTATTTTTCTTAAAAGTAGGGGGTTCATGTTACCTTTACATTATATTACCTTCTTCTCATCATCATATAAATCTTTCCATCGACTTCTGACTGAAATTATAATACACTTTGCTCTGCAAGGGTATAAACAGGTGTATAAATTAATTTAAAAAATCAAAAACAGTGTACAAAAACTTTTTAAAGCCACAATCGGGAGCTTAAAAATGTTTCTCATGCGAACGAAATAGACAGAAAAACTATGTTTATTGTAACAGTTGGGAAACGGGTTTGTTTTCAATTTTAGAGCTCCTTTTCCTACAGGCAACTCTATGGATTCAGATACGACCATCAATAAGGGCCGAAATAACTCACTTCTTTCTCTCCCTATCCCGCCCAGAAAGAGGACATGGACATTGACGAGGAGGTGGTGCCGGATCTGCTCGACGGCGACGAGTACCAGCTGGTGCTGCCCTCCGGCGCCGTCATCGGGCACCGCTCCCTGCTCCGCTACTACCGGCAGCGCCTCCGCCCGGAGCGCGCCGTGGTGCTCCAGAAGTCCGACCGCAAGCTGCACCGCGTGCTGAGCGAGTACCGCGCTCTGGGATGGACGCACACGCAGCAGGTGGCCGCCGCCCGGAAGGCGCGGGACATCCACCTGATGAAGCGCGTCCAGTCCAAGTGGCAGATGAAGCTGGGCTGCAAGGCCAACAAGCTGCAGAAGCACTACCGCGCCCAGGTTCTGATATAATCGCTGCCAATCTGATATGATCACCGTGTACAAAAAATACGATTTGGGGTTTGCTTAAATAAAGCATTTGTTTGCTTTCTATATTACTAGCGATTTCTCGTCAAATAAAATTACATAATTTAAATTAACAATTAAATAAAGTTTAATTTTGATTCGTTTATATAAGGTAAAGTTATGTCGTTACGATTACATCATAAAATTAAACATTATAATTAGACCAAAAAAAAAAAATAGGTTCTAGCATGTAAAAAAAATAAACGCTTGCAAAATCCTTCAAGTCGTTCGCCCACGCGCGATCCCCGCCCCCAACCAGGACGAAAGAGGGCGTGGCCGGCGATGTGGGCGCGGCGGTGAGAGCACGATGTGACTATTCAGTAAAACCGCATGTGAGTGAGTTTTCTTGTGTGCTTCGCGGGAACATGAGGGTCAATTTTAGCTAGTTAATGTTAATGTATTTATAGTTTGGGCGTGTCTCTAGAATGGTGGTTCAAATCGGGTGTCTCGTCACACAAGGAAATCTCCTTCGAAAACATCTTATATAAAAAGTTGTTCAATTTCAAATCGGCTTTAACGGCCTTATTAAGGAGTCACTTGAAAAGTTTGTAACATTAATTGGCTTTAAAATTGTCAGTTTTTAGAATTACCTAGATTTAAAATAATTTAACGTACAAGGACAATATTTCAACACATTTACATTTACATTTAGAAGTCTATCCAAAGGCTTTTTGAAACAAACACATGACATTAAACTTTGACTATTATTTTGAAACCAAGCTCGAAAACATGGAATTTTGTGTTAAGATTAAAAAAAAAAATCTTAGAAAATCAATTAAGCTAAAGTTAAATAAATTTCGAAAGTAAGTACACAACACAATGAACGATGAAAGTCAACTCAAATCAACACTCACAATATGATACAATCTTTGATAGCTTAGGTGACTCAATGATAGAGAAGCCTATCTTGCTGGGGAGCTTTTTAGTTAGACGAGACACAAACATATGACTTTGGACCACCTGGAGTTCTGCTGCGCAAGTGAATCTGTGGTTCTTGGTTGGGCGGCGGTGGTGGCGGTGCAATAAATAGCAGCAGAGAGCGGCAAAGGGTGACAAAAAAAAAAAAAGATGTGTGGTGTGTGTTAAGCGGGCAGGGCAACTAACTATTTGGCTCCCGCCTCAGTTTATGCTAGTGTATAACTACAGGATTCTGTTGAACACAAACGCCCACCATCGGCGACGACGAGGAGGCGTCGCTGCTGCTGGCTCCGGTGGTCGAGTTGCTGCCGCCGCCGGCGTTCTGGCCGATGATGGCCGCCTGCGAGACGGGCCCGCTGATGAGCCGCCGCTGGCCAACGACGCCTGGTCCCGGGCCAATGACCCCAACGCCTCCACCCCCACCAGCTGATCCCGTTCCCGATCCCGATCCCGAGGAGGAGAGCGAGGACGAGGACGAGGGCGGCAGCTGCAGGGGCATGGACATCGGCAGTGGCTGGCTGAGCAGCGGCAGCGGCAGTGGCGGCAACGGCAGCGGCAGTTCGCTCAGCGAGGCGGGCGCCGTCCCATAGAGCGTTCCGGCGGGCTGCGATGGAAAGAGGAAGGCGGCGGCAGCGGCGGAGGCCGACGGCGGCACTGCGCTCGGACCGGGATTAACGCCGCCGCCCTGGCCACCACCGCCCGCCGCCGAGGCGCTGATCACACTCGAGTCGGTCATCATGAGGTGCGAGGCAGCCGCCGCAGCCGCTGCCGCCGCCGCCGCCACCGAGGAGGAGGTCATGTTGCCGTAGTAGGGCACCGAACTGGGCGCGTAGCTGCCCGGCTGCAGCTGCAGGATCGCCGGCACCCGCATCCTCCCGTGTCCGTTTGGCGGCGGAGGCGCCATCTGCGGCGGATCGCATTCCATGGCGTGCGGATAGCTGATGCTGTTGTGATTGCTGCTGCTGCTGCTGCTGCTGCAGCTATTGATGTTGATGTTGCTGCTATTGATGTTGCCGCTGTTGATGTGGTGGCCCACGTGCTGCATGTTGCCGCCGTAGAGGCGATTGTGGCGAGAGTTGTTGCCACCGCCACCGCCGCTGCCGGGACTGATGTGGTTCAGGCTGCCCAGGCTGTTGCTGCCGTGGTGGCTGTTGGCCAGCGGCGGCGGCGGCGGATGGGCGGTGTTCTGCAGGCTCAGAGCGGAGAAGTTGTTCATCGCGTTGGCCGCCGCCGAGTGCATCAGGAGGCCTGCAAAACCAAAAGAGCGTCAGTTTTAGTTGCTGAATCGTAGTTAAGTACGGACTAATGGGGAAAATCCGTAGTTCACCATGGAAAATTCTAAGCTTTCCTAACAAACATTTCAATTTTAACCTTTTTTGGCATACATTAACTAGCTTTTTTATTTATAAAGATTGGAAAATCCTGAAAACGTTCTTAAGGTTTAACTAGATTTTTGAATGAAAGGTAAGCATGTTAGCATTTTCCATGGATTAACAGTGAGAATTCCAATGAACTCTGCCCTGTGGATCCCAAAAGATAGTTCATGTTTTCTAGCAAACTCCTTTTTTGTTGATTATATCATAAGTTTTTATTGAAGATTTTTTTTACTTTTTTTTTTTGTAATTTTTATCTTTAGCTTTGGTTTGCCTTAGTTTTTTCATGAATTCCTTTTCTGGATTTTGGTAAAGTTTCCCTTTCGGTTTCATTAATCGTTAATAAATTATCTCGTACTTATTCAACTTAAACCATCAGCTGTTGTATGTTTATATTATATAAATGCCACATATGTTGCATGTCCATATGTGTGTCGGTCTGTCGGTTGTGTGTGTGTATGTGTGTGAGTGCTTTCTGTGATTTTTTTAATGTTTGAATTCGAATTTCATATCCTTGCAATACTGTTTCGTAAAAAAAATGCATTATGGTCTCCCCGTTTTGCCCGTACGCTTTTCCTCTATTCCACCTCCTATTTGCTTTCGTTCCAAAATGCAACTCTGTTTAAATAACAATCGGCTATGTTGTCGTTATCGTTGCAGTTATCGTTATTATTGCATATCCTTGCCATTTTCAGTGTTTGTTTTGGGGGTGTATGTATGTATGGTGACTTTTTAAACTTATTCGACTTTTAACACTCGCTTTTTGGGCTTTAGTATTTTACACAAGTTTTGTTACGTGTCGTCTCTCCGGTTGCTGTTAAATTCTTGGATCATGGATCATGGATCATGGATCATTTTCGTTCGGGGCTAACCTCTAATATTAATTAATATTTACTTTATATGTATTTCGTATCCGTTTGTCTGTTTGCTTTTTTGTTTGTGTCTAATTAAATTAATTGAGTTTTCCGCATAATTACTTGTAAGTGTTATATATAGATGTATGTATGTTAATTTATTAAATGCTAAAGTTCTTCTCTTTAGTACGTACTGAATTAATTTGTTATGCTTGCTATACGATTTTGTTTGTTGTCTTATTTACTTTTTGTTGTTTACTAAACGCATTCATTTCTTTACCAATTTTTTTATTTTCTGCTATTTTTACATGCCTAAGATTTTTTACTTTTTACAAACTATGATTTGTGTTTGGTTTTTAATTCGTATTTCGCATATTTGCCGCTCTATCGATACTTATCGATTTCTTTATCGGTTATCGCTTATCAATCGTTCCAATTAAAACTGTTATGTATATATGTATATATTTACCGCTGCTTTGTATTTAAGAGTGTGTTTCTATTCTTTTTTTAATTTAACAGATTGCCTGTTTTTTTGCGTTTAACAAGGCCCGAAGTTTTTAAAGATTGCGGCAATGGTATTTTTTAGAGGGTTAAATATTTTTGCAGTTTTTTTTTATCACAAAAGAAAGCGGTTATCGCTTGCTCGCCCACTCTCCTTCTTTATCTTAGAGGTTTCGTTACACGAAATCCCTGTAGACTTCCAAAAGATTGAGAAAGAGAGTGAACAAGCCACTGTCATCTTAACCCTTTAATGCCCGTGTGGTGTTTAACCAAAAAAGGGGTCGCTAGAGAAAACTTAGTTCGTTTCGCACCGGAAAAGCACAACTTATAAATTTTATTAATGATTCTGTGATGGATGCATTTTCAGTTGGATGAAAACATCTTTCAAACTTTTGGGAAATTATTTTCTTCTCTTTAAAAATTGAAAATAAATCTGGCTCTTGCAACTCTTTATCCAAGGGCAAAAAAGGGTTAAAATTAGGGATCTAAAAAAGGATGCATGTCTATGTTACATACTGGGCTTTTTCCATTAAGTTCACTTTTTATTACTTGACTTCTGCACATGTACTTTGGTTTACTAAACGCTTTTGTATCTTTTTCACTTTCCTGCTCCTGAATTTGGTTTTGTTTTAGGGCTACGATTTTGGTTTTATACTTTTTACAAACTATGATTTGTGTTTCGTATTTCGCATAATTCACTGAGATCCATTTTCGCTTTTTCAAATTTTTAATTTTAGATTTTCATACTAATTTCTTTTTAAATTTTTAACAGCAGGGTTGTTTTTTTTTTTTTTTTGGTTGACATGAAAAACTCTAAGGAATGCGGAAAATTGATTTTGTAGAAAAAAAAAGATAAAGTATTTTTCTGTTCTTTCAGAGTGCCCTTTTTAAAAATGAAAATAAAAGGTGCCACGAAATTTTATAATAAAATATATGCGACTTTTCCAATTGAATATTTGGTGTTTTGCCGGCTCAAGGTCTGGGTTGATAAAAAAAACACTTTTTTTTAACTCCACGCAGACGTGTTAAAAATTGCCCTGAAGACGGTTGCCGAGAAGCAGCCGAAATATATTGGTTAAAAAACATAAATTGTGTTTTTAATATCAACCCAGACCTTGAGCCGGCAAAACACCAAATATAAAATATATAATTGAAATTATCAAAATTAAACACTATAATATTTTCTGTGAAACCTTATATCATTTTAATTGCAGTACAAAAGTCAGAAAAAAAAGTGCAAGTATTCATAGACTAAAACAAAAATGGTAATTTTCTTTCGGAGCCGTTGGAAATTAATTGAAGTATTTTCGTAAATAAGGGAGATAAAGATTTTTTATAAATGATGAAACTAGAAGTGATAAGAGAAGTGGTTGACAAGAAATCAAATTAATTTTGTGGCTTTTCAGAGGAATTAAATGTTCTATCCTTGCCAGAAAGAGCTTCGCAAATCAGACGCGCTTCCCCACGATATCCCCTGCTGCTCGCCGTTTTCGCTCAGTGTAGTTCAACTTGCATGTCCAGTTTCTTATGCATATATGTATATTAAGATGTATGTATATGTATGGCAGTCATTAAGAAAGTCGTTAAGGATTCCTCTTATTATTATTCTTATGTATTCGCAAACTTTCGTACAGTTCTATGACCCTAAATGCTTATAGTTAAATAATTAATTTTAGCCATTTTGCGTAATTTATGTTGACAAAAAAAAAAAAACGGTAAACACTTAACACACGATTGTATTTTCATCCGAGCGTTTAAAATGCGTGAGCATAATACAAATTACATTTATATATATTCTAGCAAAAAAAAAAAGATGCTTGATGGAAATCAGGGAAGGGCAACAGTCATTTTGATAGGAAAACACATATGTATAATTTTCTTACTTTCCTTCCTTTTAGTTTTGTGTGTGGCATTAGAGGGGGAGGGACAGAGACAGAATATATAGAACGAGATAGACAGTGTGTGTGTGAAAGAGAGACATGACTATTTACAAAAGGCCGAAGCATTTGGATAATGGATAACATGATCGGCGGATCGCCGTTTTGCAAGTGTTGCTGTTGTTGTCTTAGTGCTGCACGTGGCACGTTGCATGCTGCATGTTGCATGTTGCATGTTGCATGTTGCATGTTGCTGGTTACTGGTTGCTGTTTACTGTTTACTGGTTACTGTTGTGGAGGCATCCTCGAAGCCGAAGTTGCCGCCGCAGTTGTTGTTGCTGCTGCTGCTGCGATTGTTGCTGCTGCTGCTGCTGTTGCCGGTCATCGGCGATCATCTGCTGCCACCATTTGAATTAGCATTGTTTTATTTGATTATTTTTTTGTTTTCGAATTCGAGATTGATTGAGCGCGATGAGTTCAAATAGAAAAAGAAAGGGAATTATCTTTATATTTCGGAGCACAATCATTTCACGCTCTTGCATTGCTACTTTTTTGACAAACTTTCATCTCGTACAGCTAGTGAATTAATTAACTTATTTGCACTAAGCGCCGAACTAAGGATAAACATAAACACTTCTTACGCTTGGGGTGACTAGGAGAGCAACTAAATGGTAATTACCAAGTATCAAATGAAAATATCAAACAAGTGCCCATTACAAACAATATGTTCAAGTACAAATTGGTCCACAGCTAATAACTAAATCATAATAAATGCATTTCGACGGCACGCACTCAAAACACACACGAAACACAACAAACGAGAACTGCGAATCGAATCGAATCGAATCGAATCGAATCACAGTCGCCACTCGCTGCCAACTACAACACAAAAACTCGGAGCTCTTCGTCCAATTGGCTTGGGCTCACGCAAAAATTATAATCATAATCAACAAACACAAAATTCTATGGAACAGCAGCTACGAACTGAGAGGTAAATGGCCTCGATCTCTTTGGCCAAGGATCCCAGGTGCCCGATCACGTAATCTTTGCTCTGTTCTTGGTCCACGAATACAATGATGAGCCCTAAAATACGAACTCTTTCCAACCCAAAATTAGGTATTATTGAATGGGCAAATTACAGTTTACAGCTTTGATATATCTTGCTTAGTAGGATGATAGATCTATTTGCCATAAAAAAGCATCTTAGTCTGAATCTCAACTTTGAAAGATGATAAAGAGATTAGAGTGCTGTTTAGTTTAATTTAATAAAACTAATTTCCTTTTTTTTTAAACTTATATGCAACGCTATTTAGATTCAAACCTAACTAAAAAAAACTTTCAATTTTATCTGTGGAATACTCGTTCTTGATGCAAAACTGAATATCTTTAAATCTTGACTTTGGAGCTTTAATAAAATGCTATTTATGAAGCTGTCCAACTGGATAAAAGAATCTAAGACTCCTCTCGGAATAGAGGTGATTCTCTTGAGGCTTTCCGCTTCGGTTCCCCTTACGATAACAACCAAAGAGCATCCCAATTATTACGCATAGCACCTCGAGCACTCGCCTCAAGATCGGGTTACTAGCCAAGATTGAAGGGGACTCCGTTTTTTGGGAGCATCCACTTACCGTGACACTGGGCATCCGACGCACTCCCAGGTCCTGCGAGCGGGGGCAGCGGCAGTGGGAGTGGCAGCGGCAGCGGCAAGGGCAGCGGCATCGCCTGCTGCTGCTGCTGCAGCTGCTGCGCCGCGGAGGAGCCTCCGCTGACGCTCGAACCGGATCCGGAGCCCGAACCCGAACCCGCTGCCGTGGCCGCTGCTGTCGCCGCCGTCGGTGGCGCTGCGCTCGATGAGGAGACCGCTCCGCTGCCGCTGCCGCTGTTTGTTCCTAGGCCACCGCCACCGCCGCCAGTGGATCCCCCTGCTCCGCTGGAGCCGGAGCCACCGGCACCCGCGTTCGCTGTGGCGCCCGCGCCGCTCGTGTTGGTCGCCTCGTCGGCCGTGCGCTTGAAGAAGTTGTGCTGCAGGGCGTAGTAGGGCGTGACCCTTGTCTTGGGATCGAAGTCGAGCATGCGCAGTATCAGATCCTTGAACTTGAGATAGTCGGAGACCGAGTGGCCAGGCTCGTCTAGACGCCGTCCGCCCGGACCGCCCGTCTCGACGCCGAGGATGTCGTGGAGCTTGCGCGATCCCGGCGGCTTGTACTTGCGTCCATTCTGGTTCTTCTTCAGCACGTAGGAGCCATCGGCGACGATCTTGTCGAAGAACTTGCGCGTCTTGTGCGCCTGGTCGAGCAGGTACTTGGGCGGCATGCCCAGCACCTCGACGATCTTGTTCATCTGGTCCACCTCGTTGCAGCCGGAGAAGAGCGGCTCGCCGGTGTGCATCTCGACCAGGATGCAGCCCAGCGACCACATGTCGATGGCCAAGTCGTACTGGATGCCGAGCAGCACCTCGGGCGACCGATAAAAGCGCGACTGGATGTAGTGGTAGATCTACAAAGGGTAATTCAATCAGCATTAGGATTCAAGGGGACTCCAAGAGATTTAAATAGAGAGCGATGGAGCGATGGAGCGATGGAACGATGGAACTCACCCGCTGGCCAAGCTGGCAGGAGCTGCCAAAGTCAACGATCTTGATCGCCGAGCGCTTCGGGTTGCACAGCAGGATGTTCTCGGGCTTCAAATCACAGTGAATTATGTTCAGTTCGGGCGTGCTGAGGAAGAGCAGTGCGGTGCACAGCTGCTGGGCGAACTTGCGCGTGAGGTTCAGCGAAACGCCCCGGAAGTTTGTGTTCCGCAGCAGGTCGTACAGGTTGTATGAGAGCAGCTCGAACACCAGGCACAGGTGGTTGCGCCACATGAAGTGCCGCTTGAGCTTAACTGCGGATGGAAAGGATTAATATTGTAGGATAAGTAGTATGCTTTTGCTTAGTATTTAGTATGGATATTTAATGGATCGTTAAAACACTTTTGAACATACTCGTAATGCGTACTTTTCAAGATCTCCCAAGTTATATAATATTTGTGTACGATAAATACCACCTTCTTAAACTGAATGTACGCTGTTAAAAAAAATTCCTGTTTATATGTTTTCGTGCCACGAAGTGGACGAGTCACAGTTTTGAGACCAGTTTATATGCTGGATATGTAATTATTTGTTTTTCAAGCGTTAAAACAGTTTTGAGTACTTTTTTTCAAATAATTTCTGTAGAAATATCCTAACTAACCAGACTAAATGTAAGCTGTTAACACAGTTCTTCGGAATTTCGAATATTTTTTTTAGCAATTCAGGCATTAGCATAATTTTCTTTATTTCCTCAGCACATTACAAGTATATTACCCATAGGAGTACGTACCGATGTAGTATTTGTTTTCGGCATCCGCCCGGTTCATCATCTCGAGCAGCTTGACCTCGATCTGTGCCTGGTTTAGGAACGGTTTCTTATTCTTAATTATCTTGATCGCCACGTGGCACTGCTCCTCGTGGTCGTAGGCCTTTACGACCTGGCCGAAACTGCCCTTGCCTGTGAGAAAATTGCCACATTTTCAGTGAGTATTAATTACAATATTGCATGACTGCAGTCAATTACTCACCGATCAGCGAGTCGATCTCGTAGCGATCCAAAAACTTCTCGCCATTCTTGATTATATAGTCGTGATTATCGTCGTCGTAGCCGTCGTTATACAGTTTTCGCTCCTTTTTGTTGGACGAGTCGTCGTCGCCTTGTGTCTGCTGGGCACGGCGCTTCTTTTTCGCATAGTAAACCTGAAATTAAATCATTTTGACGCTTTAGTACTTAAACTTTTATTTGGAGGAAAAAACTTTCACATTGTCGGAGTTAGATACGAATAAGAATAAATACATATTAATAAGTATTCAAAATTACTTTTATGTACAAGGAAATTAGGGAATGTACTTTAAACTTATTCCAGGATTGCATTCGCTTTTCCTTTTAAATCATTATCTTTCCATTTTATGAACCAAAGATTAATTAGCTTTAAAATTTTTCAAAACCATTCTATGTTTGGTTGTGAATTTGATCTTGTTCTTTTAAAACAAACTTGGTTCTTAATTTGAGGGTTAAGAAACAAAAAAGAATTGTTATATTCTAATACTATTTAATATATATGTACCCTTAATATATAGACTAAATTATAAAGACCTAAAAAGAGTCTATACCATGGATTGCGCCACCTGGCGCCAAGCAGCGTGTCTTAAGAACCAAAACGCCCCCTGCTGAAGAAAAGTTAAACTACAGCTAAAAATCGATCGATATCGAAAAAATCAAAGTTTTTAAAAATTTCATAAATACATAAACATATTTAAAAAACGTAACATTAAGTTATTGAGGAAATAGAAATAATAATTAAAATACCCAAATTTCAGGTGTTAAACTTAATTGGATTTTATTGGCCAGCTGGAAGTTATCCTGTTACTTCCACTTCATCAACGACAAATGTAAACACAAAACGGGAAAATGAGAAAATAGCGAAATGAGAGACAAGACCGGCAAGTGAAAAAATGCCGAAAGAGGGCGACGCCGACCTGAAGGCTGAAAAAAGAGAAAGAGAGGAAGGAAAAATTCTAGCTCTCTGCCTTTCGTTTTCTCTCTCTCTCCCTGTTATTCTCTCTTTCATGCTCCCTTTTCTTATTGGGAGACCGGGGGAAAAATGGTTGCAGCTTGGCGAAAAAGTTGTTGCTAACGCGGCAAGCTGGCGGTTGAGCGAGCGAGATAGCGCCACATCGCGAGAGAAAGCCCCACTCTCTCACGAAACGAAAACTGTAGCATACAAAACGGCAGCGAAAAGGCATTTGCAGTATTACGGCATATCTAACGGCACAAGCTGCCAACTGCAAATGCAACTGTAACGTCTGTCAAAAACACTCCAATCTGCTCGGGAGCACCTGTCAAATTCAAATACCTGCAACCAACCGCATCGCCAGCTGTCAAATCGGTTAACTGCAAGACTGCTATTTACCAACATCAATATGTTTGATTTTGAGTCGCAAGTAAAGCATAAACATTGCAATTTATAAAAGCTTAATATACTCGTATGTATGCTGCTTAAATTATTGAAAGTATTTATTGAACATTATCCAAACACAGCCAACAAATCAATTTTTGTCAGAGGATGGTCCTGCCTCAACTTGTTCTGCGTATAAACTGGGCTTATTAAAGTAATTATCTAATTATCGTTATGAACAAAGAATTATTTATATTCGAAGTATTTGTAGTTCAACTTTTTAATTGTGTAAAACTTAACGAACCATTTCCAATTAAGGACCAACTACCTTAAACTCTTTCCGACTAATTGTCAAAGGAGCTGTCTATCGAAAGTTTCATTGACTGTAGAATGTTCGGTCCTGCAAATGGGTATAATATTATTTATTATCCCCAATTACTGTGAAAACTGTTTAAAGTTTTAAGTGAAAATAAACTTTTGTAAATTAAAACAAATTTACTATGCGTAGTTGTCATGATTCGTCGAGGTAACAGTTCTCAACAAGGCAACATGACTGTTGAGATACTGAATTAGTGCATTATGTGAAGGTTAAATTTTATACGGAACAGCTGGCAAACATCTGAACAAAATTATACAACTCAACCGTTCTTTCAGGGGATTCTTTTTTTTTCGAATACCACACAGGACAATCACCCCGCCCGTTCAAGGTGAATAATTATCTCCAACTTGGTTCGTCATAACGTCATTTGACAGTTTCCATGAGAGCCAAGCCAAGTATTAGTATTAGGTATTTGGGGACGTTTTGTTTAGAACTTGGCAGGAAAAGCGAGACAGTTGCGTGGCTGCCTGTACGTCCCCACAAACTTATCCTCGTTTTGTCTTTTATTTTTTGGCTGTTGTCAACCGAGGCGGCAGACGACGTCAATCGAAGTCAACTGCGAATGGGCGAGGGTGGTGTGGGATCGACCCACCAAGCGGGTCAAGGACAAACGTATCTTTAGCTCAGCTCGACGCCACAAATATCCGCTGTCAGCAGATAGTCACACCACAAAAAAAAACCAGCAACGCAAGAAAACCCCCCGACAAAATTCCGATCGTCATAAGAGCGTGAACAAAAAAAAAGAAAAGAAAACGGGATGGATGCCAAGGCTCTAGGGTACTATCGCACAGATATACGACAAAATCTGTTTACAAGCAAGTGTTCATACTTTATGTACAATGAACACTTATTATTAAAACAAATATCAAAAAGAGAAAACCAACAGTTCATCTACTATTATTATTATTAAGTATCTATTTTGTTTCAAATCTGAAATTGGCGCCAATAATAGAATATTGTATTCTCGTATTAGAAGGAATCAATCATAATTTTTGAACGTTTTCCACCAATCCATTACTCTTGTACAATGAATGAATCGAATCGAAATTACTCGAATCTATTAGAGAAAAAATAGTTTCAAGCTCTAAAAATTATTTAATTATTATTTGTAACGTAATGTCAGTTCTCAAATTTACTTAGTCGGTTAAAAAGCTTTTGGTTTTGATATTAAGAACCTATTTTGATTTGATGAAACCTTGGACTGATGAGCAAATTAGTTAATATTTTGCATGCCTGGGTGGGTGGGTGTAATTCTATCTAATACTCTGATCTCTCGAAACTCACCTCGTTGATGTGCTTGTAGGTCTTTATCAGATCGACGCTCAACTTGCGCAGAGGTCCCGAGGCGGGGTCCCGAAAGTGGGTGGGAATCCGGGCCTGCATGGCACGCACCTCCGACGAAGACGAGGGACTAGAGTGCTGCGGAAGGGAATGGAAAAGATATTAATTTAATGTTATTAAATGGTGGTGGCTGGCCAGTTGACCCCACGCGAGATCAGACTGCTATAAACATTAAAACACGCGGGGTGTTCAAGAATTTCTTATCATCGGACAGCAACTTTAAGATTTGCTGATGGTGATCATTCTTCTTTAATTTACATTATTAATATTAATTTTCATCCACTTAGTAAATATTCTCGTTAAACCGTACAATATACCAAGTCTTGTCTTAATTGGCTTACTTGCCAAAAATAAAACAGGTTGCTAAGAAACCTTTCTTTAACACGTTCTTTCCAAGCTTGGGCTCACTTAAATGTGGCTATTAACCTTTCTAATTGCAACTTAAATTTTAACTGGAGCATGGGAACATTTCTTGAAATGTTTATAACTTTTACGCAGCTTGCTAATTATATTCCCCAACTACCAATGAAAAAATAGAATGAACATTCAGAACCTTTTAACGGAGATCTTTAAGTTTAGTTTAGTTCTTGTTCATTTTTAAAACTTTATTATAACTTGTTTATTATGTTTAATAAATCATAATAATAAAATTAAGTTGTAAAGAATAAAAACATAAAAATATGAAAATTGTGATCATTAAATCTGATCTTTAAAGACATCTTTCTGTTTAAAACCGTTTGTCATTTTCTTTTCAGTTACCAAAATTAATTTTGTATTTAAGAAATTCAATTTAGAACAAAGGCATTTACTAAACCCAGTTTTTTTTTCATATTTCAATGGGTACACTTCAAGGATATACGACATATTCGAATGTAGTTTTAATGGTACTCACATGGTGCATGACATCTCGGTGCGGGGCTGGCAGATCCTCCTCGACGACGAATCGTCCGTAGAGGGGGGCGTGGCGCTGTCTCCCGCCCCCGCCTCCGCTGCCCTGAGCGGCGTCAACGGCGACGGCGACGCTGACCCCGCTGGACCCGTAAGCGGACACTGGAGCGAAAGAGAGAGACGACACATTATCAGATATCGGCGGGAATTAAATTTGTGGTTTCTGTATTTTGTATTTCTGTATTTCTGTATTTGTTTGGTGCTGTCGAGTCGTGTGGTGCTTTCTGTGCTGGTTCATTGACCGGATCGCTCCTCTGCAAAATGCACCTGTTTTCTCGCACACCTGACGACGTCAGCGGCGAGAGTTGCCAAAACGATGATAAAAACGCAAGAGGAGAGCTCTACACTTGGGAAAATGCAGTGTCAATCCCTAACCAATATTTGCAATCAAAAATGCTTTGCCATGTTCCTTAAAAAACTATATAATGCTCAGGTTTTGTTGAAATGCAGGATTATATGTTAAGCATTTTATGAAGAGACGTATAGAAACAGTATTTTTGTTACCGTGAACAAAAAATAAAATAAAAAATTTAATATTCGTAAAGTGTTATCGATATAAAATTGACTGATCTTAAAATAAAACCTTAGATTGATTGATACGATTTTCCGTTTTTTTTTAACCTTGCTTTACTTTGCTTTTTATTTCTGTCTTCCGTTTTTCAAACAAAACTATTCATGGTACCCCTTTTTCCACTGTACTGGGACAGTTTAAGAAAAAAGACGAGGAGCGATCGGGAAAGTAAGAAGCTCTTTCTTAATTTTAGAACTAGACGGAACTGAAATTATTACACAATATGCAGGCGCAGATACATAATTCTGCCGTTTCTTGATTCTATTTCCCCGAGTTTCTATGACCATTTCACTCATTCGCTTTTTTGTTTTGCTTTGGGCTTGGCTAGTGCAACTAAAATAGCCCCAACGGTATAAACAAGACACCGAAAAAACCGATGAAGGGGTTGAGGAGGGTTACAGAAAAAAAACCTGAAGAGCAACCGCTGTTTTTTAAGTTTAATAATATACTATTTGATCGAAAATTTCCCAAAGTGATAAGGACCCAACCCCAAACAAGTCAAAAACTTGTCTATATGGTCAATTAGAAAAAAACTGTCGGTAACTAAAGGACTTATCTGATTATCGACTACAACATTTAATGACTTTTTAATGAAAATAAATAATTTATTTTACACTTAAGGCGGTTTTGTGAAAACTCGTATTAAATTCGGTTTTATACAACAAACGAAAAGATAAAAAATGTATTTATATTCACATCTATCCGAAAATAAAAATTAATTTTTAATTCATTGTATTTCATCAGCAAATACGTTTCCTCTAGACAAGCAAAGAGTCAACGTTTTTTATGTTCGCTTTGTTTAAGCCCTCGAATAAAATTTGTATTGAACGTACTAACATACACATTTCTCTTATGTTGTTTTTGGATTCTACTCAAAGCGTTTGTTTTAAACAAAATTCAAGTGCTATGAAAAGCGTTTTAAAGAAATTAAATTTACTAGCTGACAGACAGTTGTGCAATTGAAACCCAAGAAAGCAGTTGAAATATAGGATTCATTTATAATATGTATTGTTAAAATCCCAATCTTGTCTTACTAGCAAATTGTCGCTCCTCACTTCTCGATGATCCCGATCCCTGTACCCCCAATAGATTGCCATCGATTCGATCGACATCCACCGTGCTCCAAACACTTTTCGGCTGGAATTTCGATATGATTTGATGGCCATCGCCATCCGCCTCCTGATTGCCATTCGTTGGCCAATTTCTGACACGATGCTGGCAGCCAATTTGCGCCAAATAATTGATGTAATGAGGCGGATGATGGTGATTGTGATGGCTGTGATGATGGTGGTTCAGGTTTCCACCGCCACTGGAACTGCCACTGCCACTGCCACTGGAACTTCCACTTCCATTGCCATCGAAACTGAAGCTGCCACCAGGTGGACCGACGACAAATGGTGTCCAATCCGTGGCGGACTTGTCAATTGCATCGCCGCCGTTGGTGGACTGCCAGTAAACCAAAGCCGTCGACATTTCTCGCACTCGCACTCGCACTTCCCGCTTCCACTTTATTTATTGTTTTATTATGTGGCCCTTGTCCGTGCTCGTGTTTGTTTTATTTATTTAATTAATTAATTAATTAGTTAATTGACTCGGGCTACAGATCCATTTGCGTGGCCTTTTGAAGCGCGATCTGCGCTGCGTGAAAATTCAGCGCAAACTGCCGCAGTTTTTTTCCCTGGCCCCAAAGTTGCCACTCGTCGTTTTGTCGTCTGTTTTATTTATACGGAACCGTGTTTTCTGTCGCGCTTTCTGGCTGCTCTTTTATTTTGTATTTTTTGTTTGCATTTCCTTTTTTCTTTTTAGCTGCATTTCTGCAGATTGCACTAACGAACGAGAGATAGCAACTGCAGCGATCATCACGATCGCAGGGTGATAATGATAATGATAATGATCATGACGATGTGTTGGGGGTGTCCGACGATCTGGCATCGGAATTTGATGTTTATATTACAGCATCCATTCAACATTCTTTTCAAAAAATATAAAAAGAACTATCATAACAAAAACTGTAGGTGTTCTACATTTGTAACGTTATCCGATGAAATAAATTTTAGATTTCATTGTTGTGAAAACTCAAATTTGCAAAATTGGCTTTAGAAAACAGAAAAACATTTCTGAAACTTTTTGATTTCGGTTTTAGGTTGATCAACATTGAATACTTATTGGCCCCATGAAGTTCCTTTCCGATTAATGACTCAAAATCAGGAACAGATATTTCATTCGCTTTCTGTTTTCTCAGGCGTTTTTGCGATATCTTTGTCGCACTTCTCGCCCGCCTTTTGTTTTTTATCACAGCTGTTTTTCGGGCAGTGAAAGGGGAACTAAGTTCCGCATTTTGTAGATAATGGAATTTCAATAACGACTTGTAGCGGAGTGAAGTGGATCGGAGCGGGGAAAATGCAGGGAAAGTGGCTTGTGGGCGGAAAAATGTTCGCACTTGTCTCGTGCGCGCAAAGATACAGATAAATTCGTTTCTTTGTTTCGGCTTTTGCGTCGTCGTCAAGTCAAGTCAAGGAAATCAAAACAAAGCAAACGAAATGTGAAATTAAAATAAAATGTAATTAACCCCTAGTAAAGAGAACGTGCATAATACATTGCGTTACAAGATTGTATAATTGATTGGGCTGTCTTCAAAGAACGCCATTCGGAAGTATGGAAACAATTAAGAATTAAATGAAAAAATAAAATGTAGAACAATTCGTAACATGAAACAAAACTCATTGGATATTATTTGACCAGAATTCTGGAAATATCTGTTTAAATCCATGGGATTACGAATGAATTTTCTCTCTCCGCGTTATGCAAAATTCTACTGAACGTCACAGAAATTCTTTACTCTTTTTCGGAACCAATTATAAAATTATTTGCTCGTACAAATAAATTGATCACTTGCCAATAGATGGAGGAGCGGAATGATAAATGAGTTAGTGCCACCCAAAAGTTCGGAGGAGAGTGAACAGCCCCCTATTTATAGGGTTCCGATCCTCCGTTTCTAATGTTTCGATGCTGCGGTGTCTGTCGTGTCTCGTTCGAAAATAAAAATAGTTGACGACATTTTGCGTTCATTCCCCGTTCCCCGCCTTTTGGCCACTTGCATTTTGGCCCAGGACTGAGATCGGGCCTCGATATGCAACCTCCGTCGATAATTGCATTCTGGGGGGAGGGGAGACGCCGATGGTATCCGGAAAGGCAGATGAGTCACACGACCGGTTGGAAAGGTAAAGCCGTGAATTGCAGTTACTTGTCGCACTCCACTTGACAAGTTTATGAACAGATGGCGCCAAGCTAATCAGATACAAAAGTCCAAGGGACGTATTTGTCAAATAATGGGGAAGTCCCACACAGAGAGTCACGGGTTTTCGAAATAGTACGGATTGGGGCAAATACAGACGGAGACAGCTGAGTGATAAGCAAACAGATGAAACAACTTTTCCTGTCTGAATGAAGTGACATTGTTGCAGTTTTCGAAGGGTGAGGTGAATCAGTCGGGGGAAAAGCCAGAATAAGCTACTAAAACACTTCCGTCCTCGCCGTTAAAATTCCACCTGATATCATCAAAATGCATTACCTACTTTGGAATTCAAAGAGATCTAGCAAGGCTTTTAAACCATTACAGGAAAGCGGTCGTTTAAAATGCTGTAACTCCGTTAGTTTGACTCTAATTGACTCAAAATTTTTACGCAATGTTCTGGACATATTGCTCTCTTAGAAAAAAAATAAAAAAAAAAATCGAAAAAATAAATTGTTAAAACCTTACCCCCCCCTAAATTTAAAATTAATTTACAGATTAAAATCAATTGAATTCTTCAAATATTTGTTAGTTATATTTCAAATCTCGGATTAAGCCAGATTAATGTGTTTAAACGTAAAGGGTTTGGCATTAAACGAGCTCCAAGAATTACGAATTACTTTCATGAAAATTGTTACTTTAATCTGCAATTTTTAGACAAACAAAAGTCCTGAAACCCCCACCCTTTTAAAGCAAAAATTGGTCAACCTTAAGTTGATAGACAGTATTTTGAGCGATCCGATCTTGGGAAATTGTACAACTAGGATCAGAGGTTATAACTTACGTTTCTGTTTGTTCTTATCCATAACGCCGCCGCTATTCGTATCCTCTAATCTATACATGGGGCTGATGTTTGTTGGTTTTGCGCTGATTAATGAATGGTAACTTGGGTTTATGCTTATATTTAACTTTATATGTACTTCACATATATATACTTGTGTTTATATATATAAATATATATATATTTATATATATATATATATATATGTATATAAAGATTGCGTTATTTGTTCATACGATTTGGGTAAATTGAATTTGTATTTGCATATTTTTGTCAGATTTGGTTGCTTGTGATTTTGTTTTCTATAAATTAAATAGTTCTTTGTGTGTTTTGCTTTCTTTTCGATATCTTTTATGTCGTTGTTGCATTTTTGTTTTTGTATATTTTTTTTCGTGTGTAGCAGTTAATATATAACTATGTATATGGTATTGGTTAATATATATTTTTTCGTATATATTTTATGGGTCGAATACTTTTTGTTGTATGTTTTGTTTTGTTTAAAATTATGAACACAAGTTTCAAGTCTTTTGTTGGATTTGCTTTTCCGTTTATTATTATTTATTACTTTTTACAGTGTAATTGTCAAACATTTATGAAACAAACAAAACAAAAACGCGTTTCTCCTTCTCCAGTTGTTATTGCTTTTTCCGTTTATTTACCGTTTAGCATGACAATTGCACACACTCCCAAACAACGGGAGCGTGTGTGTGTGCTTTAATGAAAACAAAACACACACACACACGCACACACACGCACGAGGGAAATCTGAGAAGAAAGCAAAAACTTTTGCGATCTGACTTTCTTCGGCGTTTTTTTGTTTTATCGATTTTATTTTTAATGATGGTATGGTTGGTTTGCTTAAGTTACTGTAGTTTTTGTTTTATGGTAATATTTTACTGCCACTTTCCTCGACATTGTGGTTAAACATTTTCTCAGAACTTTTGTTTTCCCGTTTACATTTACATTTGCATTTGATATTTGTAAATAATTGTCGACACGCTTTGTTTACAAAACTGTACTGCTGCTGTTGTTGTTGTCGCTCGCTGCAAGGAAAAGAGAACACGTTTGTTTAATTAACTAATTGAATTATAATTAATAATGGACAATACATTTATATTGGGGTGCCGGAAAGGTTTGAAGCGTACGGCGCAAATAAAAATAATAAATAATAACAATCTTGCCCTCTCTGCCTCTGTTAACTCGCTGTTAACAGACTCTCTTTTTAGCCGCTCTCCCTCTTTGGCAGGTGAACGAACGACACGCGACGCAAAAAGCATGCGTCTGTGTGCGAGCGAGAGAGTGAGCAAGTTCAACGTGTGGCTTGGCGTTTTTTTTTCGTTATTTTTTTTTCTGCCGGGGCGCCGCCTCTAATACATACACACACGCCCACCTCTGACATTGCACTCACACACACGCATACCAAGTGACAGCTGTTTCAAGTTCGATTTCGATTTCGATTACTTTTTTCGACTCTGTTGTCAAGGCGAAAAATTTAGTGTGCATTTTAATTACAAATGTTGATTAACCCATGCAAGACACAATACACAACATTCGTGAGCAAATATTTTAATTAGCTAAACAAAACACACAAACACTTTGTTGTTGTTTTTGCGGTGAAAGTGGCGTTTATTAGCGTTAAGAGCTGCGCTGCTCGCCTTTTTGTTGTTGCTTTTCCTGGGCACATGTCGGCATTTTCGCGATTTTGTTGCCAAGCAAATGGAATTGACCAGCAGACAACCAGGGTTGCCACCCCTCTTTACATTTTTGGTTCTGCCTTTTGGGAAAAAAAAAGGACAACTAGGGGGCACTAACCAAGAGCTCTAAGAAGTTCACACAATTCCTATTTAATATTCTTAGGTTTTTTTTTTTTTTTTTTTTTTTTTTTTGCAGCCTGATAAACAAAATCTAAACATATCATCCATGTAACCTTTATGAAATAAATAAAATATATTCTTACAAAATAAAAATATTTACAAAACCAATTTTTCATCATCTTTTTTTATTTTGCAGAAAATTATTCACACAGTTTACCGTCAAAACAGAAGATAACCAGTTCCCAAAAAAACAAAAATAAAGAAAATGAACAAGATGAAGAAGAAAAGTGCAGTTTGTGAGTGACTTTGCCCCTCTGAATCAGAAATTTATAAAAAAAAAAAAAAACAAATAAATGCGTCATACGTCTCTGCACTTTGTGACTAATAAATAAGTAATTCCCAGTGCGCTGATCTTTGCAGATCATGCGGCTAACGAGTGCTAACCCGTTGTTGTCGATACCGTCGACCGCTTATCAGAGTTCATTTGACTTTTCACACTTTTCTGCAATGTCCGGTAAGCGTATTTCTTTGTTTTTTTTTTTGCATTTATTTATAGCACCGGCAGCAGCCAAAGTTTTTGCATTCTTCATCATTTATTTTTGGGCCAACACGAAATCGGCGAAAAGCAACAATAAATAGATGCAGTAACGACACGGACCCACGCACACCCACACGAAATATAAAACAACAAAAATCACACTGAAAAAAACGAAAACGAACTTTTTCCTTCGACTCATTATCGGTGGCTGCTGGCAACCCTGGCCATGGTCTACAAATATCTCCGAGATCGAGTCTCGTTCAACTCCCACAACTCTGGGAAAAACACTAAAAATTCCACACAAACATTCCTGCGAATACAGTAACTATTCACAAATGCATGCTTTTGCACTATCACCGTGGACGACCGTTCGCATAGAAAAGAATTTAAATCAAGTGATCAGGAAAACTATGGGGAATAAATACAAAGACCTAAAGAATAGCAAATTCTTTAGGAAATATAGTAGTAAGTGTAACGAAAAGTTACAAAAAAAACACCTTTTGTTGGAATCCCATTTTTGTTTTTGGGACACAACGCGATCAAATAAATTGTAAGTTAAAATCATCGGTATTACTAATACAAAACACTTTACCTGAATTTAGGGTTAATAGTATTCATAATATCTATATCTTTTTACGAGTCCAACTAGGCGAATAGCCACTGTACCAGTGTGCATAAAAAACTTTATGATCAGCGGCGGCCGTTTGACGTCAGAATCAGTTTGTCTGTCTGTCGGATTGTGCCTATATACGAATAGTGAATATACTCGTATGTAGATATGGTCGCTCCGGTGCTCGTGCTCTCTTTCTTCAGTCTTTCTCCGCTTACGCCTCCCCCACCACCGACAACCCACTACATCCACCCACCGCAGAAAAAGAAGACGCAGAGCAGCACGTCATGTGGTGACCTAAATCGTTCGTGTGACTTTTTCCATTTGCGCTCGTTTTGTTTAATTCAATTTGCGTGCACATTTAATGTTGTTACTGAAATAATATGTGGAATAAATCATATATCTGCAACAGCGTCTTCTTCCTCCGTTGTTAATTCGTTTTTATTTTTGCGCAACATGTGGCGACGCCCGAAAAAAAGTTTTGTTATTAATACTGCGTACTCACACTTTTACCCACTCTATATATTTGGCTATGTGCGTGCTCCAGATTTTCTACGTTTCTACTAAAAATACCTTGTAGGCGCTTTCCGTTTTTTCTGTAGTCATTAGTATCGCTGATTAGCCCTAAAAAGAACTGAAGAAACTTGAACAGCTAAAAGGGGCTACATTAAAACGGCAAAACTTCCTTAACTTGAACATAAATATTGCTACTTAAATCAATTTTGCCTACAACTTTAGCATTGTTAAAGACAAATTAGTGTAAGGACCTGTCCTTACCCAAAATTCTTTCCCTACACAACGAATACTTTCTAGTGTCACAACCTTAAGACTGCAATTACTTTTATAAACAAAAGAAATATAAATCATCCACTGTTTTGAAAGAGATATACATAATTGGAGAGTTTTAGGACATGTTTTTGATGCTACACAGTAAAGAAATGTTTTACTGCTTTAAAACAAAAATCAATTAAAAGAAAGAATTAACATAAACATAGTTTATAAATGTAAGCAAAATTTTGTTTAGTTCTCTAAGAAAAAACTAATTTTTTTCAAATATTGAATCATTTATCATATGAAGTAAAACAACATATTAATGTAATGTGCAATCGACGATCTAATTATTCATTGAATGTTTGAGTGTTCAAAAACCTTTTTGTAATAACCCCTATATTGAAATCAGTAAAGAAAGTAAGACTGTGCTAAAAAAAAAAAAAAAACGACAACAAAACGGTTTTTGCGCTTTTAAAGCACTTTTTCAATGGAAGATTGTGCAAAAAAAGCAGAGAATTTATGCTTTCTTTCTTTGCACTCCCCGTAACAACCGCGTAGCCCCCTTTCTCTGTCCCGCTCACACCCCTTGGGTAAGTGCGTAGTAGAACGGGCACGAGGAAAAGAGCGATAGAGAAGAATCGGAAGCGGAGAAGAGAAGAAAGGAGAGCGAAGAATTTAAATGCCGATGGCTGGCTAAGTTTGTTTTATTTGTTTCTGCCGCGGTTGTTGCTTTTTTCTTTATTTTATAGCTCGGCTTGGTTCAAAGTTCAATGACCGATTTTGCCTTTGCCGAAACTGAAGCGAAATGAACTGAAATAAAATAAAATAATGAACTGAAATGAAGTGAGTGGCGCAGTCGCAGAGCTTTGTTGCTATCTCCTTAACACGAACGCACACTCGCACCTAAACACATACACAGACAAACCGAGGCACATGGCCACACACAAGGTCAGTTAATAAAGTTGATTTTTGCTCAATACGCAATAGCGCAAAAATGTGCAAATAGAAAATATAAACAGTAACAAATGGCAAGCAAGAACACAAAGAAATAAGCGGCAATTAAAATAATCTTTCATGTTTGCAAACTAAAGACATTTTTATTATCTGCCGATACACACATATTCTAAAAATTACTGTATTATTTCCTAAAAGAAACATCATTAAATAATAATATAAAAAACTACTCAAAACTACAATTTTCTTAATTTTTAAAAGTTGTCACTCGTATTAGGTTTATTTTTTGTCGAGAAAGAATTGTACAGAATACAATAAGTTTACCCTTAGAAATTTGTTTATATGTGAGGTGTGACAATTTACTGCAATTTTTTGTGAATTAAGGAACAATTTTATCAAAGCAAACTTTATTCAACCTGAATTTGTGATAAGATGCAATATTTTTGCGATGTAATTAAATAAGAATACATAGATTGATCAATTGGAGAAAAATACAATAAGCATTTTTTGAGCAAATTAAGCTTATGGGTATTTTTTAAAAGAAAAGCACTCTTCTCGGTACACAACTTCGATTCACTCCTAGTTTCTTCGAGTGCAGCAGTGTGTTTTGTATGGTAATTCAAAACTGCGCATTCATTGATGACGGATGACGTCGCAGCTTTGACAGTGGCATTGAAAATTTAAATTTCGTAAGCAGACTGCAAGCAACAACAATACGAATAAATACAGGAAGAACGAGAATAAGAAGAAGCTTCAATTACTCTGCTAAATAACAAAGGAAGAGAATAGCCAAAATGAATTTTAATTAAATAAATATCTCCCCCAACACGAAACCCTACATACATTTTGTTGCTGGAATGTTAACTTAATATGCGTTAGTGTTGGAATTTCTGTAATGTGACCAACTTAAAAATAAATAATAAATTTCACTCTCACCCATGGTTCAGCTATTTAATAGTCATAAAGACTGAAAAAACAAACGCATATACATATATCAATTTTTTTTAGAAGGCAATCAAAATTTTTTTTGTATGTAATTGCATCTTTCTTAGAAAACATAAATGCAAATCTCTGAAAGAAAAAATATACATATGTATGTAAATATCTGTTCGTCGTGTCGGATATAAAAGATGAATTAGTTTTTGCCTGTTGAAACAGATAAAAGTTTCAATGTGCTCCTAATTAATATATTTCACTAATGTAAACCTATTACACTGGTATTTACAAATATTTGCTGTATCTATAGAGCATTGCAACGAGTTGACTATATTTCGGTTAAAGGGTTTTCCCCACATCTATTTAACTACACTTCGGTTTCTGTTTTCTGTGTACGAGTATTTTTGTTTGTTTTGCTGCACTGATTAGAGAGTAAAATAATAATAACCCAAACAAATGCCAGCATCTCTCTTCGTTCGGGACAGCACGTGTATAAAATCTGGTTTGTTGTGGTTAAGTGACAGTGTTCCACCCACTTTCTCGCCATTTTCCCCTTAGTCGCTCTCCCCCTGCTGACCACACATGTTAGCCGGTTAGTTAGTTAGTTACTTAGCTAGTTAGTTGGCTGCGTCAGCTTCGCAATTGCGGCGCAATTGGGGACTAATGAAATGTTCTTGGTACGCATTTAGTCCGGCAAAAGGGGAGAAAGGTGTGAAAGCTGCTAACTGAGGTGTTAATTACCCATCGCTATGGCATCCATTAATCCTGCAGGAGAAGAAGAAAGTGGCGAAAGCGACGGGGAAAAAATATGAGCAATCTCTTAATGGTGCGTTATTCTGATGATTTTCAATGAGCAACTAGCAGGCCATACAAGTTTTAAAGCAATTTTATAAATCATTTGGAAAAACAAAAAAAAAACTATATAATTTGCATGAAATTTGAACAAATCTAAATGCAACCAATTTTCAAAAACATGGATTGCAAATTGTAAAAGCTGGCATATGTAGATATAAATAAATCCAGTGAAATATTGACCCAAATCAGTTAAAAATCTATCAATCTATCCCCTAAAATCCACTCCAACATTTACGACAATATCAGCTTCAGAATGACATTTTATGGGATTTAAAATAGGTGTTAGATTTTATATACAACAACTCAGCAGCCTGACGCCCATTTCTCAAATTTCTATCCAAAAATGAACCTTTTCCAACTGATAACCGTACTCCTCACGATCCTCCGGATAACCAACGCGCGGGCGATGAGCTTTAACCTTCCTCCTTTCGGATTCGACTCCTATTTGGACACCTACTTGGACAATCCCAGCGATGACCTGTCCCCAAATGAGGCCAACTGCGAAGCGGAGGGCATTGAACCGGTCACGGCGGAGTCGCCTCCCTGCATGGGCTACTCCACCAGGTCTCCCTATCAGCCCGGCTCCTCCTATTTACCCGGCTTGTCCGGCGAGGGCAGTCGGGACATGGATAAGAACAGGGACCACTGTGATGCCCTCGACAGCGAGTCAAGCATGAACCGAATAAACGCCACCCAAATCGCCGAGAAGGCCGCCCAGATGGCCAAGGCAGCCAACGAGGCACAGGCGGCGGCCGCCGAAGACGCCTCGCGCCAGGTGAAAATGCAGCTGGCCGACAAGGCCTTGTCCGCCGCCCGCGCCGCCAACGCCGTTCTGGAGGGCAAGCAGGGTTTGGTCGACGACATCGCCATGGAAATCAAGGAGGCCGAGTCGGTCGTCGGCCAGGTGAGCGCCTCCCTGGAGTCCAGCGAATCGCTCGTGAACGCCTCCTGTGCCGCGGTCAAGGCGGCGGAGGCCCAAACACTCGCATTCAGGTAAAGATGTTAGACTTCATCACATTTAGCCGATCAAACATAAAAAATTACCCATTTAGACTTGGACTGAGTTTCGAGTTTATCATTGAACCTTCGTTTATATATAATCACTAGCCGCCAAGAAAACAAAACCAGAGGCTGTTTTTAGAAGTTTGATGAAGCCATAATTTGTAAATTCTAGGGTAGTATGCATATGTTTATAAGGAGCAACACGGTTTTTATTTAATACCCAACAATTTATTTTAATCTGATTTTTTTAAAATTGTTAAAAATAAATGTTTGTATTTTAACAATTTTGAATTGCTGCAGATAACGAAATCCTATATATGGTCACCAACATCATATTGTTCATATTCTTTTAAAAGACTGGATTCAATCGCGTATTGTTAAAAATGTATTAATCCTAAGTGGCGATAAAGAAAGATCTTGGCGACAATGTAAACGTGGGAATCTACTTATTTTAAAACTGAACCCAATAAATGCCACATAAGTTGTAATGATCCAAGATTAAGACACAGACCCACCCCTCTTTAGATATCGATTAGATTTGTATGTTCATCCGCCTTCATTCTCGCAGGTCTTTGATGGAGCAGACCAAGGCTAGTTTGCCGGACATCAATGCTCTGATCGAGCAGTCGACCGCTGACCTCGAGGAGAAGAACCAAATGTTAGCAACGGCGAAGGCCCGTGCTGAGCGCCTGGGCCAGCAGGTGGCGCAGGCCAGGTGTGAGGTCGAGCAGGTGCGGGAGGCGGCCTGTCGAGCGGCCTCCGCCGCGGTGGAGGCTAAGCAAAAGGCAGCCGCCTGCCCCTCGGACGGGGCTGGTTTTCAGGATCGTCCTTCTCCTTGTCCTCCGACTCCTTGCCCCACAGTTCTGCCGCCGCCTCCTCCTCCTCCTCCTTCACCACCACCACCACCTCCAAGGACAGGGGGCTGTGGCTTTTCCAAAAAATCTGGCGGCTGCCACGCCCTCTTGGATCTCTACAGGCAGCGACGAAGGCAGCAGCAAAGGGAGCGGCGGGACAAACTCCGAAGGCGGGTGATGCCAGCTTCAGGAAAGTCTATGTTCAATGACTATCCCTTCGAGCGAATGGACTCCATATTTTGAAAGAAAATTTAGTTCTTCGTTTAGTTCCTCATTGTTTGCATTTCAATAAAGCAAGGCCATTGCTGGACAATTTCTAAACACATCAAAAAACATAGAGGATCGCGCTTTGAACAAGTGCACTCTAGTTTTGATAACCATTATCCAAAAAACACAAAAAAAAAATTATATCATGAAATAGTTTCCCACAAACCCAACTTCTTTCGTTTTAAATTTAGTTTTGATGAGACTAACCGACTTATTGTTGGCTTATAAAACAAATTCATCCCCTGTTCATTAATTTTTTTATAACGGTTTTATTTGTATTAAAATTTTATGTCTACATTCTTTACTTTAAATAACGTTCCTCATTATTAACTGGCCATAAGGATTGCTTCTCTGTGTACATATGTCACTCTAAACCTTGATAGATGCTCCAAAGTCTACTTTCTATTTTTATAGTAGTTTTTTTTCTATTTATATATATATGTACATAGATTACATTGCCTATTTTTAAAACGGTTTTAGGTCAGATGAAGTTTGCACTACATTTAAAGGACAGATTAATATTTAATATGAATGGGGAATATATTGTTTTTTATATATTTGCATTATAATTGAAAAATAACTATTATTTTGTACGTATACATATATTTGTGTAATTATAAAATCTGCATCATCGAGCGTGCACTGTTCTAATATATCCTGTGGTGCAAATTCAAGGAAGTTAAGTTTCATCTTTACGAGTGATCTCTGTAGCTGCCTGAATATGCAATTGTTTACCAACAAATTCGCTTTGCAGTGCCGTAATTCTTGCGAAATAAACAATAACAATGGAGCAACGTTGTTGTTGGGCGAACGGTATAGGCAAAGGAAAATGGGTGCAAGGCCAAAAATCAACGAAGCACGATCACAAAAAGGAGAACGGAGAAGGAGAGGGAGAAACGGAGGAAAACCAATCTTTGTCCGGTCAAAACTAAAGAAACATCTGCCAATGCGACGCGTCCAGCTGTTTGGGTTTTTCCCTCTTCTTTTGTAATTTTCATGGAAAAGGTGGGCGACTGGGTGTTAAAAGTGCAACGGCACTAGAGTTGCCACCTTTTTCGGCGCTGTTGCGTCGTTGTTGTTTTTATTGCCCCTTGAAACTCGAAACGGAAGAGTGCGAGAGAGAAGCGGGAGAAACAGAAGAGAGCGAGAGAGAAGGAGAACAAGAGGGCGCGCGCATTTGTCAGCAAGAGAGAGAGGGCGAAAGGAGAGAAAGCGAAAAGGAGAGCAAATTCATTAAATAAGAATAAATTGAATTATAATTTTTAAATCGACAGTTATTACTTCAAACATAAATAATAAGATGTTTTAAAACAAAGACAATTTAATTCATTGGGAAATATATATAAATAACCCTAGAAGTCAAATAAATGCAAGCGATTTTGCATAATTTAAAATTGATTCCTTTTGCATTTAAAACCACTTTCCTAATCTAAAAGCTTTAACCGGATCTAGTTATCGGTAAACTAAGATTTCGCAGTTCGACTGCCAATAGTGGAAACATCCAACCTAAATATCTAGCTAAAACATGATATCTGAAATGCCCTTGTCAAAGAGAAACTATATAGATTGGCAGGACTTACAAATACAAATCTAAAGTAAACCGCATTTTCTAGCATTTGTCTCATTTTTGTGAGTTGCAGTAGAAAGGATAAATTGCTATCTGAGAATTGAAATTTTGCCGTTTGCATTGGACATCTTGAAACCTAGCCTAAACTTGAATAGGTAACAAAATTAACAAAAATATAAGATCTATTCCCAACCTCCAGTTGGACCCTAAAATGCCGGCAAGTCCAATTGGCTTGCTTTGGGCGCTTAACAGCAACACTGTTAAAGATTAACAGCACGCTGTAAGTCAGACGCTTGATTTTTGGCTCTCTTCTCTCTCTCTTTCTTCAACCTAACCATGTATTTTATAAAAATACATACTTACATTCGATTTTCGCCGTTGTTTTTAATTTTTTGGTTTTTAAATCTCCAGGGTTTTTTATATTTTCGCTGGTACTATTCCACACATGTTTAAAGTTGCTGTTGATGGCTGCAGCTGCCGTTGTTGTTGTTGTTGTAGTTGCTGTTACAGAAAAACATGTTTCACTTTATTCCTTTTTTTCTTTCGTTGTTGGTGGCAAGAGAGGGACGTCAATATGTGACGCGCGCACACACACACTCACACACACGCAGCGAGAGAGGGCGAGAGCGAGAGAGGCAAACAAAAAAGATTTTGCCGTTTTTCGTTGCTCGTTGTTGTTGTTGCTGCCGCTACCTTTTTCTATGTTTCCATTTTGCACTTAATGTACAACTTGTACGGCTCAATTTGCAAACATTTCACATTGCTTTTCTTTTTTTATTCAGCCCTGTCTGCCACAAGAAAGAGCGCGTCTCCAGTGTACAAAAAAAAAGGCACACACCAAAAGAGGAAAAAAAACACACATACACTCACGCAGGCGGACGCTCACGCACGCACACGCATACACAGACACGAGCGAATCGGGGAAATGCTAAATAAAAGCGTTGGGTTCTCGCCTTTCCCGTTCTTTTTGCGGCTTTCTAATCGGATTCACTTACACCATGCCGATGTGCTGGGCAGCGCACTGCATATGGCCAAAATGATCGCAATTCGCGCGCACGCACTACCGACTACCGACACTTTTAACCGTGATTTCACGTGTCGCGTCTTGTCTCCGTCTGCATCTATAAACGATACTTATTCTCCTATCGATTAACGTAGTTCGCTTACGTTGTTCGTATCGTATACGTAAATGCAATGCTGTTGGCCAGCTGTTCTGTTATTAGCTTCTGTTGTAACATTAATTCTGTTCAACATTAAAATCGATTTTAGAAGCGTCATTTGTCTCGGCGTATCGTTGCAAGTGAAAAATAAAAAACGATTGCACAGTGTTACCAGACGGCAAATATTATTCTAAAGACAATGAATTGAACAATATACTAAATTTCAGTTTTCCCTAAATTTGGCGTCCGAAACGTTTTCATGCACCCACCAACACACTGGTTTGAAGCTAAGATTGGTCGGCCTTTTTAACAGAAATGTTAATAATTTCCCTCCCGTGCACACACACACAGTCACTACGTGAGGTGCGTGTACTTGCTAAAAACAAATGGGCAGTAGGTACATACAATATGAGGTGATATTAAAATTTAAACCAAAGCATGAAAACGTTACTTACGGAATCAATAAATAAAAACGAAAGAAAAACAATGATTACGATTCCAATAATTTCGTTTTCAATTTATGCCAATTAAGTTGCAGTAAATTATTTGTTTAATTGTTAAGTGGTGATAAACAATCCAACACATATAGTTTAAGGTATTTGTTGTTTTTTTTAACCAAATAAACAAGAGCCGGGTTTTAAATGTATATTAATGTAAACACAGACAATTTTTCGGAAACAGAGTGCCGTTAGCTAATTTATTTTCTAGGGGCCTTTACTTTATCTGTACGATAAATAATAACAGAGTGAGTTAAAAAAGAAAGCTTGAATAAACGTTAATAACCCATTCAACAGTAAATTCAAATGGCGCCAAAAGTCAAAAAGCGGGACTTTAATATCAAACTAAATTCTAAATATACTAGACACCTTCTTGGCAAATCAATCGTATACACAAGTATTTTTCAAATTTATTTTGATGTACAATTTTTTTTTACACAAGGAGCTATTGTGTAAATAAATGTATATTAAAAAACAAGTGTTTGTCGATTTCGGTATTGATTTGCAATGGCAGATTAACAATATAGTCAGGTGATTTTAACACAATTTATTTTGCACATCCAAAATTAAAATAAAAAAACAATGTAGTGTTAAGATATTCCCATCAGAATGATATTACGAGTTTTCTGTACCCTATAACAAATTCATAATGTAATTTAACAAATTCATTAATTTTTTGTAAAATTTTAAATTAATAAGCTTAGTTTTATTTTGTTGTGTGTATATCTGATATTTTTGTAAAATCAAAATATTTATTTTGGTATATTTTCGTGAGCCGGCTGGTGTGGTCTTACCGTCGAACGGCGGGCACACTGGTCCCCATATTTTGGTTTTACGTTCCGATAAAATTCTATTTTTGCTCGATTCGTGTCAGATTTTGGGCGAATTGTAAATTTAAACCCCAACGCGAACCGATTCAGTGTCTAAATCCCCAGTGTGTCTAGCCGACGAGGAGGTGTGTCACCAGGGAAACCAGCGAAGAAGCCCCAAACAATCGGGTTTTGTGTGTGACGAAATCGGGCGATAGCGCAGTGCTCCAGTGGTGAGTACCAGGCACCCAGTGCCACACGTCGCGCACATACTGCCCTCAGTGCCCAGCGAGCAGTTCCGGCGAGCAGACCCGTGAGCTATGGCCCCGTGAAATATGGTGTAACTAGAGGCAGTCTAACACCGATATATCCACTCCGTTTTCCAGAAGCAGCCGATCCGAAGATCCGTTGATCCGTTGACCCGTAGTGCCGTCGAGCCCCAACCAGTCTGACCATGTCCAGCGACGCCGATACGCCCGTGCTGCGCAACTGCATCCGGCTGCCGCTGCCGGAGGACGAGCTCCTGGAGGTGACCGCCAAGGCCAAGGACTACGCCATCATGCACGGCGCCGCCATGCGATCGAAGACCGCCTTCAGCCCGGACTCGCTCAATGTGGGTGGTAAAGTCGAACCCTGCTAGCGAGACCCTCTGCTTGCACTTGTGATATGTGAAGTCGCCTTGCGATGGTTTCCGTTGGCTGTCAGCCAGGATAAGGAGGAGTTGCATTAGAGCCTCTTCAAAGAAATATTCAGTTTAAGGGGGGTCCCAAATCGATTTTATTATTTATTTCATGTAAATAATTTCATGGAATTCAAGTAACTTACGAACGTTTTGTAGGCAAAAGCCCTTGGTTTTGCAGACTTCCTTCCTACTTTCGTAATGAAGTTTATTTATTTGCAATCGTCTTGAGAAGGTATGAATTAGAGTCATCCATTTGCAGCTCAATAATTTATTCACTATAAATACGTAAACTGAAGAGCTAGTTATTACATTAAACATTTTTCCGTTTGTTGGTTCCCTTTAAACTGAGATTTGTGTACTCCAATAGGGGGTTTTAGAAATTGTATGTGCGTATTAGTTAGTTGTTTTAGTTAGGTAATGAAGGACGTTTACTAGTGCAATGCAGCTTAAGCTAGAGGGGTTCGACTCCACGCACGGGAGGACGAGGATACTAAATCAGTTTCGATTGCAGTTCGCTCCGTTTGTGCTGGTGCCTTCCTCGTTTCCGCGCAAGGAGTTTGAGAAGGCGGTGGCCCTGCAGCCGATCATCAACCGGCTGATGCACAACGTGGCCCACGACGAGGAGTTCATCACCACGACGCTGGCGGAGACGATCAAAGTGGACGAGTTCACGGCCAACCTGTTCAACATCTACCGCAAGGTGCTGGCGCACGGGTTCACCCAGGTGAGATTCCGTCAGCTGGCGTCCGTTCATCCATCTCCGATCCTCCGCCCTGCACATCACCACACACCATTGTCATCATCCAACCATCACCCAACGTTCCACCTCCACATCATCCACATCGGGATCACATCCACAGGCAGCCAGTGGGTTTCTCGCTAGAATTTATTGGGCCCCTCCACCCGCGGTCGCAATCTAATCGCCCGTCCATAAATCGCCGGCCATAGTCATAGCCAAGAATTCGGTCGGCTGTAGGCGCTAATCTCGCGTGATTTATGCGAGCATCCTGGCATCCGGCAGCTCCTTATCGTTGGTTCGCCCAGTTAGCCGCTTGTAAATTGATCTAGAGCAGCCCATCCCTGACCCCCAAAAGCGCTAGCCTTTGCCGTTGCTCTTCATTTATACATTTAGTTTACGATTACATTCATTTTCCTAACGACACCAGCACAGACACGAGTTGAGTGTTTGAGTTTGAGTTTAACGATCCCCACTGAACTTGATCTTTGCATATCTGTCTATATCATTTGTTCATCTCGCGGAAAGCGACAGTTTGTGCGTATTTGAAGCCAGTAATTATTTGCTCAGTTACTAATAGAGCTTATCAATCCGAAAGTAGAAATCTAGAAAGGTTTGAATCCCCTCAAACCTAATCAGAGTTCTACTCGCTTATCTCATTGATATTATTTTTTTGATTATTGTTTTTCATATAATAAACAATCAATTTCCTTCTGGTAATATTTTTTTGGTGCGGTTAATTACCCCGTTTTAATTTATGGAACTCTGTTTTTATTTCACTTGAAAAAAATGTTAACTTTACTTAATTTTGAATTTCAATTTGGTAGCTGCAATAATCTGTAAATATCAAGTTCCGAGCGCAACTTGCTTTCTGTGCAAGGTTCCTTTCTTTCATGAGTTTTGCTTTTCTCGTCGTTACAACTTCACCATCCCCTCGATAAAAAACCCTAACCACGCAATTGTACAAACTCTCGATCTCAACCACAATCTGTTGCTCCATTATCCGTCACTCATTGCATCGCTATGCCACGAAAACGGTCGAATCGTATCGAAAACCGAATCCAATCGGAATCAAATGAAATCGAAACCGAAATCGATATCGAAACAATCGAAACCGAAACCGAATCGAATCGAATCGAAGAAAATATCGTTGGGGATGCTGCGCAGCGACCTGATGCTGGAGTCCGGCTGCCCGGAGCTGTCGCCGCGGGCACTTCGGCCGGCGGCTGGAGAGGATCGCGGCCAGGCGGCGGCTGCTGTGGGAGCTGCTGCCGGAACTGCTACTGTTGGCACGGGCAGGAACAAGGAGCAGAAGCAGATGCAGAAGGAGGAGCAAAAGGAGGAGGAGGAGCGGAAGGAGGACAGGGAGAGTCAGCTGAGCCGCGCCACCGGGGAACGGGATCGGAGGGCGGCCGGCGTTCCATCCGCGTACTGCTGCTGGAAACAAGTCGAGATCAATACGATAGCTTCGGGCTTTGGCCATTTGGGACCAGCAAGTAAAACCATTCAAAGGTGCTGTTCATCAGTGCAACCACCGCAACACCACGCCTCCATCAGCAACATTCCACACTTACCCACTCCCACTCCCACTCCCGCTTTCCCTTCTTACCCTCTTTTCCCTTTGACCTCTGACCTGATCACCACCTCATCTGCATTCCTGCATCGCTTGCATCCTCCGCCTAACCACACAAAACACACTAACACTAGAGCCGAATGGGATTCCAGTCAAGTTAGGTGCTCTACTGGCTCCTTTGGCCCCTTTTCAAGTCTTCTAGTCTTCATGAGGAAAAGGGGTCATCCTGTATTTTGGGCCAGTGAGCCAAAAGTTGATTGGATTCCAACATCGAAACGGAGTGATATGTATTCTGTAGCTCTATAAACATCTTTTCCTAAATTGTAATATCAACAACATTCATTTTGGTAACAAATCTAAAGTCATTGTTTCGCTTATATCTTAAATACGAGTATTTCCGAGGGGTAAATTTATAAACCTCGAACTGTTTTACAATCAAAAGTAAATTCTATAAAGAGTAAGCTACATTTCTTAAGTCCTATCTCTTGTTTGTGTGGCTTTGTGTGCGTTGCTTTGTAAAGTCCTTTGTACTTAAGTTGAAGTTGATTTTGTTTCGCTGTTTCCTAGACATGCATTTATGTATAAAAGCTGCTAAAAATCTATTGCTGACAATTTGCCTGAATGAATGATTTTTTTTTGGTTGAGACCTTGAGATCGTTGGGTAGTTTTTGATTTGCTGCCGCTGCCTGTCGCCTCCTGCCTCCTGCCTCCTGAATGCTCTGTTCCCGATCTGATCTGCTCTGCTCCTGCCTCTTGCCTCGTGCTTCCTGCATCCTGCCACCTGCCACCTGCCACCTGCCACCTGCTTTTCCCGATCTTACTCAAGCAGCTGAACCGCTTTATATCTCTTTCCCAGTGATTGTCCGCTCTCTGCCCTTTAATTTTCCCAACTTAAAGCAAAGTCCCTGCTCAAATGGCAGACATGGGTTTTTATAGGTAATAGATTTTTGGGGTGTGAGGGTATAGTATAGGTCTAACAGTGACTACACAGAAGGATAGTTTAAACAAAGAAACCAATAACATAATTTAATATTTTTTCATAAACAAAACCAAGCAAAGACACTAGGTACTTTTTTTCCAAGTGATAAAGCGGTGACCTGCTAATAAATCTCCGAAATTTATCACTTACATATTTCATCATCTTTTAAGTGAATAACACATGATAGCATGATAACATTAAATGACGTTTATTTCATCTCTGGAAGTTTCTGGAACGTACACCCAAATGTCGCCCGTGAAAAGTAGTAATCAATCACAACCCACGTAAAATCAACTTTAAATTTGTATACAGTCAAACTACCATAACTCGAACCTCCATAATCTAAAGTTTTATGGATATTAGAATATACAAAAAGAGATATAAATAGTTCTATACTTTGTTTTCTCCAAACTAAAAGTTCGTGTTATGGAAGTTTGGCCGTACTTTAACACATTCATATTTTTAAAAGGACTGTTAACATTTTGGATTTATTAATTTTTAGAAAGGCACTTAGTGACAGATATTAAACTCATAGACTCGAGGCCAGAACTTGACGATTATTCGCCTAACTTTGTATATTCAACATACAGCTGAACCACAGATAGGGTTACAGATAGGGATACGGTGACAACTGATATAGATACGCCTGGTAATTGTTTATTTAAAGTGGAGGTGGCCGATAACAGGGCCAACCAGGTGCAGTTTTAGGTGCAAAATATGGATAGCAGCCGGAGCAATTGGTTTTCAATTACAAGTTCCAGCAAGTCATGATGTTTAGCTCTGGAAAAAGCGTCCCTATCTGCGTTCCAATCACCCAAAAACATTCTGAGCAGATGACTCATCTATGATGGTGTTTCCAAACCAGAGAATTTGAGCTCCCAAAACACTTGTTCAAGCGGGATTTGTTTTAGCCGGTTGTCTGTTTTCCTAGTTGCCAGCAGCGGTGACGTAAGCGCAATTTAAACAGATTAGACCAGAACGTGTTTATTAAACAGTAAAAATAACACCTCATAATAATGGTGGGGTAGGAACTCGTTTCGCTGCGCAGAGCTCAATTACACTTTTTTATGAAATTTTAAGGCCAAGGGCAAATGCTGGATTACCAAATAATTTGGTTTGGAAAAGCGTAACAAATAATAATTCCGTTGCTTGTACTTTTTTTAATGACAGAACTTACAAGACGAAAAAGTTATGAACAGTTTTTAATTCATAAGTAGAGAGCTGAATTAAACTTGAAAATGTTTTAAGTTTACAGTTTTCTGGTGATAGCGATTGATTCCATTTTTCGAATGAATAGCTCCCAAAGGAAAGATCATAAAACATCACGGGAAAAATATTATGTTTAGCATGACTATTGAAGTATCTAGTTTACTAACTATGTATACTTGAATTACAAATAAAATTTTACTAAAATCAAAAGGCCATATCAAATAGTTGTCATCGGAGAAATTATAGACTTGAGTCTAGTCGTTTTGTACACTTAATCTCTAACAGCAAGGGTAAAAAAAAACTTGGCCTCTCCGAAGCTATCTTTTTTTCTTGTCTCTATTTGTGACCGAAGAAGAAAATATTTCTGTAAGATTATCGGGAAGTGGTTGACCAATTTAACATTTAAATTATATTTAAGGCAAGCGGTGATAAAAAGTTAATATTGCTTGTGTGGATAGATAGATTAGATCGAATTGGGAAAATCACTGTTTCATTCCTTCATTTCGCACAATTTCTCTCTTTGAAAAAAATACATTGATTCTGCACCTGCCCCATCCTGTACATTTAAGACCCAAGGACGAGGATCACATCATACTTAGTCATATGCAAACTATTTTTTTAATCGCTTTACCGGCTAAGTAATACTTTAAGGGACGCTGCTGTGACGCACCTAATGTATATATATTGTATAATGATCATAATTGCAGGCATATAGCATCGGTCTGTTGCGATCCGACTATATGGCACACGTTTCCGAGGGCTGTGCGATAAAGCAGGTCGAGATCAACACGGTGGCCTCCAGTTTCGCTGGCATTGCCACTCGATTGGTGCCGCAGCAGAAGTATTAAGCGCTCTTCTCTCTTTCTCTCTATCAAACGCACGAATGCACAAACACACACCTGTCTATCTATATTCCCCGCACCCTGCCCAACTTCCCACCGCTCACGCACGCATCGATCACTAATCACCGATAAAAACGATAACCGATAACCGATTACCGATCACTGATCACGGCTTTGAGGCTCCATATCTGTCTCTGTTACTCACTTGCATGCGGTTAATTGGCTCTAGCTCTTTCTCTATCTTTATCTCTATCCGTCTCTTTCCACACGCTGTAGCCTAACATTTCGACAACCACACACACGTAACCCTCCCAAAACTCCTAACTCTTCTGCGGTTCTGGACTCAGTAACTAACCCCATCTGCCCCGAACATTTGCTGTTTTTGTTGTTTGTTGCTGTTGTTGGCCGAATCAAGCGGTTCCTGAATCATGCTAATCCGTCTCTTTCTGTTCCGGCACTCTCCGTCTCTCTCACCCGCGCAGATTTGTACTTAGCGAGCTGGGACACGCGGATAAGCTGCACAATGTGAGTACCGCAAGGGGGACGAAGTCTGCATATATGTACAACTATAATGTGATACAAATGTTATAATTAAAGAATAATTATTTACGAATTTGGAAGTAGTTATTAAAGTGGTCATTATTTGACAATTTATTAATATAATAAGAAAAAAGCCCTAAAATTGCTCTATGTTTTCTAAAGGATAATTGGAAATGTGTTTATAATAGATACATATATACATAGATAATTGCCAATGTGTTGACATTTTGTTTAAATGCAGGAGTAATAGAGCACGATTATGGAACCAGTAAATATCAATTTTGGATACCTTAACTTAACAATAAAAATGTTCAGTTTAGTTAATTGCATTTTCTCAGTAGCAAATTGTAGTAAAAAATAAATGAGGATTCATTTTTTAATTGAAAAAAAAAAAAAATTTTAATTCGTAGATATGTATTGTAAACCAATTAGAAGTAGGAAAAGAATAACAAATAGTTAATTGAACTGATTACAATTGTGTTTGTATTTAAAATATAATAAAATATGAAAGCTGAATTTTGCGTAAGTCTTAAAGTACCACTTATAAATCACTATATATTTAGATGATGTACCATTAATCTGATTAATTTTCAACTGAATTATATTTTAAAAATAAAATAAGTAATATTTGGCAACAGTTTACTTGAAAAGGAACCTAAGCAGTTAAAACAAGGGAAAATATCTTAAAATTGTAAATTGCAGATTATTGTTGGTAACCTTTGATTGCTGTCTGGATGTTCTTATTAACTTTTGTTTGCACCTCCGCCAGATGCCCGACAACAACGCTTTGGCAGGACTTTGCGACGGAATGGTGAAGGCCTGGGAGATCTACGCGAAGCCGAAGGCTGTGATCCTGTTCATCATCGAGGACGTGTCGTACAACATCTGCGACCAGCGCTTCCACGAGTTCTACATTCGCGAGACCTATCCGCACATCAAGGTGCTGCGCCGCACCCTCACCGAGGTGCATCGCGAGGGGAAACTGGGCCAGGCCAAGGAGCTGCTGCTGTAGGTCCTTCCCTGAAAAACCAGAAGCCATTTTCTAATCCGCAATTCGATCTGCCGTTCGTAGGGGATCCCTGGAGGTGGCCGTGATATACTTCCGCGCGGGCTACGAGCCCGGCCACTACCACTCGCAGGCGGAGTGGGACGCCCGCTACCTGATGGAGACCTCGCTGGCCATCAAGTGCCCCTCGATCCACTACCACCTGGCGGGCACCAAGAAGGTGCAGCAGGCGCTGGCCCAGCCGGCGGTGCTCGAGCGCTTCATCAACGACCCCGAGGAGATCAAGGCGGTGGGCAAGATCTTCACCGGCCTCTACTCGCTGGACGACAACGAGGCGGGCAACGCCTCCTACGAGATGGCGCTCCGCACCCCGGAGCGATTCGTCCTGAAGCCGCAGCGCGAGGGAGGCGGCAACAATGTCTACGGCGTGGACATTCCCGACGCCCTCAAGGTGAGTGGTCTCGTCCCACTTTGGTCGGGCTGAAATGCAGAACTAAGCTATATCTAAATAAATATATATATATATATATATATAGATATATTATATATCTATATATCGCTTAACATATCTCCACTCAATGCAAATATAAATTTGTACCTTTTCAATTTTTGTTTTGAAACAAACTTTTCATTCATTCCGATTGCCTTTAATCTTTGTGGTACTTTTAATTAACAATTAATTATACTTTTCTGTAATTGTAGAATTACAATCAATTTCAACTAATTTTTGCTCGCATTTAGACTGTTGTCACTACTATTTTAATAATAAAGCTCAAAGTTGTAGTTATTTAAAAAACTGGTTGACCAATAGCTAACAGAATTATTAGTGAGGCAAGTAGAATAAATTTGAATAAATTTACATTTGAATAAATTTAAATTTAAATACAGCGCTTCAAATGAGTTTGAAGTTCTCTTTCCAATTTTTTTTTGTAATTAAATCAAATTACATTTTTTCTTAAACACTTTAAACCAACAAAATAGAGATTAATAATTGCATTTAAGGCAACACGCCGAGATTTTTATAATTGTTTATTGTCTTCTTGTTTATTTAAGATATCTGATTTTGCCAAGCTCAGGCTGACAAATTGAACAAAGTTTTTTACGAAACATGTTTGTGAAATTTGATAACCAAGACCTTAATTTTTCATTAAAGACATTTGTTTTGTTCAAGATTTAACAACTGCCTGATAAGCAAAAGGCAAAATAATATAATAGTTTGTAAGGACTCGGAATCAGGCCCAAACACCTACATTTTTTTTGCTCTTTATAAAAGCAGTGACTTTAGGCAGTTAATATTTTACACATAGGACTCCCATCATGCTCTGTTAAACGATTTGTGTTCTAACCAATCCCTTTCGATGTCTTCCTGCAGCGCATGTCGCGCGTGGAGCGCTCCGCGTGGATCCTGATGGACCTGATCCACCCGCCACTGACCAAGGGCTACATGGTGCGTCCGGGAGGCGACATGCCGCCCCAGATCGTGGACATGGTCTCCGAGCTGGGCATCTTCGGTGTGGTGATCGGCGACGCGGAGCACATAGTGCACAACTACCAGGCGGGACACATGCTGCGCACCAAGCTCTCCACTGCGAACGAAGGAGGCGTGGCCGCCGGACTGGGCGCCCTGGACAGCCCGTATCTTATTGACAGCGACGACGACGACCAGGAGAACTAGGATCCTCGGTGTCAAGGGTCCAAAAGCCGGCATTCCACCTGTTGCCTCAGTCTTGTATAGATAATTATTTTTGTAAAGCGTGTTGTACATTTTTCACTTTCCCCCACCCAAATTGCAATAAACAAAACGTAAAGTTAGATGGCCTTGAAAAGATGCAAACTGGATTTGGGGTTAAAGCTTCGCTACAGTCAATACGAACGCCTAATGTCTAAGAACTATCACCGGGGAGTAGAATGTGGTAGGGATCGATCCCTTGCAGCGGCCACTACCTCACCACCTTGCGATAGGTGGCGTCCATCAGGCGGTCGACCATGCTGTCGATGGGGTGGATAATCAGCGGGATGCTGGCCAAGCCCACCAGGGTGGGCACCGTCTTCAGCACGGGCAGCGGAGCGCGGCTCAGCAGGGTTTTGGTGGCCCAGGTGATCCTGAAAAGGCAAAAACATGCTATAATATTATATTGAAAAATACTTAAACTATATACAAAATGGATACAGTTTCCTGAATAAATATTAATATTCTTGACTATTATATATGATTTCTTAATTAGGATTATGCAAAATGCAGATAAATAAAAGTACCATTCATTTTACCTGGTCAGAGGACTTAAAACCATTTCCCACTTGGTTCAGTTTAACTAACACACATCATAGTAAAACCCAGTAACGATTAATAATTTCTAGCGACCTAAAATCTATTTAATATCTGTTACTTAGTTCCTTAAAGAAATAACGTTTGACCAAATCTAATTTTTAGATAAGTTTTCTTTGTATAAATTTGACTTTAGGTGCATTACCCTACTATATATATTAAATCAAGTTTTTTTTTATCTTAATATGAATGATGATTTCATGAATTCTACTTAGGCCAATTCGAACGGCAGTCAAAATGTTAAACCAGTTTTTGTTCGCGACATTGTTTGTTGAGAGTTTGTCATATAAAATTGCTACTAAATGTATACGACAGTACTATGCAATACCTAAGCATATTCTGCCATATTACGTAAGTTAAGTTAAGCTTAGGTTTACTATATTATGATATCTTCTAGGCACGAAAGTACTATAAAGTACCCAAACTAAATGCTAACTGTTGCGTAACCGACGAAGTAACCTTCGTAAGATATTCCCTGCTCTGAACATCTAAAATATTAATAGGATCGGAATGATGACTTAAGAGTATAGTCGCATGGGAACGTGTGACCCCACCGATTGATGACCAGGCCGGGAATGGCGACGGAGGCCAGCATTTGCCAGGCAAAGACGTCGCCGCCCTTGATGAGCACATCTCTGTGAGCCGCCCCGTCCATTTGGAGACGCAGTGCCTTGTCGAAGGTGTCGGTGCAGACATATCCGATGGCCATGCCGTAGGATGCAGCCACGAGCGACTTGGGCACCAGTGGGCGGAAGGACTCGCCGATCTCGTTGCTGTAGCCTGGGAAAATATTTGGAATGATTCGGAATTCTATAGGGTTTAGGATCGGAACTCACCCATGTAACGGATAAAGGTGTCCCGATAAATGTCCACATCCTTCGTCACCGTCTTGTGGGCAATCTCTACGCCCTCCTTCTCTATCTGTTTTAATTGCTTATCCTCCGACATTGTCTTTACTGTGATTAATCACTTTTCAAGGGGAATGTGGGTTTCTGTTTTGTGGCGAGTCGACTTGGGTAATATGTTCTGATTCGTGTTAGCTATGCTTATCTGTTCCCAGTGACGGAAAACAGTTGCAAGCTTGGTTGCCTAAAAATCCATTTATTTCAATTTAAATTTAACCGATCGAAGGACTGAACTCGGGAATCAAAAAGCCGTATAAACAAAATGTTTATATAAATAATTGAATAAAATAGCGCGTATCGATAAATGGCCACCGTTATCGGTTGGCAGAGATGCACGAAAAGGCTAAAAATAGCTAAATCTTTATTATGGCTGTTACAATTCAAACATTATTTACTTGAACAAACCTTTTATCCTTTGTTCCTGATTTCGCTATTTCATTTTTTAGTTCTTTAAGGAAATAATACATATATATATATATATTATATTATTTACCTTAACGTTACCAGTCTAACAAAACTACCTGAATGAAATCGTAAATCTCTAAGATAATTGTTATTTATTACGATAATATCTAAGCCGAATCTCTATTTTTCTGAAATTAAAAATACAATACAATACAAAATACAACACAAAGTCAATTCAAAGTGTGTTTTAAAAATAAGTTGATCAAATAATATTGATAAATAATCGTTTTAAAGCTTTAATTTCTTTTAGATTTAAATTTTTCCGCGCACTGCAGTGTTGCCATTTTCACTTCGGGTTCCACTGCATTTTGGCCAAACGCTTTCAAACCGATGCGGTCTCACTAACAAGCAAAAAAAAAACAAGACGTCGTCATACGCGTTGGAATTCCAACAAAATAGTTAAGTTTCCTTTTGTTTAACACCTGTCGAACCATCATCGAGTTATCCAGCGACGACTGCCTGGATTTCGAAGCAAGTCAGCCAGCATAAACGTGAGTAATCGCCGAAATGCCCGCCCCAAACTTACCGATTTGGGGTAAAGTCAATGCCGCTGTGCGGAGCATTAGTCATGCCAAGAAATTCGATTTTGCTTGCGAACTGCGTCACCGAAGGACACTGAAACTAGAATCGGAGTTAGAATTGCCCCCAGGATTGGGTAACATCGTCTCCAAAGCCGAATCAGGGGGTTTCGCCCCAAATTGGATGCTGAGCCCCGAAGGGGAGGGGCTAATTCCCCGAAATTTATAGCCGATAACGAATATGTTAAGCACTTCATCTTAAATTGGGACCCACAAAAAAAGCGGTATCGCACAAAAACGGAATCTTACATAGTTTTATATGAGCATTATATAAATATGTATAAATATTTACGATACATGTTGACAATATAAGGATTTAGTCCAGTCATCTTTGCACAAATCAATATAATAACTATAAGGCACAGAACCTGTTCTTAAGCTACCGAGTGAAACATATCAGTTGCTTTTTTATAAAAATCTGAGCATCCATTTATTTTGCACAAATCGATATGGGAATTCCTTTCATACAAACATATAGTTTTATATCTAGCTAAAAAGCTTTCTTGAATCTGATCTGAGTTTTTATAAAGTAATTGTTCTATTTGAAGTTGTAATATTGAATTCTCGTTGCATACTGCAAATTTTGTATGTGTGCAAATATTAATCAGCTTAGGTTTTGTCTAATGTCACTTGTAAATTGATAAGTTGTACTCCTTATTGATTGATTTAAGAGCAAACGGTCAGGAAATAACAAAACTTCTACTTAATAAGGATGAAACAAAAGATAGATCAGAATAAACTAGGATTTTACAAATTTGAAAGCTAAATAAATACAACAAGTTAAAACGTTCGCATTTGTGCTATATAAGCTTAATTCCTCAGTGGTTAATTTGTTTTTGCAGCACTATGGCAGCCGGTACCACACTACAGAAGGCCATCGATCTGGTGACCAAAGCCACCGAGGAGGATCGGAACAAAAACTACGCGGAGGCATTGCGTCTTTATGAGCACGGAGTGGAGTACTTTCTACACACCATCAAATGTAAGAGATCCTTTAATGAAATGTAATAAATGTACAATTTATTGATGAAATACGAGACCAAGAATATTACACGTACAGGGATCCAAGACCCCACTTCTAAGTTTCTCCTAAAATATAAATCTGATAAAATAATCCCTATCTCCCCACGCAGATGAGGCGCAGGGCGAGAGGGCCAAGGACTCGATTCGAGCCAAGTGCCTGCAATATTTGGACAGGGCCGAGAAGCTCAAGGAGTACCTGAAGAAGGGCAAGAAGAAACCGCTCAAGGAGGGCGGCGAGTCCAGCGGCAAGGACGACAAGGACAAGAAAAGCGACAGCGACGACGAGGACGACGATCCCGAGAAGAAGAAGCTGCAGAGCAAGCTGGAAGACGCCATCGTCATAGAGAAGCCGAAGGTGCAGTGGTCCGACGTCGCCGGCCTGGACGCCGCCAAGGAGGCGCTGAAGGAGGCCGTCATCCTGCCGATAAAGTTCCCGCAGCTGTTCACCGGCAAGCGAATCCCGTGGAAGGGCATCCTGCTGTTCGGGCCGCCCGGAACCGGTAAATCCTATCTGGCCAAGGCCGTCGCCACGGAGGCCAACCGCTCCACATTCTTCTCGGTGTCCAGCTCGGACCTGATGTCCAAGTGGCTGGGCGAGTCCGAGAAGCTGGTCAAGAATCTCTTCGAGCTGGCCCGCCAGCACAAGCCCTCGATCATCTTCATCGACGAGATCGACTCGATGTGCTCGGCGAGATCGGACAACGAGAACGACAGCGTGCGGCGCATCAAGACCGAGTTCCTGGTGCAGATGCAGGGCGTGGGCAACGACACCGACGGCATCCTCGTGCTCGGGGCCACCAACATACCCTGGGTCCTGGACTCGGCCATCCGGCGGCGGTTCGAGAAGCGCATCTACATTCCGCTGCCGGAGGCGCACGCCCGCCTCGTCATGTTCAAGATCCATCTGGGCAACACCACGCACGTGCTCACCGAGCAGGATCTCAAGGAGTTGGCCGGCAAAACCGAGGGGTATGCAACCTTAGCTATTAACCACCACGGCTATTAATTCCCATTCAGAGATCGTGACTAATGAACGGATTTCCTGTTTTGCAGCTACTCCGGCGCGGATATATCGATCGTGGTGCGCGACGCTCTGATGGAACCTGTGCGCAAGGTGCAGACCGCCACGCACTTCAAGCGCGTCTCCGGTCCGAGTCCCACCAACCACGAAGAGATCGTCGACAACTTGCTGGTTCCGTGCTCGCCGGGCGACGAGGGCGCCGTCGAGATGAACTGGATGGATGTGCCCAGCGACAAGCTCTTCGAACCACCCGTGACCATGGTGCGGATTTTCAACTTGAATGCCTCTTTCCAAGTACTAAAACATTGCTTTGTGTTTACCTTGCAGCGCGACATGCTGAAGTCCTTGTCTCGTACGAAACCCACTGTCAACGAGGACGATCTGAAGAAGCTGCGCAAATTCACAGAGGACTTCGGCCAGGAGGGCTAAACAAGATCCCCGCCAGAAACCATCAGCACCACCAGCTAATACTAATTGTTGCCTATTGCATAAATTCAACACGTTTTACTTCAGGCTCTCCTTAAAATTTTTTTATTTTATATATTAATATGTATACATACGATCGATATATGTTTAAACTGTAATTCAAATTCGTCATGCGATTGCCACAGAGACAAGGGAGATGCAGCGAGCGAGAAGAGGGCGGGATTGTTGTAATCACAAAGTCAATGTATTTTTGTACTCTTAATGTTAAGCGATAGAAGAAACCCGAAAACGGAGCCGAATGCAAACCGTGTGTGTCGCCGCGCTTGCGCAACGTTTGCCACTCGGACTTGCCACGGACGCCTGATCGCCAGATCGCAGATCGAGAAGGAGTTGAAGGGAGCGGAGGGGGAGTGGTTAGAGCAGCAGCGGAGGAGTTTCAGCCCAGCCGAGCAAACCTATTTAAAATGTAACGTACCAGAAATAAAAAGCGAAAATTGTATACAACACTGACATCCCGAGAATGCCAATTGCCAAATGACGTGACGCGACGCGACGCGACGCTACGCGGGGAATCCCCTCGCGCTGGCGACCCCATTCCGCAGTGAGCCACCAGGTGGGTGGGAAGCGGGCAATCGGTCATGTGGAGAAACCGAGAGAGCGCCAGCACTTTCGGCCCCAGGCGGCGCAAAGAATGCGCGACTTTTGCCGCCTGCCCCACATGCTGCATGATAAGATCTTTCCGCGCCGCAAAACGGCCCCAAATACTCGTACGTTCGCTTCTGGCCGATCGGCCAGATATTATTCGGCTATGTGTGGGCGTACAGTGGAACTGCCTCAGGGTATCGTTTTGGAAATGAGGAGCTCGGAAACTCATCAGTTTTTTTTTTTTACATTAAATGTATTTCTTTTCTATATCGCATCATAGTTATTATAAAAATATTTCTATGCTATGTTAAATAAGCCTTGATTCGGTACCATTTTGTAAAATAAATAATGTAAAATCTTTCTAGGCTTACATGTATTTTATTCGATTTTTTTTTTGTGGTTATAATGGATATATGTAGTTGAATTATTTTCGTTATAATTTGCAGTTATGATTTTGCAGAAACGTGATTTCTAATTTCAGTACAAGTTCATTTATAGTGTGTATTTAAGTTTATATATATTCAGGTATATATTGAGATATTCAGAATGAGTAGGAGGACATTTAAAATTTGTATGTTTCATAAAAATTGTTTTACTAATTAAATTGAAAAGGTGCTTCGAGTGTTTGATTCCGTACTACTGCTTATGATTTGATTGATAATTAATTTGATAATTTTAAGATTTAATAAATAGTCATGTATTTAAATTTTATAAATTACAAGCGAGAATATTTATAAAAATACGTTTTCATGGCGAATTGGCTCCACCGTGCGACGCTGAAAGCTTTTAAGCAAACGATCGGGGGCTTCGGCATGGTAGAAATAACTGTAAGGTACTCTTGTCGGGAGCCAAATCGTTCGGGCTCGGTCCGCTAAGGGTCAGTGTTTCTGAGCTAATGACTTTTTGTTTAGCATTAACCCTTTTATGTTTAGCAAGGCAAACAATATGGGAGAGGATTCTAGGCTGCAGCCTGAGCGAAAAATAAAAAATTATACACGAAGTTTTGCTTATTCCAATATGACGTGCCATTTAAAACCCCATGCACCGCATTAGGGCTAGACCATGGTAGAATTATACAAGGTAGTCTCGTCGGCTGCAAAATCGTTCGGGTTTTTTCCCCTATCGACCCGAACCCATAGGAAAACACTCTCTCTCTCGCTCTAATTGTAGTGTCGATAGGGGAAAAAAAAAGCCGACGAGACTACCTTGTACTTATTATACCATGGGCTAGACAACATACTCTCCTACTGTTTCTGTCTTGTTGTGATTGGTAAGGGACTGACGGACCCGACGAGACTATCTTGTGCCTATGCTACCACGGCTGAAGCTCGGATCGCGATTTAGAGCCGGGCTTTAAGCCAGAGTTTCAGTTGGTCTTCAGCCCCAAAGGCTAGAGGTTCGCAAATCGAGGATCGGTCCGCGCTAACATTTCGCTGAGTTTCGCCCGCACATCGGCAGTTCCGTTACGTGAGTGCAGCGCCGTCGTCTGCGTTGCACGGAGCCAAAGATACAAAGCCGAAAGATACAGATACACGGCAACAACATTTCTCGGTTTGTTTTGCGCAACGTTGTTTTTTTTTTTTTACTGTCTGGCCAGCGTGAAAAGCCAGATACAAGATACGAAAAAAGTGCGTATTTGTTGTGATCTGTTTTTGTTTGGTGTGCAAGTGGATTTCTGTTTTGTTTGTTGTGGTTTTTCGAGCTGCATTAATTGCCCTTTGGAGGCTTTTTTTTATATTTGATGTTTTTTATCTGATTTTTTCTAAAGACGGTTTGTAGTGCACGCAGAACAAATATTTTTCTACTTTATGCGTGGACACTTGTTCAATACAAAATATTGTTTGCAAATGCTTCTAAATCTGGTGGTGTGGATATTTACAAATTAATTAATGATTAATTGTTTGATTATTTCGAAAGATCGACAATTAGTTTCGCAAAACAAAATACAGTTTTTATGATTTGAATGCAAATGTTTTGTAAGGGTTTTGTAAAATTGTCAATGATACATAACATTAAATTTCTGAACAAATCCTTTTGATTGAAAATCACCTAATCGACTCATGAAATGTATACCGATTCATGATCGATGTTACTGCTTATATCTATTTACATCTATTATATTAAATATTTAAGTTGATATAAAGTTGATAAAAATAGGGAATGGTTTAAAAATGCACAGCTGACTAGAGTCTTTGCGATACTTAATTATAAGTTTTTTGATAGGGTGTTAAAGAACTCACTAAATAGATAGTAAAAACATATTTTTTTTTGGTGTCCCTCTGCTCTTAACGTTGCCTTTGTTGCAGTGGCCAACTCGTAAATCCGTCAATACTAAATGTCAGAACGACGTGAACCTTAAGGGGGGTCATTGCAAAGGCCACGGAAAATAAAGAGAAATTGTTTGCAGTGTAACGCCGCTGCTGCTGCTGCTGCTGCTGCTGCCGTGGTGAAGCGCAACTTTCACGCGCTTCAGGTGAAAACCGTGAGCCGGGTTCGAAATGAGCGAAATGAAGAAGAAGTTGAGGCCGAAGCCTCGCAGCAGCCGAACCCACATAATTTGTTGTTATTTTTTGTGCTTTTATCATTATTATTGTTATTGTTGTTGCCGCTGGTGGCTTCGTTTTTCCCCACATTCGCATTGTTTTACTTGGTTTTGTTTTTTTCTTTTTAAGTGCTTTACTTTGTGATTTCGGCTACTGTTTTTGTGTCAGTCGCAGTTTTGCGAAACTATTTCAGAAATGCATATTTCTTGCGGCTCAAATGTGTCCAACTGACTGAGTTATGTGCATAAAATGAAGTGCATTAAAGTGCCCGGGAGCGGTTTTCCACCATTTTCTGTTTTCTGTTCGAGCGGAGTGCGTCGCCTCGCCTGCACTTCTTGCATCCAGTTTGTTTGGTTTTTTCTGCTGGCTGGGCATTCAGTATTCAGTATTATGCATGTTTCGATTAAACTTGTTTGTAGAGGCATCAACATCAACACCTGCCCCCCAGCAGATCAGAAAAAACTAAAAATCATGCTGACATTGACACGAATTGTCGTCGGCAGCAACAACTAAAAAAAAACAAGAAAAAACAAACAACGCACAACAAACAAAAGTCAAATCATACAGTTTAAAGTTGAAATCCAAACAAAACTGCCAACTTCAAATTTATGACTAAGATTTGTTGTGTGCGCTCCACAATTAAAGTGCATAAAATTCCACCAATGTCAGGCGCCAACAACAACGAAATATATTAATTTGGCTTACAAATTTGTTTTTGGTTAATTCAGTGGCACATTGCACCGAAAGAAAACTATGCACAATAATGCTGGCTTGATATTTGAGTGTTTTTATTTTGATTATATACAATTAGCGTTTTGTGCACGTTTGTTTTCTGTGATTTGTATTACCCGTATTTTGTTTGAATAAATCCACAACTCTTTTGATAAGCTTTTGAAATATAATCTTGACTTCAGAGGTGCTCAATGAAGAGCTTGTTTTTTTCCGTGTGTCTATATTGAATTGCATTTGGACTTAAACAAACCGATCGAAGAGCCAGCGAACAATAAACTCTGCTTGATTGTTGGTTGTTGATTGGCTTTGCTGGCTGGCTGGCTGGTTACCATCAGTTTGGGCCGACTTGCCCGAGGAACAAGGTCGTTTACCACGCACATTATCAGATGCAAATGGGCATTATGTCTGCTAAATGCTGGAAAATACCTCAAATTATTCAAGAGCAATTTGTTGAATTACGAGCATGTTTGCATTCAATGCGCTTTCGATGCCGCTCACTATTTTATTTCACATTTGTTTTTTTGTCTATTACCCAAAGTTCCCGGTAAAGAAATTATAATTGCTTGGAAAAGAGACCATAAAAAGCGGCGCAAGCAAATTAAATTTCTTTTGTTCTTGACAAAGCGAGGCGAGGCGGCCTGTCATTAAAAGAACAATTATTTTTAATCTGTCGTGTTAATTGTGCTCGTCGTTACGTTGGCCAAGAGAGCGGAAAGCCAAAGATAGGTCAGAGCTCTAGATTTTCCAGCTTAGATTCTGTGGAGATTCGGTCTTGCTTTTAAAACAAACTGATACTGCTGGGAGTCTCATGTTTACTAAACCAATTCATATATGCTATATGCTGCTTATTTGAAGTCTAAGAATTTGTTACCTAATCCAAGCACACTCTCTTGTTACCGAAGCACAACACATCCTTCCAGCACTTATTTTGCCTTGCACAAATGTATCTGTCTGAACGAGTATTTCTTTAACGGTCGAGATATTCTTGTGGTTCTGCCTGCTCTCTATTTAATCATCTCTTTGTCATTGGGTAACTGGGCCAGAAGGTTTCGTAAGACGAGAAATGAAAGAGTGCCTGATTGGGTCAACCCGTTCCATGAACCATAACCGGCAACTTGATGCTGTCGCCGGGAAGTGAATGACAAAAGAGTTGGTATTTGGACTCGGGCTCTGATTCCGATTCCGATTCGGAAAGCGGAGTGGATGGAGTGGAGTGGAGTGGCGTTCCCGAAAACTGTGTCACGTTCCTAGTCCATTGCATGCGTGTTATTGTGCTGGCTGGCTGGCTGGCTGGCTGGCACTCCACCGTTGCATCCAGTTGATTTATGGAATATTGTTTATGCGAGTATGTTCTGCATCGCCAATGAGGATTGCGTGGCCCACGAAAAGTTCTGTGTTTCGGGAGCCGCAAAGGCACCTCGAAAACGATCATAAATAGCCGCCACTAATTGCCTGCAGCTGTGCTGAAAAGTTGCACTGGCAGAAATAGTTTGACACTACCCACATTATGTCATGCTGATCTGGCGAAAATCTGTGCATCGTTTAAGACTTTAAATATTTTTTCTTTATTACATGTGACGTGACATGGAACTATAATTTTCAAAAATGTAACTTACAAAAATACATTTCTCAAATGTTTTCCTTTTTGTTTACATTATGCTCAATTGTGTTCAGTGTGATTATATTTTTTTGTTACTCTGTAACTTTCAGCATTGGGTTGAAAAGCCCCAAAGACGCGAGCGGAAACTTTATGCTTAGCTGGTTTTCGTTATATTTTCTTGCCCCAGCTTTGGCTGTTAACTCGAATCGGATCGGCTTCCTCCCTTTTTTTTTTAAGTTGCTGGGTGCGTCGTAACAAACAGGAAACTATTTCAAGCTGCCGTGCGAAAATTGGCTAAGGAAACTTTGTACGTATTTTGGGTTTTCCTTGCTTCTGTTTAATGTGCAATCAGACATCGGCCATCGGTGGCAAGTTCGTTGCCTAAGTCTTTCGTTTGGCAAGTGGCATTTTGCCCGAAATTCGAAATGAGACCGACGAAACAGGAATACCCTGTTCAAAACCGATTTTATTGGCCAAAATTTGATTAGTGCCATTTGCGAACATGTCTAATAACATCTTAAGATCGAGAAGCACCATTAAATTTAAGCGATCTAACTTGGATTAATCGCCGCAATTACTGCGCCTAATCGAAAGCGCACCCGAAATTCAAATTGCTCTCTAGTCTGTACTCGTTCGATTAACCTCCTTTGCGAACTCAGGCTGGGAACCTATAAATCATTTTGGATTTCTTCATCATCTGTTCGATTTGTCGGCGCAATTTACCGCCTTTGGATGGAGTGTATAGCAGTAGCAATAATAATAAAAGTTTTAGCCATCGCACCGAGGTTTCTTGTTTCGTTTGACATGGGCCCAAACCGTCTGTCTGTCTGTCTGAAAGTCTATGGCTTGACAAATCAATCAAGTCGCTTCATGCGGATTTCGATTGCACAAAGACAAAAGGCGAAGACAATGCGTCGGTTTTGTTTCTGTTGCTGTTGCTGTTACTGTTACTGTCTGCCATTTGGCAATGCCTAGTGGCCATTTCCATTTCCATTGTCCGCCATTCGCTTGGCTCACGTCCAGAGCTTAATGAGACATTCCCATTCCGACGGACGGACAAACGGACGGACAAAACGGACAAGCGGACGGACAGAAGGTAGAAAAACGCCGTGCTGCCAGCTACGAACTGCACTTTTCTTTGGCACGGTTCGGTTTTCTCAATCGCCTCGCAGACTTTCCCAGCCAGTTCTCAGTTCGTCTCACTTTTTCCCATTCAAATGGTACCTACACGCAGAAAAACCAATTGCTGTATACATCATTTAACATATAATTAATACTTATAATCCCCCAATATCATCAGTTAATCTGAATTTGAGTCTGTGTTCCTTGGCTTTAAAGGAGAATCTAAAATGAAATCTCATTTTGAATGGTACATTCAGTGCTTCCACTCCAAAGTACTTGCATCTTTTCTCCATGTGCAGAGATTACTGGCACTCGTTCTTCGTAATGAGCCAAATTAGCCGGCAAACGCGAAAATGAGCTGCGGAAAGCGTCAGAGCCGCCAAATTGGGTTAATCTATTTGAAAGTGGAAGCGCTGGCCGCAGCGCCACCGACAAGTCAACTATATACACCTATACCAAAACGAAAATAAAAATAAAAACAAAAATAAAAACAAAAACAAAAACATAAAAATCAGCATCTGATGGAAGCCATGCGAAAGTCGCCTAAGAAGCACTATTCTGTGCGTTACTTTCCATTTTGATGGCGCATTTCGAGCTGGGATCGAAATGAAGATGTTTAGATGTCTGTCTTCGCTTTCTCGACATCTTCACCTGTCAACTGTCTTCGTTCTTTAACGGTACTCGCCTTTTAATTTGGCTTTTCATCGCACCCATCAACCATCAACCATCAACCATCAACCATCGGATGTTCACACGATGCGATATAAAGAAAGGGCCGCCGGTTGAATATAATGGTGTGTTGACATCCGTTCGGATCGGTGGGGTATACATAGCTGATGAAGGTGATCGGTTTAGTCACGGAACGTTGAGGAAATCATTATTAGCAGGATGCGACAAACTCAAAGAAAAACTGTCGCTTAATAGAGTCACTTCGAAATAATTACTTTCACAGTTTAAGAAATTATGATATAATTGAGTGTGGTTTTAGCTTGATCAAAAAAACATGCAGAGCTGAAAGCCTTTCAATACGATTTGCGTATTAAATTGAGGAAAATCAATAGCAACAAATTACAATGTTTACTTGGGATGCAGTTACTTCCATTGAATAACAAGAAATTGGTTGCACATTCATTGAATGAACGCATTGTGCAACAAAATGCCAAGGAAATAAATGCCAACATCTAATCGAAAGTATGTGTTCTAGTCATAGTCATAGTCATAGTCAGAGCTTCTAATACATTAATTTTGAAACCGATTTCTTGGAATTGGAGTTAGTGCTTTAGCATATTTGTGGTTTCTCCTAATTTTTATGGACTTCCAAGTATTTATAAATATGTATTTGTTTTAATAAAATCATTTGATTATGAAAACTTAACATGAGGTTTGCATTTGATTGATTTTATAACTTAAATCAACATACATTTGATGTTTTTTTCATTGCCTTTAGAAACGTGATTATTAAATCTTTGGCTTAGACTAAATGCGTGAGTCACAAAAAAAATGTTGCTTTAATTATTTCAAAACATTCGAAAGGCTTAGACAATTTAATCTAGTTAACTTTAATGAAATTGTAATGGTTTTTTAATTTGTATAATATTATTTGTTGCTTGTAAACCGTTCTTTCTCTCTCTTTTTCGATGCAATTTCAATAGTGCACTCATTGTCTGCTAAACCGATGACAAAATACTCGTATTTCGTGGGCGGTCAATTTGCAGAGGTACGAAGTTGCACAATCCCTGGTATTTGGATGCTAATTGATCGATCACGTCGCCCGCCCAACGAAAGTGAAATGTTGTTGATTGAAGACCGCGTTTGTTAATCGATAGGGGAAACATTTGAAGTGCGGTTTCGGATTCCGCTTCAGTTTCAGTTTCAGTTTCTGTCACAGCTTCAGTTTGAGTTTGGGTTTCAGTTTCAGTTCCAGTTTGTGTTTTTGTGGCCAAGAGGTTTTCACTTTCGTTTATCACATCTTCGCCTGAGTCACCGCTCCCCACCGCTCCCCACCGCTCCCCGTGCAATTTGGGGCCGCCGAGTGAATTGGCCAAAAGTCAACAAACGCCGACGGCTCTTCGCTTTGTCTGCCTGTTGACCCAAATGTGCGAGGCGGCCAAAAGCCGTCGGGCGGGATTTGGCGGCCAGAATGCTCGGCAGTCAAGTGTAAGGTCAATAAACTGGCGACGCAGTTGCAAGACTCATGGGGCACGAGGCTCGAGGCACGAGGCACGAGCCACCAGACCATCGGGCAGTCGCACATGCGCAACATCCTGTTCGGGAGGCACTGCAACCGGCCTATTATACAATGGCCAACGGCTACACGGAGCGAAAAATCGAAGCCCCAATTGGGAGTTCAGTGGTCTCTTTTACCCACAGTTCCCTATTTCTCAGAAAAAATATTGCAAAATGTTGGGAGTTTTATTTTACCTTATATACTTTATATTTTGAAAAGGTAAAATTCCAACTAAAATAAATAAAATTAAACATATGACGTTTATGTACATTTTCATCTAAAAATAATAGTAAATAAAAAAAGGTGAGGTGCTCTAAGGTTTTTTTTATTAAAGGTCTCAGCACTTACGGTTGATTAATTTTATTTAAATTAGGTAGCAGGAAAAACGTTTTATTTCATAACATTTTAATAGATTTTAATAGTTAGGTATTTAAAAACATTCGCCTTAGATGAACAGAAAATATTATTCTTATATGTAGTAGTTAGTTATGATAGTTAGTAAGTTATCTTAATGGCTTCTTAATTCAATTGATTTGGTTGGCTTTCACAGTCTAAATTTGTGTCTCAATGCATCAGTCATGTTTATATTATGTACATTTCTATATCAGTATGATGTGTTCCGAATTTTGTATTTAAAATGTATATAGTCGTAACGGGCGAAAATATTTTCATGTATGATAAGGTCTTTTGTGATTCAGTTTATTGCCGTGTGCAGCGAAACATTTTGACTCATGTGGGCTTGCCTCCTCTGATTGCAGACGACCGAACGCCAGCCATCAATCGGGCCATCAATCAGTCAATGCCGCTTGTCGCAAATTGGAGCTGGAGTCGCAGCCGCTCTCCCTTCTCGGAGAAAGCCAAAGTCGCAGTTCCAGTGGCAGTCCCAGTGGCAGTGGCAGTTGCAGTTGCAAAGAGTCGTCGCAGTGCAACCTGAAACCTGGACAGTGGATCAGAGAAGCGCGATCCGAAGTTCCCAGCGGAGTTTTTGCGGTGCTGTCTGTCTGCCTTTTGGCTAAGTCAGTCAGTGAGTCAGAGACTCGAACTTGTAGTCAACGCTATAGTCACGACTCCACCACCACCACCACAACCACAATCACAACCACATTTATATCCACATCCACATCCATATCCACGACGTCTTCGCTTTGGCTTCGCTTTTTGCTGCTGTCGCCCGGCAGGTTCACAAATAAGTGAAAGTGAATTTGTTTATTGTGTATTTTTCTATTACCAAAGCGAAAGAGACGCATAACACCAACACCAAGAGGCAGCCAGCATCCACATCTAACTTGGCAACTGCAGTTCCATTTACCAGATTGCCGCTTCGATCGATGAAGATCGTTGTGGAGAGGCCAGAACCTCAATTGAAATCAGCATGTTGGGCGCCGGCTGCGTACTTCTGCTGGTGCTGATATGCCACACGGAAAATGGTGAGTAGAGTATCCGCCCCGTGGGCTCCTCCATTAACTAATTGCCAGCCGGCGGCGCGAGGCATTAACTAATTCACTGAGTGCTCGACTTGTATTTGCTTTTAACGAGTGCCTCCTCCACACACATATATGCTATATATCCGTATGCCTTTATGTAGTCGGGTAAGTGGGTGGTGCGGTGATTGTGTCAATTGAGAAGACGATCAGCGCACCACTTCGCCGCGGTGATTGCACAATGGTCCAGAGAGCAGCCTTTTCTCGGAGCATACAAACATAAGTGCGGTGTTTGCACAGCGAAAAATAATGTTCAATGTAGGTCAATACTTTGGATTTGGCCTTATCATTTTGACCTTATCATAGCTTCTACTTGGGAGATAAAATGCAAGTCTGAGAAAGGTTTCCTGAAAGCTAAAGTTTCTTTTGATTACGGAAACATTATAAAAGTCATCAAATTAATTGTAATTTTGCAATTTATTTCTTGTCCCGATTTTTATTACCTTTCGCTTAAAGGCGTTTCAATAAAAATACTTTTAAAGGTAGTCAATAGTTGGTTAACTTGTTATTTAAAACTCATTCTTGCTGATGGCTAAGCATAAAATTGTATTGATATGTTGTGGAGTTAAGCAATTCGTGAAGTCAATCGATTGTCAGCTAAATTTCTGATTGTGTTGTGTTTTCAAGTTTCAAGTTGAAATACCAATATATTAATATATATTTTTAAAGTTTTTTCAACACCTTTTCTTATTCGATAAGGAAAGAACTTGCCGCACTATGGTATAGTTAATAATGACTTAAATTGGTTGGATTCCAATGCTTAATTTATTTAAGCACTGATTATGAAACGCAGTCAAAAAATAAAATTGCAAAATTATTAATACCATTATCAACTGCTATCATTGAACAATAAAATTGATGTGCTTTTAGTATATTTTATATATTTATTGTCTTTTGTGTTAAGTAACAACCGTCTTTTTTCTGTGTACAATTACATGAATACAAGTGTCTGATTGTCTGTTTTGTGAAGGTAAAACCAATAAAGCTAAGAGCGGCCAAGATTAGTTTACCCTTGAGATGAACCATGAGTTAAGCTGAGGATCTCGGTTGCTTTTTAATATTTATGTGTATTAATTATAATGCATTTACATGTCTCAAAGATCAATCACTGAGAATACAATAATAATAATAATCCTTGCATTATTTAAGTAACATCATAGATTTAGTCAGCAGATATTAAAACTTGAAAATGTAAGCTCGTATTTAATTGTACTTTTTTTTTTTATCAAAACTAAAGAATCCAATTATAGTGCGTCTCAGCGCACATAAAAATTTCTTTGGTATCTTTATGGCCTGCAAGCACTTTAAAGTATAGTTTTCGGAATATCTTTTTCCATAGATATATCACACTATTTCCCAACTCGCTGCTTTCCTGGACACTAGAAGCTCGTCAAACGGATGACGCGTGTTGACAATTTTAGGCTGCGGGCTTGGCAATTGCTTTTAGTTTTGGTTACAAGTCGGCTTTTAGGTATAAAGAAATTTTAAAAACACAATCACGCTTCGGCGATTTATCATACACGCGGATGGCGGAGTTATGTCATCCGCATGCCGTGCGTTTCGAATTGTTTGAGTTGCGAAGTGCACGAGGAAAACGTAAAACGGAAAATTAAAATTAAAATTAAAATAATTCACGCGTTGTCATTGGAAAGAAATTTCAAATAGTTGTCACTGCCGATCTGCTTGGGCAAGGGGTGTTACACCGAACACATTATATCAAATTATTCGTTTTGATTACCAGGGAAATAGAAATAGGCTTGACCGGTTAGAAAACTGGGAAATGTGATTAGCTTTCAAATTGAAAAAATAAGGGATAATACTGTTTTCAATATCAAAATGCGGAAAATATTAAACACTGTCATATTTTTTTTAAATGGTTTGTTGGCTTTGGGAACGCGTTTTGTAAAGAAATAAACGGTTAACGATTGGTTTTAAGGTTTGCTGATAAACAAATAAATAATTAAATAAAAAATTAATGGTATACTATTAAGGAAAGTTCTGTTTAAAGAGATTTTTGCAACCACAATATTTTATTTCCTTCATAAAGATACACAATTTAGATCGTAATTGCGTTCAATTTATTTACAAGCATATGACTACCAAAATCTTAGATACTGATGCCAATTATGCATGTGGTTTATGTGATAGCTGACACTTTTAAATTTATAAGCTAATTAACGATACCAAAGAGTCGCACATGCATATCTAGAATTAAATTGTTTCTGCTTTGCTGTGAGGTTTACGCGGTTGATTGATTTTTAAAAAGAAATATCTGAGAGGCGTATTCACCAACTCGGAATCTCCGAAATCGAATTAAATCCAATGAATCTGGCGGAGAACGTGCTTGCCATGCAGAGAACCGTGTTTACTGAACTTACAGTCGACTCTCATTAATTCAAACCTGCGATAATTCGAACCTCTCTATAATTCAAAGTTATCTCGAGGTCCCTACGAAATCTCTTTATATTTCGAACTAAATCAGTACATTTTCATACACTTGGTAATTCAAACGAAAAAATCATTGATATTTAACAAAACCACGTGTTAATTCGAACTCATCAGCGTCTAACACTCGACAATTCAAAGTTGCAGAAAAAAAAGTCGGAAATTTTGCGACAAGTTCAAACTTGCCTTTGTTTTTGTTTTGATTATGTAGTTTTTGACGCACACACTTCTTACGAATTGGTTTGTGTAGTTATTCAGTTACTGTTACTCTTTCGTTGGTATGCATATTAGAAGTTAGTGTTAGCTATGAGCCCTAGAAAGTATAACGAACCTTTGGCAGAGGTGTAAGTTAAGGAAGCAAGATCCTCATTTGATACCTTACAAAACTTTTGTCTACAAAACGAAAGTGATGAAAAAGTATTTCAGGCACTTTTTCTCTTTAAAAAAGTTATTGAGCAGTTTTAGCAGGAGAATTGTGCTTTAAAGCAAACCAGTTTAACAAAGTTCTTTCGAAAGATTAATTAATTCACATTACGAATACATGTACGTACACGAATGTACCTCTTAATTCTTATCATTTTTATATTAATAAATAAACATTAACCAACACTTAATAATTCGAAGGTTTATTTATTTTCTCTCGCAAATTTCGAACCATTTGATATTTCAAACACTCGATAATTCGAAATATTTCAAGAGTCCCTCCAGTTTCGAATTAACGAGAGTCGACTGTATTTGATTTTTATACGAGCATACCACCCAGTCACACTCGCCTATTCTGTATTTCTGGATATTTATAGCTCCCGCCCAGGAAGTGGCAACTAAGACCGCGGCGCCCTCGGCTTCCGAATTCGCGAAACTATCGCAGGCGGTCCAGGACTCACTGGTGGAGTTCGAGACGCGTCAGCGGGAGCGATTGCACCAGGGACACCGATCCCGCAGGGCGGTGAAGCGGGTCTGCTATGGGGAACTGGGATGCTTCGAGGACTCCGGCCCTTTTGCCTACCTGGAGATGCTGCCCTCGCCCCCGGAGGAGATCAACACCAAGTTCTACTTCTACTCCACGCGCCAACGCTCCGATCGTCCGCTCATGGAGCTCTCCTTTCTGAACATGACGAACGCTTTTCGCGGGAAAAGGGAGACGGACCTGCCATTCACCACCAGTTCGCCAGAGAACAGTGGCAGGTCATCGTCGTCCTCGCCCACCACGAACTCCACCTTCAGCACTGAGCGTCCAGGGGGCGGGCAAAGGAAATCCTCGCCCTCGATCGATGACCTCGAGGGTTTCGACGAGCTGTCCGTGCGGGTTATCGTCCATGGTTTTGGATCGGCCTGCCCGCACGTGTGGATCTACGAGATGAAGACAGCTCTCATGGCGGTGGTGAGTAGTGGTTACAGGCCGCACTTGCATACTATCCTCCTTTATCGGCACATCTCTTTCAGGAGGACTGCATCGTGATCTGTGTGGACTGGGAGAACGGAGCCACCTTTCCCAACTACGTGAGAGCGGCGGCCAACACCCGTTTGGTGGGCAAGCAGCTGGCCATGTTGCTGAGGAACCTGCAGCAGTACAAGGGTCTCGACCTCATGCGCACCCACGTCATTGGCTTCTCACTGGGAGCCCATGTGTCCGGGTTCGCTGGCGCTGAGCTGCCAGGTCTTTCGCGGATTACTGGCCTGGATCCGGCGGGTCCGCTCTTCGAGGCCCAGCACCCGAAGGTGCGGCTGGACAGCAGCGATGCTGAGTTCGTGGACGTGATCCACTCGAACGGCGAGAACCTGATCCTGGGGGGTCTGGGCTCCTGGCAGCCCATGGGCCACGTGGACTACTATCCGAACGGCGGACGCGTGCAAACGGGCTGCTCGAATCTTTTCGTCGGCGCTGTCACTGATTTCATATGGTGTAAGTTCTGCTTGCGTATTCCAATCTTGTTTATTTGTAGTAAAAGGTTTAGCCGGCACTTTACTCAGCAGCTAGAATGGGTTGAGAATTATACAGTTGCAGAGAAGAAAGAATCCGAACATTTTTAGTGTTTGTTCTAGGCTGCTTAATAATTTCTATAAATTGATTTAAGGATATTTATTAGTTTGTCCGTTTTTCGTTTGTAGGTCGTCCTAATTAGAATTCAAATACGACCCCTTTTAACCTTATTTAAATTATTCAAGTAGGCTTGTACACTTTTATTTGAGGAGTGCACTTATCTCTAACTGATGTTGTTACACCTTAACAAAGATTTGTATTAAATTGACTGATGCTCCCCCTACAGCTGCCCAGGCTGCGGAGGATGAGGAGGGTCGTTCGCTGTGCAATCACAGACGGGCCTACAAGTTCTTCATTGACTCGGTGGCACCACGATGCTTGTTCCCCGCCTTCCCCTGCGGCAACTACGACGACTTCCTCAAAGGACGGTGCTTCCCGTGCGCCCAGGACGACGAGGACCTGGCTGAAGGCGTTCCCAGGTGCGGCAACATGGGCTACTACGCCGATCGATCGACCGGAAGAGGACAGCTGTACTTGCTCACCCGCGAGGAGGAGCCCTTCTGCGCCCACCAGTTCCAGCTGCAGATCTTCAACTCCTTCAACGACCTGCCACTGCGCACCATCGGTCGTCTGGAGGCGATTCTCGAGGGGGACGGCGGTCTCAACGAGACCTTCGAGATATCCGAGTGAGTACGAAATCGAAATCGAAATCGAATTCAGAGTGGGAGTGGGAGTGGTCAAAGAACTATCCTACAACAAGAGTTTCAGATGTGATTATGTTGTTTTATACAATCCAATATAATGTACAACTAGATCGACTAATGTTCCCTTTTAACGGAATGATTACATTTTGGTTCTTAAAATTGTCTTGTATTTCATTTCAAAATATCGAAAACATTTTATTATTGCTTTCAAAATACCACAATTCAAATTGATTTTAGATTTGCGCTTTCAACAAAAATATATTAGAGTGTAGATCTTAAATATCGGCCGACCTTTAAAATAAAATCTGTTCCGTTCGGAATGTATTTCGGTTTAAATTTTATTTACAACTAATTTGTGTGTTTAATGTTTTGTTTGTGCTATTCGATTCAACGTGTTTTCAAATTAACGTGTCTAAGTTTAATTAAATTTAATAGTAGAATCTGAAACTCTTCCAAACTTTAAATTATCCTGTAATATTATATTATACTTTAAAACACAACCCATGTACATTTATTTGTGTTATTCAAAAAGGTACTTATTTGTTTCTTACTATTGAGATGGAGTATATCAAGTATATCCAACGGCATTTCCTGACTAGCGATCCTTTTCCTCTTTGTTCCTCTTTCCAGGAAGGACGATGCGGAGTTCTTCGCCGGGGACATCGTGTCGAAGATCATCGTGCCGCACCCCGCCCTGGGATTCCCCACCACGCTGAGCCTGCACTACAAGTCGTACAGCGGGTGGCTAAGCAAGGGGCTGCCCCACTGGGACATCGACAAGGTGGTGCTCACGGACAGCTTCGGCCGGAGCCACTCCCTCTGTCGTCCCTCCACGAAGCTGAGCAGCGGCAGTCCGGTGCGCCTGCGCCTCCAGGCGGGCAACTGCGAGCTGGACAACCAGGAGGACTACGGAGCATATACCACCCAACCCCCGTCCGGCAGTCCCGTTTCCGTTTCCGTTTCCATTTCCGTTCCCGTTCCCAATTCGAATTCCAATTTGAATCCCAATCCCACCCTGAACCCCACCGAGGTGCCCGACTCCAGCGTGCAGGAGTCATCGGTGGACGGGGTGGAGAGCGCCAAGCAGCGCAAGGACATCTTCAACCTGGGCACCAGCTTCAAGTTGGCCCGCAACCAGACCTATCCGCTGGACCAGGGCGACGAGCTGCCCTGGCAGCCGATCCTGGTGGGCAACTCGCTGGACAACGAGACCGCCGAGGCGGCGGAGTCCAGTCGCAGTCTCTCGGACTCGGTGGCCGGCGAGATCTTCGAGCCGGTGCTCAAGGATCGCCGGCTGGCCGTCAACCGGGGAAGGAACCTGCAGGACTACGCCACCACCGACAGTCCGGAGATCGTGGAGCCGGTCCTCAAGGCCACCACGCCACGTGTCAAGCAGGGCAAGGATCTTGATCTCACCGAGGCGGAGGTGGTGGCCGGATTGGCCTCGTCAACGCTCAGTGGCTCTGGTGCGTCGCGTACTCCGCCCAAGGCGATGACGCAGGTGGGGACGGGTCGGTCACCGGATCCGGATGAGCCGCAGACCGTCCAGCTCTTGCCTTTCCGGCTGGGCGAACTCCTCCAGCGGGCGGAGCGGTACGCCCGCGAGACGCTCCTGCCGCTCATCTCCGTGCAGGCGCCGCGCTTCTTCGGCTTCAATGTGACGCCCCACGATCGCGATTCGGTGCGACTCGGGGAGTCCCGCAAGCCGCGCTACATTCCGCGCTACGAGGAGTCCGCCTTCCTCAACACCAGCTCCCCGAGGCGGCGATCCCAGAAGGCCGCCCGCCGCTCGGCGGTGCAGCAGCGCAATCTCTTCCGGCTGATGCGATCCCGATCACGCCAGCAGCAGGAGTCGGATGAGGGGGGGAGGGGGTGGAGGGTGTGGAGGAGACTGGGGAGCAGCTGGAGCAAAAGAATGAGGTCAACTACTACACGAATGTCCTGCAGGCCGAGTCTCGTTCAATGCGACCCGAGGCACCGGAGTACAGACCCGTGTTCATCGATCTGCCCACCTACAGGCCGAAAACCTCCTCTGTTTCCACATCGGCATCCGTAGCTGCTTCCGCTTCCGCTTCCGCTTCCGCATCCACATCCTCTTCCACTTCCGCTGCGGCTGGTGTTTCCGTTTCCGTTTCGAGGGCCCGGAGACGCGGCAGATCCCCAAAGCTGATTCCCTGATACAACCAGCTGAGCAGGCTGTCCCGCCATCGGGGATGAACACTTTGTGATATGCACACCAGATCGTGGCTATGGCACAGCTCCGCACTCCGGAACCCCATTCACCGCCCCCTCCATCAGCGCTACCCCCATCCTCACACTGTAAATATCCGAATCGAGCGAGCAGAGATCGACTTTGAAATGGAATTTCAAGTCGCGGTCCGTTGCCTATGATAAGATGTCGAATGTAAGAATTTAAATGTGAGAAACTTAGTCGATAAGATAAAACCTACAGTCGAAGCTTTCGACTTTAAGATACCACAACCAGACGTTTGCCTTTTTATATTTGGAAGAAGGTGGTATGCAAGAAATATTCGATTCTAAATACCAACAACCAGTTATTGTTATTGAATATATTTAATACGTTGTTTATAAAAAAAAACAAGAATCATCCAGACGAGTGATTAACTACAGCCTTCACTGTATTAAGTTAAAAATCGTATTTTGTTCTATCTAAGTAACCTTACCATCATTTTGAATACGAGATCCTGGAAAGTCTTACAGTAAGGATATTGGGATTGAAAGTTCAGATACAAGAGATAAATACGCAGGGTCTAACAACGAGCCGATAAATTCTTGGAAATTAGGAATTTAATAGAACACCGTTTTGGATTAATGATAAAAATCTTGTAATAAATACAGAGCGGGAGGTTTTTTGAAAACTGTATACGTCCACATTAACCACCACAATCCCTAGGATCTCTTTTTTGACTTAAGTTATAAAACCCAAAAGAATAGACCCAAAGGGTCTGCAAGGGTATAATAAGAGGTCTGATAAATATGTGTCAAACAAATTTGGTTAAGGAATCCTAAGGGCAACGCAAACTGCCTGATAGGAAGTATTCGCTTTGATGAAACATCAAAAAGGAAAAGAAACGGTGATATATTGTATTTTAAAGAAGATCCTAGCGCCCAAGCAGCGTATTGAAACATAGCGTCAAAGTTTTTCCTCGTCAGTAAAGATTTATAGTTTATAATATTGTTCTGCAAACACACATTGAAATTTAAAGTTAGCGATTTGTGGACGTTTTACCATTTTAATAAATTTAACCAATTCCAATATTCTTGATCATCGAGCTGCAAGATCTCAGTTCATACGAAAAGACCGTCCGACGTCTGATCAAGAATACTTATACCGAAAGTGCTTGTTTCTTTCTGTAACATACTTTTTGGCAAATTCAAAAGATCTATCCATTCTACGAGTAATGGGTAAAAAGTTAAGTGCCACCTTACCTATTCGTACAATCGACTGCTTGCGAATGCATTCAACTGTAAACAGCGATCCACTGCTTGCAGAACTGCTGTTAACTGTTAGTTTAGTTTACATACACTGCTTTTACTTACTTGAAATCAGAAAAAATAACAAGTGGTGGTCTTCTTAATTTTCTTTTAGCATAATTTATTTTATATACTTTTCATTTAATTTGTTTTATGTTCATAAAGTAACATGTGTCTGCCTCTGTCTGTGTGTTTGTGTGTGTGTGTATATGTTTGTGTGTGTGTTGAGCATGTGTGTGTGGCTTGGTTTCATATATTTTATTATTCGCTTTAATTTGTTCGTTTGTAAGCTGATTTGATTTGAGATCCAATCTGGTTTGTTTTAATTTACAATGATTGTAAAAATTGATTTTAGGCATTCACTTCCTTGGTTTGGAGTTAAGGTTTCATTCCTTGCTTTAAATTTATCGAAAGTCAAACGGTAGATTTTGTGCTTGCTCGCCTTGTTTGTTTGTTTTGTTTTGTTTTGTTTTGTTTTATTTTGTTTTGTTTTGTTCTGTTTGTTTGTTGCTTATTGTAGTTTTGGTGTTGTTTCTCCTTGTGTGTTTGTTCTGTTTTGGGTTGCTTTTGTTTTGCTTCCTAGCTGTGTATGTGTTTTTATCGTTATCTGTTTTGGTTTCGCTTTCTTGTATTTAATATATAATAATCATTTTTTCTTTGGTTTTTGGTTTAACTATTTATAAAACATTTCATTTTAGAATCTTAACAATATATATATATATACATATATAAATCATTTATATACATATATATATATATTTTATAATTGCTGCGGCGTTTTTCTGTTATAGTTTTATTTACTTAAGTGTTATTTATGTATAAGTTTAATATGTAAATTTGTTTAGCTTTAATTCATAAGTAGTTTTTCCATATGCCCATCTCTGCTGTTGTTGCTTTTTGTTTTATTATTATTGTTGTACGCATAATTTACATGGAGTGACTACCACATTTGCAATGCTAACTCTCTTTCCCAGCTCAACTTTCTCTACTTAGCTTCTGTCCCTACTTTCCTACTCTCCCTACTCCCCTTGCTCCTTTGGTTCTATATCTCCTGCCTCCTACTTGATCTGGGCCTAATACGTTGCTCTCTGTGTGTGTGGGTGTGGTATTATCTAGGCATAGTTATCATAATTTTACTTGCATTGACTTTTATTGTTGTATTTCGCATGCTTGAGCTAAATATATTCTTTTGGTAGTTGCACTTTATTGAATCGAAATGAAGACTCGGAATGGGATCGAAATTGAAATTGAGAATGAAGACCGATTTGATTTGATTTGAACTGAGTAATGTTCCGAGACTAGCAGGGATACATATGTACATATGTATATATGTATCGAACCGATTGATCTGAATTGATAAACATCTGGCTTTGTGCATACTATATAAATTTGCTAGTCCCGCGCTTTTTATGCAATGTATGTATGTACTTTTAAATCTTTGTTTTTTGTTTTATTCCAGTCTTTGTTTTTATTCATTTTATTCACTTCTCCTCTGACTTCTCTGTCCACCTTTTCGATCCTGAAACGAGCAACGGTAGAATCCGTGATTCCTGGACGTGGGCGCGGTCAATGGGTCTCTACTAGGGGCTCTACTGGAAGGGCAAGCTGGACTTGGCTGGAAAGTAGCTCGACTGCAAACTGTACTTGATCCTAGGCAATACTTCTGTTATTATTTAGCATAGTTCTCTCTTAATTCACCTCACTTCACTTCATGCTCACTGTTCTCTCCCTCCGCTTTCTAATACCCTTAATTATTTTGGCAAGTTATCTTTACTTTGTTAATAGTTCTTTTTCGTTTTTTCTTTTTCTTGATTTGTTTTTTGTGGTTTTGTGACTCTTGTTTTTGGTTTATATCACTTTTAGTTGTAGTCTGGCCAAGTTGGTTCCTCTCCTCCTTTCTTGCCCACTGCGTAACCTTTCTATCATTCCTATGCTGCGATCTCTCTGCTATTTTTTTTTTGGTTTTCAATAGTAAGCTTCGTTTTCTTAGCGATTTCTCTGTTTGTTTAATATTAGTTTGTAAATTACGCTTATAAAAAAAAAAATATTTGAATTTTGTTTTTTCCATTTGCATGACTTGAAGACGATATGTTTTTAATTGTATTATTATTTTTATGTCTATATAGAGATTATTGTGTAATTATCGTAGTTAATATTAAGAATATTTTATATGCAATCCTGTGGTATTTTGTTATTGCTCATTGGTTGTATCTAATCGATTGGCCGACCGAGAACTTATCAACGAATCGAACGAACTAAAACCAAACTGATTTTGGACGCAAGTCCATGAATAGATAAGTCCATAAACCGATAAATCCGTAATTCCGTAAATCCGCTAATGATATATGTAATGCTAATGGATATGGCCGGGACTTTGACATGAGTGCGCGGCACGTACAAAACATGGGCTGTATATCGGGGATACTTCAACTTGTTCTGCTATATGTACATATATATAAATAGGGCCGATCTGAGTATATATATGTTCCTGTGTTCTGTGTGTGTGTGCAAGCAGGTGTTTGTCTTTAAGGCCAAATCAAGTATACGTAAGAATGTCTTTCGGTTCTAGTTGATTCTCCCTCCCTCCCTTCTCCTATGTGTTTAACTGCCTCTATTTTCATTCCCCACTGTCTTCAGCTTCGCTCTCTTCTTCTTCTTCTCTTTCTATTTATCTCTCTCTTTCTCATTCGCTATCGCTTTCTTTTTCGCTTTCGTTTGCTGTGTGCGTGTGGACGGTTTTCAAAGCTGTAAATTGATTCGATTTATTTAACGTTATTTTCTCTCCGTTTTTTTTTTTTGCTTGGTTTTCCTCTTTTTTTCGTTTTTTTTCGTATTTGTTTTTACATATTTACAGATTGCTTCGGTATAAATATTGGTTTAAATTCTTCTTAATTACAACAAGCAGCAAATCAAAAAAACTTTTTATTCAGTCGCATATCTAACAAAAAAACATATTTATATACACATTCGTATATATTTATGTATATATATATATATATATATATATATATATATATATATATATATATATAAATATCGTATATGTGTGTGTGTATATTTGCTTGCGTTAGCTTAGTTCTCGTCTCGGAATTTCCCATTTCTATCATCGTCGTTATCGACATCGTTATCGTTATCATATCCCCCACTTTCTAATCTTCTGTTTTGTGAGATGTTTCTTCTGTGGTCCAAAGTATTTTGTGGCTCCTCCTCTTTATATTCGTCAGATTATTCCCCCTCTGTTTCGATTTATATAGCGTTTTGGTTAGCAAGAGCGGTAGAAGCAAAGCATTGTAGGTAGGATTCTAGGTATAGAGAAATTTAGATATGACTTCGATCGATCGATTTGCATGCTAACATTCGGCACTATGCACTGCACAGTGAAGCAGTGGAAGCAGTTCATACGTATTTGCATCTTATGTTTTATAGAATTGATATATCGAATGCGCATGCAAATTGAAATTGATAGTTTTGGTTTTACATCTTACGTTTTTCCTACATGGTTTCGTTTTTTGTTTTTTTTTTTTCGATTGCCGTTTTCTTGGAGTTTGACAAAAGTTGAAATCGCTAGATTGAACGTTTTCCAAATGAGAAGATTTCGATTGTTTCAAATCACAAAAATCAGGAAGACAGCGAATCAAGTTACAACTCATGAACATGTTTGTGTGAGCTTTTAGATCCTAAAGCTTCTGTGTCAGTGTTTGTGAGGCCGTGTGGAGACAAAAGAAAGACACATAAATATGCAACAGTTCTGGGGAACATTGGATATATACGCATATACATACATATCTCCCAAGGAGATGCTTAAGTATCAAAGCAGATCTAACTGTCTCTCTAACAAAGGAAGACAAACTAAACTAAACTAAAACTATAACAAACTGTTTTAAACTAAACGAAAGCAGGTCCATGCACGTGTGCATCACAAGGTTCTCTATAAGAGATCATAGCTAGTACTGAATGAGCCAGGATTCTTCTACAGTTCTCATATAAAAGGTTGCTATTTTTGT